GGGGGGGGGGTGCTGCGTACTGTAAGTTATGTAGAGTATGCATGTATGTAAAACGAAGTGTCTGTGGGGGGTGTATGTGTGTAGTTGTATGTGCAAGATAAGACGAGGCAAACCGAGGCAAGACGATACTCAGAACGGAACGAGACGGGCCAAGATGAAGCTAATAGTAACATGAAGTCTAGGTGAGGCGAGGCTACGCAAGGCTAATACTGTACGGGGATAGGAAGATGCAAAGGTGGAATAGGAATAGAACGGAACAGAAAGCTCTATAGGAAACGAGCGAGACCTGGCGAGACCAGAATGGTGTGGGGGTGTTGGGCGGCAAAAAAGACGTGGGTGTGGGCAGGTGTCGATGCGGAAGTGGTATGGACGAGGGCGCTGTCGGCGAACTGCGAGGGAAGGAGAGAAAGGAAGTCTATTGAGGGATCAATGATGGCCGATAGGGGCTTCGAGTAGCCGCAATTTGCGAAGATGGGAACCGACGAGACGAAAATGGAGACTAGGAATGGAAATTGCCGGGGCGCGTGATGCAGGCTCGGAGTGCGAATGAATAGGAACTTTGAAATGGGAGAGGGGTGGAGGTTGTGTGGGGGTGGCGGTGTGACTCCAAGAAGCATCCCGTGTTCGCCTCGTAAGCGACGAGGGAGGACATGGGACCGTTGCGCCCGTCGACGTTTTGTTTACGCAGGAGAGTACTCGATGGACCCGCTCGTGTCCATCTTTCCGTACTTGACCTTCTCCCCGCGCGAACGCACGAGGTCTTCCACGGTCTTGTACTGCCCGTTTTGCGTGCCATCTTGGAACCAGCCGAGGTGGTCTGCGATGAGATGGCTGTGGGTGGTGGACGTGGCACAATGCAGGAAGGGGGTACAAGGTTTTGAGTCAGCGTTTGATCTTAATGCTGAGCGACAGATTACCCGAAAGGGGTAGGGCACAAAGGGGGGTGTAGTGTGGGGTAGGCGATTGTGAAGCATGGATGTGGGGGGGAATGCAAAGCAAAACGTACCGGTTCTTGCATCCGGGGCATTCAATGAGGACAATGCCCGTCGTGTACGACCTCTTCGAGAACTGGTGCGTGCTCCGGGTGTTGCACTCGTCCGCCGTGCAGGTGAACGTCAAGCTCAGCGTCGGTTCCTGGCGCACGTATGGGTGTTCCTGTCCATGAATGTGCGTCGAGGAGGCGACATCGCCTGGGTAAGCATGACTGTGGTGGTGGTCGTGCTGGTGCGATTGGACTTGAGCCTGGGGAGAGTGAGCACAGGCAGAAGTGGTGATGGTCGACGCCGAGGCGGGGTTGACGGCGAGACGAAGGCGGAGTTGGGTGGAGAGCGTCGAGGGAAGCGATGAAGAAGGGGTGAGGAGAGTGCGGAGAGGGGGGGCAATGCCGGTGTTGCGGAAGAGACGGGTGGGCAGCATCGTTGGTAGTGATGGGGAGAGGAGAGAAGCGTCTAGTGGTCTATAGGTGGGTGTTGGGTGAAGAAGGGCTGGAGGCGGGGAATCGAGTATTTGAGTGCGGCGGGATAATGGTCGTAGCGGAGAAAGAAAGTTGTTGGGCCGGCTGCAGGGCCGGAACCTTATAGGGTGGCACCCAGTGGCACCCCCGCTCCACAAACATTTGTCAGCATCTTCCGGCGCTAACAACTTCAAACAGCCGCTCCCGGCGCTGTTTTAGGCCACCGCGCACGCCGTTCCGGCTTGTCTCACGTCTGTAACGCTCTCAATTATTCTATTCATATTTGATCTTTTCCCTATGTGGGTATTTATGAAGGTGAGGACTGCAACACACCGGTGGTGAAACGGTATCATGCTTGCCTTCCATACCGAACGGTTATGTGCTGACAGCAAGCGGCACGGGTTCGACTCCCGTCCGGTGTACGTTGATATTCGATATCGTTTTTGTCAATTTCATCGGACGACTCGAACGGGGAAAATACCATGTAAACGCGGTCTTCTGCAGTCCCCTCTGTAGACGTACTCCTTCTTCCTCCTGCGATCACGCGGCTCATAAGTACTTTTGTCCTTGTCCTGGAGAGTCTGCCATGCAAGTGCTTCGAAGGGAAAACTTGGCTTCATTCGGCCTACTCAGTTTTTAACGTATCCCATTTGGGTAATATGTGTGCGAGCTCTCGTGTTGACAGAACAAGTGGACGGTTGAGGATAGGAAAATCTGAAGGTTGTTCGCCTTCCGTGCTAGATTATAGCAACAGAACCTCCAAACGACTTGTCGTCGGCGGCATCGCCTACCAGCATACTTAAAGCAAAATAAAAGTTAGGGGGGAAAATACAGGATTATAACGGAGTTTGTATTCTACGTATGAGGGGATCAAGAGTATCAGAAGAGGACTGGCAGTACAGACTCCAGAGGTGAAGCTCAATGAGGTGCCACCTTGAAGAATTATGGATATATGTTTGACTAATGCAGAAGACACATCCGAACCGGTTGAATGACCGTTAATTTAGCATGGCATATAGACAAAGTCAAAGACCGTCGCACCTGATTTATCACGCTGACGCTCAAGCTATGCTTTCATGGAATCGCGACACGGTCCTGCCGGTCAGTGAAGCTGAAGAGACCCGAGATGGGATATGGAACTCCGAGACAGCTATTCCTGAATCCGTCTCAGGCGCTTCGCCATAGGACCCCTTTATGGTTTTGAATAAACAGATCATATACTTCAACTAAGTCCATGACTGATAAACGTACCATGTCACCAGGCCACGTCGGGACACTTCCAGTGTGGCCCTCTTCTGTGTCGTGCCCATCCTCGCACAGTTCTGGCCATGCCTCGTGGGCGTGGGGGGACATGTCACCGTCCATGCCACCCAGAGGAGCACCGATATGTCCCAGGAACTTGTTCTCGGCGTATTGAGCGTCCGAGAAGGCAGCATCGCTAGCGCAGCCCCTACGGCTGAAGGTTTTCAAGTTGAGTACGAGATGGTTGACGAGCATATTTGAGAAACTGGTGAAATGGCACGCTGGGTCAGCGCGGCACTGGGAACGAACTGGAAGGCAGGAGCGGCAACGGTGAAATTGACATTGACTTACACAGCGAATGCGGGGCTTGTGAGCGTTGTGAACGTCTGTCCTGCATGGGATATCTGACGAAGGCTTGTTTGTACTGGTATTTGGTTCATATAGAATGTCTTACCCCTGGTATAACTGAGGCCTGAGATCCAGCAATGAGGAGGTAAGTGGGTGGATGACGGCTGAGACACAACGGTCGACCTTACTATCGCAGAGCCGGCGCATCCGATACCAATAAGCAGGGTGAGCCTGACGACATCGACGTTAGTTGAACACAAGTTATAGCCAATACCAAACACTCTTACAAGAAATATACGATTCCTGTTCCCCCCCCCCCGTTAACGCCATACATGGGATATCAGAACAAAGAAAAGCGCACCATCCCGCAAGACCAGGCCGAATAAACTATTCCTCTCAAATCCAAAACCTCGCATCGTTTTCGCAGTACGATATGTCTTCTTGAGCGTCATAACCAGTACGAACAAATCGAAGAAGACGACAAGGACTGGGACGACTATCGAGACTGCGCGACGGGGTTATATGATTGTGAATCGGTATGCACGGAGCAGTGTGGAACCTACGGCTAAACGCACAAAATTGAAGACGGTCAGTCATCTTTCAAATGATCGAGTAGGGAACGGCGTACATGGAGATAACGTGGCCGTCGAGATGTTTTGCGCTCGGAGTCGCACATTGACCAAAGCGGTGCTCAATGGTTCCTTTTGTGGCATGGAAGGAATCCGTGACGATTTGCTGTCGTGCAGGTAAGTATATCAGTCGATGCAGATCGGGGAAGAACATACAAAGATATTGATGGCCACGCGCGGGACTGTCAAAACGGCGGAGGCGTACAACACCTTCCTATCCCGCATGAATATCGCATAAAGACGCAGAGTGAAAATGACTGATACATCTCAATCAGTACAGGTACGCTTTGATCATCGGCAAGACATGTTGTGAGCTCACTATTTGTGGTTGCGACCGATATGGCCCGTAAGATCAAGCCCACCAAACCCACATACGTACACCTGAGCCCATACATGCCATTAGCCACCGCGTACGTCCCGAAGATGTGTACGACGAGATTTGTGGACTGCTACTTACGCGTCTTGCGTCATACGTCCCGGGATTATCTGCAGCACTTGGACAATAATATATCCAAAGAAAGTGTATCTGTTTATGAGGTAAAGAACGAGTGTACCGGTCATATTACCGGATAGCAATACATCAATCTCGGACGAGATCGTGTGTGTATAGTCGAGGCACCAGAGAGCTAGAGTATGTAAGTATCAACGATGACGATACAGCCAATATAGCACCTCAGAAGACTCACCAGCGGCCGACGCAGTCGCATAGGCACTGAATAGTCTTCGAAACAATGAGTATTTATGTCACAATTATAGAAATAGGCGACTTACTCAATATCCAGCGCTGAAAGAGGTAGATGGGATGGAGACATAGCGAGCAAAAAGGACCGCCGGCGGCTGGAGACAATTCCAAGGGACCATTCACATATATATACACCTGGGGCTTGACATCATGATCACTGTTGGTAGTGCAATGATCGCTCGATCTTCTTGCTGCCACACAATACCATTGGTCCACAGGAGGGATCCGTTACGACGTGCAGATCAGTTGACGGAAACGTAACTCGTAACGTGGAATATTGTTGACAGAAGCTGTTTTTGTCGGAGGTGTTGCCCCCGGTGATATGTTGCGAGATGCTTAGTATTAGTATGAAACGAAATATCAGATTGAATCATGCATAGGCCTCCAGTGCCAGTGGCCAATGAGCCGACGTCCTCGGAAGAATGGCCACACAGGATCCATGACACCCAATAGGCAATAAGGAGCTGCTTCTGGCCCTATAGAGTCGATGCACCACAAATCAAGATCGTGCAGCAAATAAACCAATCAAACAGCGGGTAACCTCGAAGCTTGACAGGTTACCGACTGGCGTAACCGCAGAACGCGACTCTTCTCAAGTCTGAAACATTGAAATGGCACCTAGGCTGGCGTGAGTTCGGTCGCTCGCACACGTGTCCAATCAAAGATGTGTCGAACCGAGTGATCGGGTATCGTGTATTCGCCTGTGCATTCGGAACCGGTAAAGGGCTACAGGTGGCAAAGCTCCACAAACCTATGTGGCGATCTGATCCTTTGTTCGCAAGTCGGGTTTCTTGCGCGTTTCTGTCTGGCGTGAGGAAAGATAGGGAGACGAGGGTTCTGACATGATCAGTTACGCCTCCAGATCTGTGCAACGGTTACCTTTGAGTTCGCTACCGCATACTCATCGGTATGTCCGGACCAAGGGAAGAAAAAGAGATCAAAACTGTTGGAAGCCACAGACACATCGACATCCGTGGATTCGTCACCGCAAAATCGAGCGAGCCAATGATAGTGCACATAGCAAATAGAACTTCGATGGAAGCCGTGTAGCAGGACACGAAGGCTGAATCACAAACTTGATGGTCGAAATATGCATCGTCTCCGGTACGGATATTTATGCGTCATCTCGTAGAGATTCTTGCGCAAACTATGGGACATCCGGTGCGACAATCCCTCGTTGACTTCCTGGTTTATTTTGGGCCTCGCAGTCAAAGAGCTAAAAGCACCAATGATCAGAATGTCACGTAGGTGCAAGGTAAATATAACCGACCACGGCTCCGTCGAGACTGCTCTGCGGTGTGTCAATTGGCATTTCTTTGAGGGGAGAGTTCAATTCGGTGGTCCCTACTGAGCCCCCAATATTCCCAAGAAAGCTTTCTCGCACCAGTTGCGATTGCGTGGGCGAATCATGCAGGTGCATGCGTAAATTGAGTACGAGGTGGCTGCTCAGCATGTTCGGAAGCCTAAACATTACCACAGCTGAATTTATGGAGGAATCTAAGATCTCATGCAGCTTACACGGCAAAGAAAGGTCCTGTTATAGTGTCGAAGTTTTGGTTCGCCACGGAGATCTAGGCAGTCAACAAGGGTGACGACGTGTTAATTCGACAGGCCGGCACAGAGAATAGATCACGGCCGCTTACTCCTGGAATAAGTGAAGCCTACGGACTTACAAGTCAACACTGTGGTCAGACCAGTAGAGAAGATTGGCTTACGATAGCAGAACCCGTGCATGCCAGACCGATGGCTAAAGCGACCCTACGCAAGGCAGAGAAGTCGGCATCGGGCAACCCCAGGCCAAAGGAACAAGGATACCCACGAGAAGTACAGGATGCCTGACACAGTAATAATAGTATCAATGGATTGGCTTGGTCTCGAATGAGCCAGGAACATCAAGAGTCGCTTACCGTCCCTCTTCAAAAGCACCGTAAGGCTTATGTTCCCTAACCCAAAACTCTTCATTTGAAGGGCATCCCGATAGGTCTTCCGCAGCGTAAGTATAAGTATAAACAGGTCGAAAGCCGATACCAGGATCGGAACGGCAACTTGTGCTAGACGATAGTCGGATTCAGATATTGGACGGTCGAAGGCACATCTGGTACAAGGAGTTTACCGCTGAAGAACCAAATATAATAACAAGTCAAGTGGTGGTACGAATGCATGACATGAAAAGGTGGAACTGCTTACTTATTTAACACCCGCACATCTGCAACTTTCGTACTAACAACACATTGCCCATACGCACGAAGCAGCGATTGCTCGGTAGAATGACTCGCCTCAACCATTGCTTGCTAGCGAAAACAAGAAATGTATGAGTGCTGTATGACAGGAAGACGGGTAATTCACGTACAAATACAGCCAACCCAATGCGCGGGAAGATTAGCGCCACGGATGTCCACAATATAAGCCTGCTCTTGCCGTAGATGACGTACACCCTAAGAGCAAATAGGGCTGAGAAACAGCATGGTAAACAAAACCAATCCACCACAGGAATTGACTATAAACTTACCATTCGTGGTGGTTATAGAAATTATTTGTAGAATGATGGTCACTAAACCAAGGGGGATGCATCTATAGGGACCGCTGCGAATTGAAGCTAGGATATGGTATGGAAATGGATGCAGCATACGATTTGTTAGACATAGTGCCCGGGACTATAGAGATCAGTTGCCCAAGTATGAAGCCCAAGAACGAGTATCGGTTGATGAGGAAGAGGACCGAGGTGATGCTGGTCTTTCCTGACAATAGCATATCGACCTCTCGTGGGAACGTATACATAAGGTCTGTTATCCATAGAGCTATGTGGTCGACGAAGTTTGCCCAAGTCAAGGTGGGTAGGGTTGCATTAGCACAGAACGAACGGTTTGATTTAGACAAAAAACCAACTGGAAGCCGACGCTGTGGCATATGCACTAGCAAGCCTAGCAAGGACTTGAGTATGAAGTGTAAGCAGTAGTACAGAGCTAGCGTACCTTATGCGATATGTGAAGATAAGCCCAGATGCTTCCGAGTACGACATGAAAGTGGTCTCAGGTCAATAGAATAAGGATGTGTGTAATCGATCATAAGCACACCATGGCGGGTCCAAAGGGCATTCATATAGTGTCACTGGCATTGAGTGCTAGTGCCCGCCTGAGGCTTCTAGCATGACAAGTGTGATGGTGATATGCAGCTCGCTGTACGAAACGCCAAGGCTACGCAATAAGGGACTGAGAATTCGAGGACGGGTCCTACCCGAAGACATCTGAAGACATACAGTTTTCGGGATCTTCGTCAATCAGAACCACATTGACTAGGAGGAAATGCACAGCAGCAGGAGCACAGCAGCGGAAACCTGGGCTGATGTAGAACACTTTCGACGTGTGTTCTATGAAAAGAGTGTCTGTTTTAGGCTCCCGCAAGATATAAGGACATACCGATTGGCATTGCATGCTTGGACCACCATGAGAACAGACACTGCGGGATGTTTGAGATCCGTGAGAAGCAGCCTTGATGAGTTACAGCGCCATTACGGGGCCGCAAGTCAAGAAGAGAATACACAGTGAAACAGCGATAGTACAGGATTGTTCCTCAAACATGCGTCCTAGATCAGCTCCGCCGCTTGAGCATTCCGAGTCGAAAGCATCACCGCGAAGTCGGTGGCAAGTTCCAGTGAAGACTCGGAGAATAGCTCAGGGTTTCATGGGTGTTACACAAATAGTGATGGCAGTCCGCGCAAAAAACACTGCCCAGGCAAAAGAATAAGACATTAGTTGAGTAGACCGCGAGGCGGTAGTGACATTAGGTCCCAGGAGACAAGAGAGAGGAAGGATTGATACGCTTGAGTATCACAAACAATGCCAAACAACCCTTCTCAAAGCCATCTTGCTCCTTCAAGCCCCTGCTTGGTATCGTCCCTTGCTCTCTTGTCCACAGCGAAGCATTCATTGAAAAGACTTATGTCCCAGGGCTTCACTTCATGCGTAACATGCTTGCTAGATCTCGATGTCTTAACGCCAACCGCCCACACAAACGCTTGCATTCCACCTCGCCACACAACATTGCCACGGATCTACACAGCCGTGTACGAATATTACTTCGCGACACAGCACAGCCAGTGGCCGTGATAACATCATATATGCCTTCTTCGTCGAACTCGTCGACAGACTCGCCTACACATCCATTCCATGGTGCAACCTTATCCTCATTCGCCTCTATCTCCATGTCGCCACACCCACTCGTCGCTTTCTCTCTCCGAGTACCATCGCGCATGGCCACAACTCTTTCCCTACTCTCAAGTGGCGACTTGACACAATTTCAGCACACAAATCCCGAGCGAATATTGCCAGAAACGCACTTTGTTGCCAACATTCTTTCTGCTTCTCAACCCCGAACTGCACTCCTCTTCTCAAGGCCGGACCTACATCCTCGACCATTCGACGACGTCCAATGGTCTTCAACTGCGGAAGGTCTTCCCATAGTACATGACAGCCTTGGAGCAATGAGTTGTCGCATAGTTGCCGGACCATGGCCCTTGCATGATCTAGATGCGTTGGGTGGCCGGGATGAAAAGCAGGGAGAGGCAGAGAGGGCGACAGAGCTGGAAGTTGGTGCAGGCGAGGTATCATCGGAGTTGTTCATCGCGCGAGTGATGCGTGTAGAAGACGTTCCGTTGACAGAAGCGAAGGCGAACGAGGCGATCAGAGATGATGCGTTACGGACGTTGCCCTTGCTGTATCACCGGAGGCGATATGCAAGTACACAAGATTTAGAAACACAACCCTCGTCAGGCTTCTGAATTATACCATACGGACATCATTAATCCCCTAGGGATTTTCTTGGGATATGTACACATCAATGAGCCGTGCCAGTCCATGAATCCCGCCACACCGGTTCACATGCCCAATATACTGGTGACCAAGTACCTAAGTACACGGTGGGCGTTCAGCCCATGACCGCTTTAGTTTACGGAAGGAGAATGCCAAGGTATGGTATAAATTACAGATGATTTTGTGCGTATACAGAGCAAAGACCCTCAAAACACAGAATAGGAAAGGCCACAGTCCCTCGTCAGTCCGTACATCTCGAACGTCACCCGAAATCTGGACAGATATCTCAGATTTTCATGAACGAGAACAGCGACCCCATGTCGACCCATCTCCGACCGCTCCTATCAAGATACTTCTCCACCGCCTGCGACATTCGCTGCAAGAAGTCCGCCTGAAGCGTTCCGAGCGTCACGATATCATCTGTATGCCACAAAATCAACGCTCAGCAACGATGAAAGAAGAGTAAATGGGATGGGACAGAAACGCAATCGCACCATGTCTCTTCCCAGTTGCTGCTTTTGCCGCCTTCTCGACGTCAAACAAGTAGGCCAAGTACCGCAACTGGTTGTACATCTCCGCATCCGAAAACTGTCATAACAACACCAATCATATCAGCGCTCTGAGACTCACTTAATCCGAAAGACGACAGTCAAGTAGGACACGTACCTCGAATGCGACCTTTCCGCGACATCCGGGTTTTAAACATCTCCTCCCATACACCGCCATCTGCCTCGTCCGATTTCCGCATGTAGGGTCATCGCAGACGGTCCAAGCCTCGTAGTACCTGGCTATCGATTTGCGAATTTCGGCTTCGAGTTGCACCTGCAGACTGGCTGTGCTGAACGGCTTTTTACAGGCTGGACATGTCGGTCCAGAAGGAAGGACAATGGAAGACTGCAGGAAACATTTTATGAGTTACGACCGACAAGAACGATGATAGTGGGAACGCACATCGCGGTCACCAATGGGAGAAAAGGCGGTATGTGCCTCACAGTGCCGACACCGCACGATGAATGGTTCAGCATCTTTATATCGTTCGCTGTCGGGGACTTGGGAGTCCAATGTGCCGAAGTAGCGTTCTTCAGCTTCACCGACTACATTGTGCCTGTACCGTCCAGGATCAAGACCTAGGTCCAAGGTAAAGATTGGTTAGGACGAGGGGACGGTGAGTAAAACGAAATTGTATACGGACCTAGACATTCAGCCAATCGAGCTCTGTCTGTTCCCTCGATCGGATCACAGAGACGCTCGACGGGTGGTAGAATCTGGTTAGCCAGGTAATATTCGTAATCTGCGAAAACGAATTTAGCCCCAAAAAGCAGAGCCGCCACAGGGATGAGCAAGCCGTACCGATCTTCAGCTCCTCAGCAGCCTTCTTGATCTCCTCCGGATGCCTCGCCCTCTCTGCCTGTCCAGTTTTCCCTCCTGACCCCTCAGTCGCTTTCCCCTCGAGGCAGAATATATAAGGAATGACGTCTCCGGCCCTTGAGTCCACACCCAGTCTCTCCTTCATCCTGAACGCTACCTGAACGTGAGGTTGGCTCTTGGCGTCGGGGTAGTCCTTGGGGTTCTTTCCTAGTCGCTTGAAAATGATGAATTCCTCGACTTTGACTTGGTTGGTTCTGATAGAGGTAGATAGCGTGGTGAGATATTCGTGAATGTTCTCGACGACGACCTCGGTCGGTTCACCCGAGAGGATTTGGTCAAGAACATATCTGTGGTGCGGAGTTAGAATAGCTTCGCCTCCGCCGAAATCAAACAAAACCGGACGTACTGGGACACAGACTTGGAGAGTGCGCAGTACTCTCGTCGTTTCATGTCGAGACCTTTAACCTCAGTCGTAGTTCGTGTCCCATCCTCGACTTTGATAGCGGCATACTTCTTCTTCTGCAGCAGCAATAGCCGCTGGAAGACACCGTCCAGGTCGATCTCAAGGAGTTTGTATCGCTCATTAACAGCCTTCTTGAACTCGGCTGAAATCTTGAGGGCGTCGGAAAGCTCCGTTACGTTGGAGTTTACGAACAGGGAGTCCGTGTCACCGTAGATGACCTACAACATACGATGAGTATCCATTTGCAAGAGCGAAGAAACTGGTGAGGAGAAACATACGTCAAGTTGAAGGCTCTCCGCCAACTCCCTTGTGTTGGTCAGAATCTCACGACCCTTGAATGTCGTAAGAGCGGCAAGAGGTCGAGCAAAGAACCGCGAGCCTTCGAAACCCAAACACCCGTACATACTATTGGCCGTAAGCTTCAAGGCTTGTTGCTTGATGTCGAACTGAGAGCACAATATTAGCCTCCATAGAAGAACGAGAGATGGACGGCATACCTGCAGGAGTTTCGCATGGGGCAGCGAGCGGTCTTTCATGAGAGATTTGACTTGTCGACGTCGGTTTACCAACGTGGCAATAAGACGTGGGAGAACACCCTGTGGTACGTCGTCCTCTGGAGGTTCAGGGATCTTCTCCTCTTCGCCGTCCTGCGAGCGATACAATAAGTACTTTAAGAAAATGCAAATGGTCAAGTGATATAGATACGAACCTCGGCCTCCGGTCGATCAATCGTGGTGAAGTCGATGTTGTACTCTTGTATGATACTGGGGTACAGCGAATTGAAGTCCATGACCAGGATGTACTTGTCCCATAAACCCCTCTTCGGCTCGAAGACGAGACCACCCTTGTACTTATCCTTCTTATTCTTGCTCTTCTTCCCTGTCTCCTCGCCGTCCTCATCGACCTCGACTTTGATCTGAGCCGCCTTCCTACCCCATTGCTTGTCCGGGCAGATATATTTGAGCCGATGGAATTCGTGCAGCAGAATATATTCGTTCCGCTCAGCACGGCCTCCGTTCAACGTCTTGTTCCTAAGGTTAGAAATTAGGATGGTGCCGGGAAGAAAAATCAAGTACAAAAATAACGAACCATGAGTTACCTGCGAGATTCGTCAACTGCCTCGTTAAAGGCAGCATCTGAACCTTACAAGCCAGCGCCATCTGCAAATGAGCATCCAGCTCGCAATGCCTCACGAACCTAACCAACTTCTCCGGCCCCTTCACCGCAAAATCGAAATACTCGTGTGTCTCGTCCGCATCAATATCCTGTCTGTCCACCTTCAAATGCGTCTTGCACATCTCGGTAAGCGCCCACGTCGTCGATGAGATCATCGACTTCGCAGCATCAGAGCCGAGGTCACAGAGTAGCCGACCTTGAAGGAAACGGATGTTGGTGCCCTGTCGACCAATGTTGGGCCACTTCACGCGACGGAAGCGACCGAGACGGGACCAGTGATCGACTTTGAGCTCGCGCATGCGATGAAGAAGGACATCGAGGGAGACACCGAGGAACTCGTGTCCGACGACAACATCTGGGTCGGCTTTGTGAAGAGTGACTGATACGACAGAAGATTTTGAGCGTTCAGGAATCTTTAAAGTTAGCAAGAAGAACTCTTACGTAGGAGGCTGCTCAAGAGCATGCGCTCGTTGAGCACAGCAGAAATCGTCCCCTTGCCATTCGACCTGACGACGTTCTCGAAGTTCGGTGGAAAACGTTCAAGTGGCCGTACCAGCGTGTGCACGCTGCATGGTAGCTGCTCCGGTGGCGTACCGTCTTCGATCTGAACTGCAGAACACCATGAGACCACTACCCTCAGTACTGCTCAAGACACAGGAACGCTTACAGTTCGACCAAATTCGGGCAGTAACACATACAATCTCTCTGATATTCTCCGCATGATTAACAATGGTTCGGACACTGAGGCTCGCGACGGTGAGAGGTGGCATCTCCTTGGGTGCATGGGCATCCGTTTCTGAAAAGGGGTTGAAGTCCTTCGGGTCGCTCACAATCACTTCCATTTTACACCACGAGGCCTTTATAAATACAAGGCTCAGAAAATCGGTAGATAAATAGCAGTCGAAATCGAGACTCACTCCCTGGTGCTCGACGTGTGGCTTCTGCACCTTGATCCAACAGGGGCCCATTATCCGCCGCTTGATAACGAGAAGTTCGAACGCACTGGTGTTGCTACCGAAAACGCGAGAGAAGTTCGGGCTAGTGACATCGGTAGGTATTTGTGGTTCTGGCGAAAGGTTCAGCGAGACAGAAAGCATAATCAAAAGCGACAGAAGTACCATCGAACCCATAGACGACCTTTAACCACGAAGTCTCCTCCTTTGGAACATCAGCCACTCCAAACGCGTATTTCCTCTTCACAAACTTGGCCTTCCACGTCTTGATGCCTGCCTTCTTCCGCACCTGGTCGAAGTCACTGTAAACGTCTTTCATCCCAGGCACAACATCAGTCTCGTAACCTTCGCCGTCCTGTCGTTTTTCTCGAGGAAGAACGAATAGATTCCGCTGCAAGTTGTTAACGGCGACGCAGCATGAGACCCATGCCTTCGTTGTTTTGTCGAGAGTCTTGCCGATAAAGTAGAGAACACCTTCGTGCTCAAGATAGTCGAGCCAAAAGAAGCGGAACGAGCCGTCAGGTTCGAGGGCGGAAATATTGTTGGTGTTCTGCGGGGCAGTGGCGGCAGCCGTGTTGAGGGTACCAAACGATTCGTCGCCAGCGACAGCAAGAGAGTCGTAGACGGAGAGCCATGATGGATGTTCTTCCTCCTTCTTGGTTTCTGGTTTCGCAGGCTTTGAAGGCTTAAGGTCGACGGGCTTGGGTTCGACTTTGACTGTTGGTTCTTCGTCCACCTCCATAAACGAGCTCATGTCCATCTCGTCGAAAGACGCGTCATAATCGATATCTTCGTCAGTGGTCGCGCCTACATCCATCTTGCCCATTTTCTCGATAGCTGGTTTTATTTCGGGCATCTCGCCTGTACGTGGCCTCTTCCGCGGGCTTGGAACCCGTTCGACGACATCATAATCAGAGGGTGGCTCGAAGCCATTGTCGAATCCATCCGAACTTGGTGCGTCAGAGTAAGGATCGTGACTACTGTCGCCATTTCGGTAAGCCGGACGAGGAGGAGATGATGATCGGGAGGCGTAGCGATAACTCGGTGAAGGTTTGCGTTTCCTAGACCCTGAAGCGTGTTTAGATGCGGCGGGTACAGGCTTGGTGTCCATGTCGCCTAGTAGGGCAGACATGAAGTCGCTCTCTTGTTCAACGGAGACGGCGGGTCGATAGGCTGCGATAGGCGCAGGTGCCGGTGGAGGAGGGGCTTTCGCTTTAGGCTTCGACTTTGACTTCCCATTAGTCTTCTTCGCTGTGACCCGATAGCCTTCAATCAGCCAGTGGCATAGATGAGAGGAGGAAGATCATACAAGCTCGTCTATCGTGTTCTTCCTCCTCATCCTGACTGTCACCACCGCCCGTCCAATCATCCATGCCGTTGTCCATATAACCATCTACACCATCATCTTCAACGAAATCATCCTTCTGGAGGCGGCCCTTGACGATGCTTTTGTATTGGTCCTCGGTCACGACATCGTATAGATCAGCTTCTTCTTCATCCTGAATGATCATGTTTCAGCATCAGAATCGGTGATGGCACAGAAAATATATTCAAAGAAACTCAGGACTTAGAATTACGATCGGAGAGCATGCCTCCTCCGAACAAGGAAAGGTGGTCATCCGCGAGTGTATCACACAACTCGTACCGCATCTCGTAGTCAGCTGCAGTCTCGTTCGACGAGGTAGACCTAGCCTATAGTGCATATAAACTCCATACGGAGCACAACGACAATACCGTTGCAATAGATACACGCAAATGTGGAATGAGTTCTCCATCGCCCGCACCCGAACAGGTGGACTGGTCAGACGCGGTGTCTCGCCGAGCGCGCCTGCGCCATATATACTATTCCATCAGAGTAAACAAGCAAGCATTTGCTCCAGCGCAAGCATGCATAGGGTAAAGACGTAACAGAGCGTACTCAACCTCTGCATTCACGAAATGACACACACCTTCCATGTCCTACCTCCTCCTTCTCTCGCCTTCTTATATTCCGCTAACTTCGCAAGCTTGTCCTTTCTATCACGCCTCGCACGTTCTGACATCGTGCTGGTCTGATATATGAGTTTGTATGAGATATCGCGAGACCAACCGCGAGAGGAAGATTGAAATGAAGGATGACCGAAAGATGCGACCCGACGCGTCTTGGACGCGCCTTGTGGCGGAGTTCGAAAGCGCGTCGCGCTATCGGCTTGACCCGCGCCTCTCTTCACTCAATATTAATAGGAACGCGACCACTCACCGTTCGTGTATTACAGTAAGTACCTGTCAACATTTCGGTTCTACCTGAGCTCAAACTCAAAACCATAGATTAGTTGTTCGCCAGCGCCTTTTTATTATATTACTATGGATTCTGACTTGGACACTCGCCCCTCAAAACGTCCCAGGCGCCATGATCAAGGCGTGCTCGGTCCAGCTGCAGAAGAGAGCGGCTCGAATAATGCAGAAAGCGTTCATGATTATGCGTTCGTCAAGGATGAGGAACTCTGGATCCGTGATGGAAACATTATTCTAGTATGCGGCGGCCATGCCTTCAAAGTTCACGAAGGGGTCCTTGCCCTCAATTCCGTGGTGTTTCGCGACATGTTCAAGGTCGCCACATCCTCAGCTTCGTTCGACCAATCTGCGCAAGAATGCCCAATTGTCCACCTCGACGACAATGTAGATGATGTCAAGCACATTTTGAGGGCCTTGTACCATAGAGAGTAGGTCTTCTCTTGATTTTGTTGACGCGAGTACGCTGGGTCTCTGACGCTCGCTATCGGTAGCTACTTTCAACCAGGCTTGAAACCCGTCGTGATGACCACACTTGCCTCTCTGCTTCGCATTTCCACAAAATACATCATGGACATTATCCGCGAGGATGTCATCGAACATCTCCAAATTTTATTCCCGTCGACGCTCGAGGCGTATCAGTCCCCAAAGCGCACCGCGATGCATTCGGAAGACCATAACCCTGTCCTCGCCGTCAATCTCGCCAAAGCCAACGACGTACCATCCATCCTTCCATGCGCATACTACGAATGCATGATCCTTCCCCTAGACTCCATTCTCGACGGACTACCACAACCGAACGGCGATCATGCCAGTCTATCACCATCCGCCCAGCGTACATGTATCATCGCCCGCGAAACCCTTCGAAAACTCATATTCACGGAAGCTGATTACAGAATCTGGAAAGGCTGGGACGCTGGTGATTGCGATGACTCACTATGGTGCTTCCAAAAATGGGAGAAAATACGCAAAGATGCTCAAGAAGGCCACTACTGGAACGACGGATACAGCTACGACGTGTTCGCGACGAGCCCCTCACGTGATTGGCTTTGTTCGAAAGCCTCTCAGCGTCCGTGTGAGGAGTCGTGCTGGCCTGAGTGGACGGAGACCGAGATACATGCAAGGCGTCGTATTTGGAGTCTCTTGCCGAGCATGATTGATCTCGGATCGTGGCCTCTTGTTCTGAAGCAGGGAAACGCGGAGGCGGACCAGGACGAAAACACGGGCCAAACAGCATAATCTTGATAGGGACCAACGTATGGTACACATATAACGTCCCCAATACAGTAGAGTACAGCATGAATTCTTGATCTACTGTGCTACCGACTCCCATTTTTCTATTCCATACAATCGCGGCAACTCGTTCCATAACAAGTTTTTACCTTTCTCTTCCGCTTGCTCCATATGCCACTGGCAATGCTCGCACAAAAACACCGTCTCGCCTTGTGCACTCATCGCGCCCTTCTTTAGAATATTGTGTGAAGGGTCCCAGTATCGTCCCGCATGGGCTTCATACGCCAATTCTGCCACTGCCCCCACACACGATAACTCGTCCTCGCACGATATCCTGCCGAACCCTTCTCTTTTGCCCCACAAGGAAACGTCCGCCATCGTGTGATAAAGTCGCAGGAGCATGTCTCGTCCCTTAAGGCACTTCCGACGCGCGCTCGGTGGAAGCTCCACCCGAATCTCCTCTTTAACCTCGGCGTCCTTTCCTTGAGAGTCCCCCTCTGAATCCGCCGAAGCCATCTGGAGCACGAATCCATCGAACAGCTCCTCTATCTTCAACAGAGAACACTCGTAATACGCCACCGGCATGATCGACTTCACGTCATTCTCCTCCGCCATATTCACTGCCAGAATCGGATGGTAGTCCACCGGGGTGAGGGCTTTTCTGTCATCGCTGACATAGGCGTCGAGGGTGGAGGGAAAAAGGATTTCGAGGTGTGATATTACGTCGTTTCGGAGTCGAGAGACGGCGTATTTTGTGGAGGAACGGAGAAGTGAGGAGAGGGTGAGGAGCGTATAGGGTTTGCCTGGTTGGAAGTGTCTGAAAAGATAGATCGGGTTAGCATTAGCGTATCGCGAGCAATAGTACTTGTCGACAGGAAGAAGAACGGGTCTGAATCACGACTAACCTCCGGAGATACAACGCATTCAGCAGATTAAGAATATCTTCTGCCTTGTCCGGCAGATCCAGCACCAACACACTGGGACCAGAAGATAGAGCAGAACTGGGCGCCGACGACTCTATAGTTTCGATATCGGGCACAAGCTTTGCCTCATGTTCTGCGAAAAGTCTCTCAAAGACGGGCGAATGCATGGACAAAACGCCGCGATGGACGCGACATTCGAAATGTTCGCAACGAAGAACAACGTTGCCATCGGACATCCATAGACCTCGTTTGTATTGGGATGAGGAAGGCTGCAACCTGTTAGCGCTAGGATTGTGCAATGAGCCCGGAAGAGATGCCATAAGTACACGATGAAGTTCGTTGAAGATAGCAAATCGTACTCGCTTGCCCGGTTGAAATCCCGTGTACTCTGCCTTTGGGAGACTAGCAAATCGCAGTGCGAGACCGACGCGACGCGACGCGATAAGTGTTCATTACGCCACATTGTAGTGCCACACACTGGCTTCCCACTATATTTCTGTACGACCTTGTACGACTCAGTGACGAGAGCTTCTATGGCAGCAGATACAAATGGTACAAACAAGATGAAAAGGCTCGTAAATGTGGCAGGAAATTTGAATACTAGGCGAACGAGTTGACACTTCCTCAACGGACGAGACATCCAAATGCGATGGCTCAGACGCCACTCAATATCATCACTGTCACACCTGCTACAACCAAACCCCACCCTCCAAATGTCCATGGTGCAAATGATGAATGCCCCGCTGCATTGGTCAGACCACTAAGATTCGAAGGCAGCCCCTGGTACTCAAAAGTCACATTCTGTGCGAAAGAGGTGTTCCTGCATCCGCCGTTAGCGATGTCGATGTCCTTGAGGTCATCCTGAACGCGCTTTCGGATAAGTGTGAGCACAAAAATGTCGACAAGAAAGAAGGTATGTTGAAACAGGTCAAGTCAGTTCGGGCGGCGTATGTGTGAGAAACGAAGCCATAGAGAGGAAGATAAGGGACTTACGGGTGTCCGGAAGAACATATACGTGCTGTTGTCTATCCCTTCAAACCCACTGGTGTCATATGGGAAATGGTCCTTGTCATCCGTCGCCGAGGTATTCCTCAGCAGGATGCACTATGCGACACTCGTATCAGCCGATCGAGCCTTTCTCCGAAACACAGAAAGAGGGACTGAAGGAGCCCACGTACAGAAACTTGACTCCCAAACGTTGCCCGCGCAAGCGGATAATCTTGCATCACATCCGGATTGGACGTATCAGCAATGAGGACAAAACTCCTGTTCGGAAACGTCTCAAGGATCTGGAAAAGGGTGACTTTGCGGATGGAGAGTGTTTGGTCTATTGTTGTGAAGTTTTCGGGCCGGACATCGAAGGAGCCTGTAGCGCACATAGTCAGCTATCAGCTCTGATGAATGAAGACGAGAGGATGACAAAGGGAGGTACTTTATGTACTGACCAAGCGGGTACTCCGAATATACAAAACTCTCGTAAGCTCTTGTGACTTGTTCGGGGGTTGTAGTAAGATAGTGGAAATGGATGTTTGGGACAGAGATACTCCAATTTTGAAAAATTTCGGGCATGTTCATCCATGGTCGGTAGGCATACGCGAAGGAGTTATCAAGCCCATCCTCTGGAGAGTAGATCTACTGCCGTAGCGCTTGTAGTTAGCGATTGAGAGCGACGTGGAGATGAAGGAAAGCATGAGGATGACGTGAGGCGCACTTGGGTAATACGAAGGATATCGTCGATGTCGGCCACGATGGTAACTCCCTCTGTTGACGGAAAATACGCTGTGGCGTTCCCAGCTGCACACACCACGCCTATAAGTCTCCATAAGAGATAAAAGATATAGCTCATCCAACTCGCTATTAGCATCCTGCCCAGAAACCACGTTAACCACGGTTGTGTTCAGCCCGCCCTGTCCATCTGGCACGTTCTTGCCACTCAAGCTTCCCAACCCCACCCATTCATTGAACTCGCCAATTGCATCCGTTTGCCCACTCAATGTGAAATTTGCGACGTCGCCCTCATCCTCTCCAAATGTCAACAAGAAATCGAGTGTGACGCCAGATTGAGGGATCACAAGGAGAGAGGCGGTGAGATTTCGTGATTCCGCTAGTTCGGACGAGTTGAGTGATGATGTGTTGAGGTTCGGAAGGAATGGTTTGGCTGCGTCGTCGATTTGAGAGTCAGAAAGAGGAGGTTGCTTGTAGGCTGTGCCATGCATCCGGAGTTGCCAGCCGTTGCTTGTCCAGTTGGCATACCCGCTGAAGGCACGAACGGACCGCCACCCGTCAATCCGAGTAGTATAACGTAGATTGATTGCTAATACGCACGGCACATTCAACACCTGCAGCGGCTCCGCGTCAATCTGCTCGTCAGTCAGATTATATTTCGCTTTGATATCATCTGCTGTTGGTAGTCCAGTATACGCAGGTAGGATCCCGTTCGCCACGTCACTAGGTAAAGCACCAAGATACGACGTGACTGCAGCAGGTATAGCGGTTATACTGCTTATGATGCCAGACAAATCTCGTCGCTCTCTGTCGTACGACAGAGTCTCCAGTCGGTCGCCGACGCGCAATATTGGTGTCGGCGTGATGCCAGGGCTCGGAGGGATTGTGGCTCCATTTACGAGAGGCAGAGTGCAAATGATAGCAAAACCAGTCATGTACATCGTCGCAGCAGACAGAGTAGGGTTAGCGCAAACGAAGTGACAGACAGCGCTCAGCTGAAAGTTCATGCTTTGTACAAGCTACAATTCATGGCGTGACGTCATGAAAGCGTGGCGGTTGGGAGTGTTGGGGGTAGGTACGGACTTGGCAGTCGTATTGTCATGCAGGCACGATGAGGGTGTGAATGCGGTGCTGGCGGGAGTAGTGGCTTGTTCGTTGGCGACATGATGAAGGCCTTGAGTCGAGGTAGCAAGATAAGCATGAATATTGATGGGACAAAAAGTAACAGTAAAAATGGCATGCATTATCGATATCGAGGCGCCTCAAGAAGTAGCATGGTGTGGATCGTTAGAGAGTAGGCTGAGCATCGGCAAAGCTCACAATTGAAACGACGTGAGATGGAGTCCCGAGTTGTTGTGAGTCTAGATATAATGAAAATTTCGGGAACACTCCTGATATGATGAATGAACATTCGGGTAAGATTCATGATTCGGGCTGAGATTCAATCAGGGGCGTATTAAGAGCAGAAAACACTGTGGTCGTCGTGGAAGATGAGCAGAAGCCACAGCAAACCCGATTTGGACGAAGGCGGTTGTTGTGGTTTGTTAGGATCTAAAGCTATCTTCTTTGCCGGCGGGTCAAGTCTGTAACCAATCCCCTCCAATGAAAGCCGATCGGCATGGCGTCGGCATCCAAGCGATGATCGGCCAGCACCAAGGCACGGTTGCCGCCGGGGCCGCCGGCCAATCAACAGCTAACTGTTCGGCCGTTCCGATAGCCTTCAATTTTACCTCCTATTTTATGCGCAAGGTATTTTTGTTTTTGTTTTTGCTATAGAGAGCAGGTATACAGACTCTGATCTGAAGAGGTGACCTCGAGGATATAGTATGTCTCTTCATGAAGAGCACTAGGAGAAACGCGCCGATACCTCACGCGTTTGGATACCGCACGGTGAAGCGGGACCCTTCACGGAAAAGGTTTTCAGCCTGCCAATGACTTGCATCAGAATGGGCGGCTTTCAGCCTTTAAAAGCGTTCCCCCCTGCCTTGACCGTTTCAAGATCGTGACTCGTTCCCCACTTTCTTCCATTGGCCTTGCACCTCAGCCAGCGAAGCTCTTGTTTTGCTCTCCTCCCCTGGCATTGCTAGTCCTCGTCTTGTCTCTCGTCAAGCCACAATGCAAGGTAGTGCGGCCCCATCAGAACGCACACTCTACGCGCAGCCTTCAACAACGCCGCAAGGCGAACATATCGATGGATTGGCGCTCAGGAGTCTGGACGACATTCGGAGTCATGCAAGCGACGATGTCGTTGACCCGAGACTATTAGCGGAGGCGCGACCAAGTCAAGAGCGGTTGGACGAAGGCTTGGTGAGGCAGTTCAGTGATATCGTCCACCACAAGGACCACCCGCACCATCACCATCACTCCCACCAAAAAGAAAACACTGGAGACGTAGAGAAAGGAACTAACGAGAAGACGGAAGGTTCAAAGGAGGAAGAGGTCATCTATGTGCGTTTCTCCCCATGCTTGCTTCACCTAGGAGGTCAAGGCCAATCTCCTCAAAAATATCTCAAAAATATTGCTCCCAGGTAACATTTGAAGAGAACGACCCTCGAGATCCTATCAACTTTCCTAAATGGCTTAAATGGGCAATAACAATCACGGCCAGGTTCGCAGGCTATACTATCTCGATTTCATCTTGGTAGCGCGGCTCACACAATATTTCTGTTGTTTTTGTTGTGCCCTCGCTTGGCTATCAGCATGTTTACCTTACTCGCATGTATGTTCCACTTCTATCCTCCATTTGCACTCCCAGTTTCGAACTCGAACTCACCGACCATGTCGGAATCATACAGCCGCAAATGGTGCGACCTATACTCTCGGTTTCGACACTATGACGGTCGACCTCAATTGCACAACGTTTCAGGCCACCATCGGCGTTGCGATGTATTGTTTAGGTTTCGGAATCGTGCCACTCTTTAGCGCTTCATTCAGCGAGGAGTTTGGCCGGCGCCCACTGTATGTGGTCTCGAGTGTTGGCTTCATGCTGATGCACATTATGGCTGCCCTGTGAGTCTTCTCGTTCCCCTTCTCATCGTTGCGACATGCGTGCTGACCATCGCCGGGATACTCATGTATGCGCCACAGGTCACAAAACGTCTCGACCGTGATTGTAGCCCGTTTCCTGAGTGGCGCATTCGGGTCAACTGGGAGTACCATGGTGGGAGGTTCGATAGCTGACATTTGGAGACCGTACGAGTACGTTTACCCCATCCACGTCCACTCATCTCTCAACCTAATCATTTGCTGCTCCTTGTCTTGACTTCGGTTCGATTGCTTGGCCATAAAGGCGAGGAACACCAATGTCTATATTCACACTGACAGCCATCTCCGGCGTCGCTGTTGGCCCTGTGGCCGCAGGCTGGATCGATATGGACCCCCGTCTGGGGTGGCGATGGATTCAGTGGATTCACGCTATGTACGTCGCTAATGTCTTCCTGCATATTATCACGATTTCTTTCTCCATCCATGTACTAATACATCGTCCTACGCTTTCATAGCGCTGCTGGCCTTCTATGCTTTGGCATTTGGATATTCATGAAAGAAACCCGTGGGTCCATTATTCTTACCCGCTTGGCAAAGAAAACAAGAAAGGAAACGGGCGACACCAGGTACAGGGCCCGTGCAGAGGACGAGACGGCGAGTTTGAAGACGTTGATTTGGATTTCATCGACGAGGCCGTTCTGTGAGTCTTTTTCTGCCTTCCTCCCAGCTCCATACAAACTCATTGAGTTATCATCTCATTATGTTGCGCAGATTTGTTGATCTCAGAGCCGATTGTTGCGGCGTGTAGTGTAAGCGCTAGCTGTCCTTCACCCAATATATTTGAGCTAATAATCTCGACCTTCATTTTGCCACCATCCGATAGCTCTGGATCGGATTCGCATGGGGCATCCTCTACTGTATGATTGAGTACGTGTCCTATGGACTTCTTCGGCACATCTTCTCTCCTTTTCTCCTTTCTGCGCTGTATGTTTAAGTTACTAACCTGTCGATCATGGCCCTTCTGTTTCGTGGGTATCTCACAGGTCAATAGGCTCCGTATTTCGCGACTTGCATGGCTTCAACACCGGCGAGATGGGAACCGCGTTCTTGGCTGTTCTCGTTGGGGTCATCTTTGGGTTTGCGAGCACATTACATCAGGAGAGACTGTATCAGTGCGTATATCTTTAGATCCTCATTCCTTCTTCAGTCACTGCTACCCTGGTTCTTTCTCATACCCCATATACCCCTTCCTTCCGACGCTGAACCCTAGACTTGTTCCTCCCTTGCCTGACCTGTCTGGCTCGTGCAAACAGAATCTGATGCCCTTTGTTTGCATATAGGAAATATGTGAAGACTCGTGGATCCGAAGCTCGCCTGTACTGGGCCTGCGCTGCGGGCATCATGTTCCCAGTGGGGATGTTTATCTATGCATGGACAACATTCCCTTATGTCCCTTGGATAGCACTCTGCATCGGAATTGCCGTAAGTTCTTTCTCCTATCATCGTCACTGCCGCTGTCGCCTCTTGTCTGGTCATCCCGATGCCTGAGCTTGTAGGATGAAGGTGCTAACAAGATGCTGACCCGATTTTTACTCGACAGATCGTAATCTGGGCAATTTACATCATGTATATGGCTGTTTTTGTTTACCTCGCTGATATGTACGTCCATCAACTTCTCGCCCACACTCCACGTCTTGCTTATATATGCTCTGTCGTATCGCCACATGTTCGACCTGCGTACAGCTACGGGCCCTTCGCTTCTTCTTCCCTCGCCGGCCAGTCCCTCTGCCGTAACCTGATGGGCATGGCCTTCCCGCTCTTCACGAACCAGATGTTCGCCGCAATGACGTACAAGTGGGCGAACACGCTGTTCGGATGTTTGGCGGCGCTGATGGCGCCCATTCCGTTTGTGCGTATCCTTTCTTGTTTCCGTATTATCGGCCATCTAATGAGAATATTCATCGCGGTTGCCTGATGCAGATCCTGCTCTTTTATGGACCTAAAATTCGAGAGTATAGCAAGTTCGCCAGACAGGCGATGCACAATTGAATGGCCTAGTCCCCGACATGTTCTCTCACATTGCTTGCTGCTGCCGACCGAGATCACCATTCGTCTCATAGTCAAAACCGAACTTGCTTGTAGAGTAAGTAGGCATGAAATTCATGAATATGGGAAGGGTCATGATGGGGGCGGGGAGGGATGACAGCCGATGTTACTGCGAGTTTTACACAACTCACGACGGGACGATTTTAATGATTTTAGGGTTGGAGAAGAATTCAATTTCTGCTTTGCTTTTCAGTCAGCTCTAGTATCCTCATGCGTGCGCGGTAGACACTTTCCACGATGTCGTTCATCGCCGGAACGATGGTGGTCGCTCGATAGAGTACGTTCTAATGTTTCTGTTGTACTATACTACGGGCAGCGACATGAAGACATGATAATGACGGGCTTACGTGGACAGACTGTCGTCGAGTGTTTGTTCGTACATACTGAGCTCCACAATTATGTGCTGGAACAGATGAGAGTGCGGATGCTGACTGGATTGTGCGGTGCATGAACAGCCAGCTTTTGAATATTGAGTTGTGCTGGCCGTGTTGACCAAGTCTTCTATCTCGAAATCTCCTCAACATTCGCTATGTAACGTCTCGGGCATCAGGTTTTGGTATTGAACTATCTAGAATGAGATGAGGATAGCATATAATGGGCATAGACATGTGTGCATAGGGAGAGATACAAGCGATAACAGGAAAGCATATGTGGAGGAAAGCGAAGAAGTAGCCACAGTGATCCCTCAGCGGCTCCCCTGTCTAGACTGAGACTCTCTGCTTATCGTCCTGAGCCTCTTCAACTCGCGCTCGTCAAGACTTGAAGAGCTCGTGCCTACAAGAGCGTACCCATGTTCGTCCAAAGATTTCTTGACAAGGTCGTCTTCCCCTTCGTCACGAGTGCGTTTCTTGTTATTCACGTTCTTGTCTTTCTGTTCGAGGGCGCGCGGATTCGCCAAACGAGTCTTCTTGGCCGGATACTGGATTTTCAGCTGAGCATCATCCGGGTCCCGAGGATGTTTTCTGGATGAAGAAAGCCCAGCAAGACTGGGCTCGGGGATGGGAGTGACCGGACGGCAAAAACGTCCGATGGCTCTGAGATCATAAGTATCAACGTCATGTGAGCGCCTTGTCAGGCTCTGTACTTGCTGAAAACCAGCGGAACCCTGTCTGGACTGTGAATTCCTCTCAGAAGATTGCATATATTTCAGCAAGCGAGTTTCGAGATCATCGGCAGGAGGAGTATATGCATTCCCTTGCGATTCGCGCTTGATAACCTCGGACGGTCGACTCTCGGTACTCGGCCCTGTGAGAGGAGGCCCGGGTATACGGGGGCTGAATGGGCTCACTTCGGTTTTAGGCTTCTGAGCGCTGGACTGCGATGAAGGACCGGATCCCTGAGGCTTCCCTTTGGATTCGTGTTTGATAACGTCAAGAGAAGAGGTACCTCTCGTGAAAGGATGACTAGACACTTCAGAGCTCGCCTGGGATTTGGCTTTGACACCGCCAACAGGATGGGGTTCAATCCTTGGACCTATAAAGCGAGGCCTAGACGTGTGGCAGTCATCCTGTCTTGCTGCATCCTTGTCTTCGAGCGTCTTTCTCGGTGGGCTATTGTCGGTCAATTTTACGAGGGGAGGCCCTGACACCAGAGGGTTGAGCGGGCTAGGGAGACAAGAGTGTGGTTTATATGTCTCTTCCATGGGTGTGTCTTCAGGCGGAGATCGTAAGCGCTTCGGAGGCCGAGGTGGTGGCGGAGGAATTGGAAGAGGGACGAAGTCCGCAGAGTTGATGGGAGGACGGGGAGTGAGAACCCCCGTATGAGGAGAGGAGCGTTTAGAAGGAGTTCCAACCGAAGGAATCTGGGGAGTAGGAGAGTCGACTTCGGGAGGAGGCGCAGCCTCTCTCGCAAAGCGCCTGGGAGGAGGTGAGCTGGGGATACAAGAAACATCAGACGAAGCGTAGGAGGAAAAAAAAAGAAATATCGTACAACAAATGGTCATAACTTGAATCATCGTCGTCGCTATCGTCGTCATCACTATCATAATCTTCCTCATCAACTGGGTCCTCGACAAATACGATCTTAGTCTGAGCGAGAGAGCAATCATCTGTAGCAGCAGCTTGACATCCCGAAAACGACGGCGTCACACTCGAAGCTGGCACGACAGAATACGATACATCGGGATCTAGAGCGTCAAGAGCGAGTGGACCTGTATCAACATGATCGATCTGCGGAAGGTCAGGGTTTGTTGAGGAAGTGTTGGCGTTGGACTCAGAGCGTGGCCGATCTGCATGCTCCGGAACTGAAGCACGGGCAGCTAAAGGCATTTTGGTGTCGAAGCTCAGAAGACCGCTGGGATGAGTCGAGATGCTGTTAGCGTCGGATCACTCAGATTAGACACGAGGTACTCACTACCGTGAGCCCGTGGCCTTCTTCCAGATTATCCTCTCAAATAGCTGGTCGCGTATCGACTCGTCCTCGTCTATGTGCTTCGAGGGTATAACCACCGCTAGTGGCTTCGACTCGAAGCCCTTGTCGACAAGCGGGCTAGGTGCAGGATTTGAGGGCGCAGACATTGTAGATGAAGATTCGAACGTAGTAGTTCAGAAGGGAGATGAGCGACACGGAGGGCACTACCGTGGTGCTCTTTATATAACCGTTATGGGTGACGCGGTGTCAGTTGATCACCCGGCACGCAACTGGTCGACTGGCAAGCCGGGAATGACACGTCAATGTATCCTTGGCAACACTGTTACGAAATTATGTAAGAGGAGAAAAATAATCGGTTCTTGCCTTTTTGGTCGTGAACAAAGAGCAAGTTGTTCGGAGGCACGATAGGGCGGCGATCGAAGCGGGCGCTTTATGATGCCGGCAACATCCGCGCCACCGCCATGGTTTTCGCATTGGTCGAACAACGTCACGGTTCCTTTCAAGTTCCTTTATCCTTCGACCTCCTCACTTACATCGTGTAGGCGACATGCTCCTCTCATGAATCTAGGCCTCATATACAACGGCATGCGCATACTTTTGTCGTCTGAACGAGTGTAAGAAAGCATAATCCTGCGAAAATTATCCATACACTTGCCATACACAGAGGTGAGTACTGTATGACAGGCCCTACGCTCTTAGCTCCAGGTCAAACTCATTGCACTCTGCTCATGAACTGCCAGATATTCCACCTGCTACCGTCTTTCGATGGGCGACTCCGTAATCATGGTATCTCACTCCAGCCCAACTCCAACGACATGACGCAAACACGAAGCATACAAAGCAGTCCCTGATCAACGCGACGATGGCCACTCCATAGCTTTCTGAGTCCGTCTTGAAAGGCGTGAATCTGCTCTTGCTTTCTTATCGATCAACCTTGAAATTGTCCTCGGCCAAAATCCATATGTACCACCTTGCTGCTATAAAAGGGGGAATGCTGAGGATACATCGTACTCAGCTTATTGCTGTCGCATTGCTTCTGTCAGGCGCGTCTTGCCTCAGACGTCCGAATACCTTTCCTTCGTCCTTTATAGCTGCATTGGCATACTCCGGTTCCATGTCTACGTCTAAATCATTCGAGCTTCCTCCAGACTTTGATCAAATTGATCGCGTATTATTCCACAACTTACAGGTTGCGCACAATAACGCGTGTATCCTTCCTCTGGTACGAGCTCTCCGGAAAGCAGGACTTAGGAAGGTCAGCGACTGGACGGCCCCAAAGGCGTGGGCCATGCTTCGTCCTCATTTCATTGGAGATGCGCCTACTCTCGAAGCCAGTATAATGATGCAGTGCGTTGAAATCGTCTCCTCGTGCAGTTCCCAATCCCTTCGATGACTGATGATCTGATCTGATCGATAGAGGGCTTTGGTCGTGGTATGTGGTTCAGAAGACTCGAAAACCTCGGCCATCCGTAGGGACGGGGAAAATATTGCTGGACGGGAAAGGTCCTCCACTCACACGCGCTCGGCCTGCGTCCTGCGTCTGCAGCTTCAAATCCGAGCTCGCCGCAGGATTTTTCGATGGTCGGCAGTACTGCGACAGGTGTCCTGATTGTCCCTTCTCATCTACGCCCCCAAACTCTCCTCTCCGCACAGAAACGGACTTCACCCCCTTGGACACTGCCACTAGTGCTGCTCTTCTCTTTCCTACTCCAGCTGCATCTGAACCCGACTCACCGCCTTCTACACCGCCTAACTCTATCCTCGATGCGCCCCGGCGGCCGACAACTCGATCCAATGCACACTCCCCAGACAGTCCGACCCCTGGACCATCAACTCCCAGGGTACACTGGTCGTCTGATCCTCCCATTCGCTTCAGTACTCCCCTGAGTCAATCGGTGTCGAGTGCTGTGCTTGTAGGGTGGAAAGGGAAGAAACGCATTCGCGAAGCAGAATCGGAAAAGGAGGCGCAGGAAGATGAAGAGGCGACAGATAAAGAGGTGGAGATGGAGATGTATAGGGAGGGAACGAGTAAAAATCTAATTGACGGTCCTTGTGTCGAGCTCTGGGTTGAGGAGAAACGGAAACTAGCGCAGCAAGGGAAGACTCTAAAAGAGAAGGATTGGATGAGGGATGGGGCTAGAAACGGAGAGGCGCTGCATTCCGCTGGGCAGAATGCTGATGGAGTCAGGGAAAAGCGGCAGGTCAAAAGGCGCAGACATCACTGAGTATTGAGGAGGTTGGCAGTTCGACGATTCTAGTGGCTGTTATTATTGGCACTGTAACGGTACCCTTTGTCCGTGCCGAAGTCGCTACCTGCACGCTCCAATATTACCCCCTCATTCAAACTTGCTTTACCCCGTCACTGTCAATATCAGATAGTATACTTAGAGTTTTCTTTTCACATTTAGCTGTTGAAACGAATTTGGTGTGCGGAGAGCCCGAATCTCTGACCGTGAACGCCACAGAACGGCATAGCCACAGCATAATCCCCTGAACTCGCGCCTGGCAAGTCGCGCCTGCCAGTTCACCGACACTTCCTTCCTTCCCAATTTTTCTTGCTATTTGAAGAGTATCTGCTGCAGCACACACCGCTTTATCTGTAATAGTATTGGGCGCGGATTCTGAAGGATACCATTCGGCCCCGCGTATTCTAGGCTGTTGAGATCGTGTTCTCCCAGCCGAACGTTTTTGGACCTTTCACAAGATGTCGACCATTTCCACGCAGCTTCGGAACTTCAAAGAACTAGACAAGGAACAACAGAACCTGTTGTTCTTCTCGATACCAAATGATCCTGACGTTGAGAATGAATTGAAGGAGGGGCATGAGAGGATGGAGATCAATGCGGTGTTGAGCTTGGGTGTTCACGGAGAGGAGGACTCTTATGTACGCATTTCCCCCGCTTGCACTATGATTGTAACGCTAATTGGAAAGAATAAATCTTCAACATTATGTACTCCTCTTGCGGTTTGTGATGATGTAGGCAGGAAAGTTACATTTACTTCCACCATATCTTGCATTCTCGAGCTTGGACCGCAAGTCCGTGCGGTTTACGATCCCGCTATGCACCATCAGACGGGTCGAGAGACTGAACGCACGCGCGGGCATATACGCCCTCAGTCTCTCACTATGGCACTCCATGAAGATTGTACGTCCTTCTCTCTTTGATTTCGAACATAATCTCACGTGCGGTCCCAAAGGTCGTACAACTAACATCCCTCCGACCAACCGCGGACTTGTTCTGTTCCCTACTTCGCGACGCTCTCAAAGTTGAACTTCAAGCCGGCAGAATGAAGGCTGTCAAGGGCTTCGCTAAGACTTGCTACTCGGAGAATTTGGTGGCGGAATCATCGCCGGTGGCGGAGAACGAGAGGGAGGACGGTAGTTTGATTGATGGCGGTGAGAAGGATGGCGAGGGGACAAGAGGACACCCATTCCATGGAGGGCTGGGGCTCAAGTTCAAGTTTCCCGGAGATCCGAAGAAGTGCGTGTCAACATTTGTCCGTGAATGGAATGGCTAAACTCACAGACACCATGGTTATACAGGCTGCGAGAGGCTTCTAAGACAAAGCTGTGGACAACTTATTTGAAGGGTGCGTCTCTATTTACAGTGATATGTTACCTATGAATCAACTCTCGCCGTAGTCCACGGTCGCCACATCACCCTCTTGCGGTATCCACAATGCACACGACTCGTCCAGGTCGGTCTCCCCAACCGTCTACGTGGAGAAATGTGGGAAACTCTTTCTGGATCCATATTCCTTCGCTTCGCACATCCGGGTCTCTACGAGCGGATACTTCAAGAGAATGCTGGGCGGATAAACACCGCCACCGAAGAGATAGAGAAGGACCTGCATAGGAGTCTGCCGGAGTACTCGGCGTATCAGTCAGAGGAGGGCATTGGAGCGCTCAGAAGAGTGTTGCAGGCTTACTCGTTCAAGAATCCAGAGACGGGGTACTGTCAGGTGCGTTCTCCGCACATCTACAGGAGAGACAGTGACGAACAATGTTAAGTAGGCGATGAACATCCTCGCAGCCGCCATTCTGATGTACGACTCGATTCTCGAATACTTTGCTCACATCGCTGACTTTTCTCACAGATACATGTCAGAAGAGCAAGCATTCTACTTGTTAGAGATTATCTGTGACAGACTGCTGCCAGGATATTATAGGTCAGTGACCTCGATCACAGTCGAGCAAGATGCTGATAGTGTTATCGCAGTCCTTCGATGCATGGAACTCTTTTAGATCAACGCGTCTTCGAGTCACTTGTGACTCGTTGTCTACCCATGCTTCATGAGCATTTCACGGAGGTGGATGTTCAGCTGTCCGTGGCATCACTTCCATGGTTCCTTAGCTTGTGAGATTTGAGCATTTCCTACCTACTTTATGTACTAACAATATTTCAGGTTCATCAACAGTATGCCCATGGTGTTCGCCTTCCGGATAGTCGATTGTTTCTTCTGCATGGGTCCTAAAGTTCTGTTCCAAGTAGGGTGAGTCACTTCTCCTTTTCCGCGCGTTGATGTCAATCTAATGCATGACACAGGTTAGGTCAGCATAGAATTGTCTTGCAGACTGTGCTGTGATTGACCTTGCACCGCAGCAATCCTCAAAATCAACGGTGAAAAACTGCTTCAAATCCAAGATGACGGAGGCTTCATCCAGTTGCGTACGCGACCTCCTTCGTGTTCGGACATAAACACTGACGGCTCCAGCCTTACAGCCTGATGCGCGATTACTTCAGCTCGCTGGGCGACTCTGCTCACCCGAACTCTACAGACCCTCGCGCGCGCGCCATCACCCGCTTCCAAGAGCTCCTCCTGGTCTCATTCCGCGAATTTGCCATCATCACTGACGAGACTATCCAAGCCGAACGCCGCAAGTTCCGCAACGAGGTCATCACTTCCATCGAGTCCTTCTCCAAACGGTCTGCTATTCGGAACCTCAAAACGCTTGAGAGATTCACTAAGGATCAGGCGGGTTTGATCTACGATGCGGTGTTTGCGGCGATTTGTGCGGAGCCGGTGCCTGTTGAGGTGGTGCCACCTGTGGCGCCAGCATTGTTGACGACGAAGGATACGGCTGAGGAGAGACCGGAGACAAGAATCGGTTTGAAGACGTTCAGGGTGTTCCTGAGCGAGATTGCGACTTGGGCGAGGGACGAGAAGATTGTAACAAACGGATTCCAGGTTAGACTACTCGGTCCTTGTGCGTGTGAGAGAAGTGCTCATGCTAACGATGTGTTGAAGCGACGGGTGGATCGTGAGGTGGCAGAGCATGAATTCATAGACCGGCTTTTCTTCTTTTGGGACACTTCATACCGTGGATCACTTTCTTTCCAGGTCAGTCCTGCAGTTTTAGTAGCAGATACGAGTAGCTGACACCTGTAATCAGGATCTCGTGTCTGGACTGGATGGCGTCATGTTCAACGACCTCATGGAAAACATCGAGTGGTTCTTTAATCTTCATGACAAGAACAAGGACGGATTCCTGACGAAGGATGAGGTCCTCACCTTATCCGAGTCTCTTCTCGTAAATATTTTGCTTCTTTACCTGTCCTGTTCGCTTTGACACAGATATCTTGCGCCAGTTCATTTTCAGATTCGAGATCGGTGATGCTTACCTGGGCGCGATCAGTCGCTTCATGACCAATGCCTTCGAATACGGCGACGCTCTTCTACCTCAAAAAGAAGGAGCAGACGGCGAGGCACTTGAATCTCCACAAATTGAATCTAACCAACCTTACCTCAACCTTGCCACATTCCGTATGGTCGTCCTCGCCGACGAAGTCCTCGAATCCTTCTTCGAGACCGATCTCTCCGCTTCTTTCAGACTCGAACCCGTCCCCCTCATGGAGCTTCCACCTTCCAACAGTGGTTTCCTCGGTGGCATCTGGTCGAACATCGCCTCTGATGACAACAAGAAGCTCTTCCACAAGTTCAGCGACGAGCTGGGAAAGACCATCGGAAAACACCAGGTCATCCACCGACCATCCATCGGGAGATACACTACTATCGAAGAGCCCAAAGCTCGCGAATCTCTACTTTCGCCCCACATGCGCCGCACGCCATCCAAATCGTCGTTGCAGACCGAGGCGGCTGCGACGGCTGTGGGTGAGACCGGTTCAGTACAGTCTAGCGCGACAGAGTCGACATTGAGTGTAGAGACGAAGTTGGGACAACCGGTTGAGAAGCCTGAGTTCAGTCCTATGCCGATGGTACAGGCTGCTAATGCGGCCCTGATGGAGAGAACCGCGTTCGCTATCGATGATGCGAAGGATGAAGATGAGGAGGACGAGGAGAGCGGGTTTGGAGTAGGGGATGACGATGGTGTCATGGATGAGGTCCGTTCTTTCCCTGTTTTCGTGTCCATGCGAACGAATGCTGATAATATCCTGTGGTATAGGTGGACGCTTTCCTTGAAGCGCACGACTCTGGCTTGTCTGAAGCAGACAAGAAGCTTGCCGAAGGTGATATCCCATTTTATCCGTAGTTTTGCACCTGGCCATGACTAACAAACTAAATTATAGATCTCATCAATGCCGAGCCCGTCAAGTAGTCTTTCTCTTGGAGTTGGCTCATCGCTGCACGGACAGGCTATTACGGACCAGAGGAGCTCAGCGTAGACCTCCTTGTCATTCATATCGATTGCGCATACTTGTAACACTACACCTTTCCCTTGCAGAGAGCTCAAAGCTTAATTTATGGGGTTTTTCACTAGCATGGGAGAGGGCATCCGCATGTGTGCCACACCGTATGGCATTGATGACGCCTATTGGTGATCGGTGCGGATATCACGATGTTTGTTTGGCGCAATCTTTTGATCCTAACAAGTACAAACAATCCCCTATTTGTCTCCAATCTCGTTCCCTAATTCCGTTCTCTGTACTCTTTCCCTGAAGCGTGAGGAAAAAAGAGTCATCGTGGTGCTCTAACGGGTTATTCTTTCGCTCGTCAGTTCTCAGTCATGTCCACCTATTCATCTTCGGAGTCAGATCCACCGCCGTCCTACTACTCTGGAGACTCTGGCTCTACCGTCATTCCGACTCTCTATGATGATACCCATCGTGGCGTGTCGGCGTTCGACTACTCTATCATGAGTATGGGGAACCGCGCGAACCTCATAGGGTATCTTGAACACCACGACCCCACCAGCGATGGTAGCTTCTCCATCTGTATCGCTGGTGGCAATGGTGCTTGCGTGAGCAAGGTCAGTAACTACATATCCTGTCATCAGAACAACAATTACAAGAGTCGAACATAAGCTCTAATTGTCGGTGATGTCTTACACAGAGGTTGTACGAGTCCATCCCAGCTCAGCATCGCCCTCTCCTGAACACACAAGACAACTCGCCAGTCACGTTCCTCACGGGCAGTTCGCAAACCGCACTTGGAAGCACAATCATGCCAGTTATCCTCACGAACAAGCGGACCGGAAAAAAGTTCAGGGTCAAGATCTACGCGTTGGTGTTGGAGAACTTGCTGATGGGGATGTTCATTGGTGGCCCGGGAGGGGCTGGCCCCTTCAAGAGCATGGCATGGGGCGGGGGAGTCGTGACACATGGGCTCGAGGTGGGACCAGATCAGGAGGTTGTGGAAGTTGCGGGGTGCTGAAGCTTTGAAGCTTATAATGAGAGTGTTTTGTATTTTATAGCTATAGGTGCGTTTTCACTCGAGACCTCTCATGGAACATAGGTGTTCATGTGTGCCACTAGTGTCTGTATTACGGATCTCATTCGTGTTACCGTCCGTCACCTAGCTTTGAGTTGGTGGTTGGCTACGAAGCGTTTCGAGCGTGTACAACTTCTGCAAACCCAGGCTCTTTCAGCGTGAATATCTAGATAGTGGCTTCGAAAGCACATATCAAAGAGGGTACGGTAGTACTGGAAGACATGGATAGAGACGCCACAGCGAGACTCATCACCCAACGAGGGTGAAGAGTAACATGCATGGCAAGTGGATAAGATGCCTTTATCCAAGTCAAGGAATTGACATACGCATCAGTTTTTCCAGCTATCATGACGAGGTCATCAGTTAGCTGACGAATCACGTAGGAGAAAGCGAGAGAACATACATTTTGACCGTACGGTCCCTTCCGCCACTCACAATCTTATCCGCCACGAAATCGACGCAATAAACCTCGTCCGTGTGGCCCGGTAGGTCCGTCTTTAGTTTGTATGTCTTTAAATCCCAGATCTGTATAACGCAGAGCCTTCGTGTAAGCGATACACTTACGGCATACGAGGGTAAAACAAATCATACCTTGACCGTCGTATCTTTACTCGCACTGACCAAAAGCCTCGAATCCGCACTCCACGTAAGCCTATAAACCGCACCAATATGGCCCCTCAACGTAGCCACAAATTTGCCCGTCTTGCCTTCCCACAACCGCACGCTATTATCAAACGCCGCGCTCGCTGCCCACCTCCCATCCGGACTGAAAGTCACATGGGCCACCTGACGTTGATGACCGGTGAGACGAGCGAGGGGTTTTAGTTTGCCGCCATTGGAGGCGGCGAGGGCGGTGGATTCGGACGAGGCGGTGCGGGAGGGGAAGAGAGACCAGAGGAAGAGGGTGTGGTCGTCTGAGCCGGAGATGAGGAGTTCGGGGGTTGAGGAGATTAGGGCGGAGTAGCGTTCTTGGGCGCGTTTTTGGGCTGGCAACGGTGTGGTGTAAGTACAATCCAAGTATTTATATGATAGAATGACGTGTACCTTCTTCATCGGAAGCAGGACGTTTGCCTGTGTGGTCAAATGGACCTGTCCGAAGAACAAAATCGGCATTCAGAGCAAGGGTCGTAACCCAATGGGCGTGATCTTGCAGCGTATGGAGTAGTCTCCCCTGTATCTGAAGTTAGAGATAGTTGTGGGACGTATTGCGTGTGACCACCTACCCCATTGGCATCCCATACTCGTACTGTACGATCGGATGACGCCGTGTAGAGAACACCTTTTCCATTCAATCCTCCACCTCCCCACCGCACGACATTGACGCTGGCGGTATGACCGCCTAATGTGTATTCCACTCGACGAGTGGATATAGACCAGACTCGGACAGTGCCATCCTTTGAAGACGACGCGAGCCGGGGTGAGGTGACATTTCTGTAGGCAAGGGTCAACATTCGAACTTGAGGATGGAGTCAGAGGCAACTTACAAGTGTATAGGTTCCCATGACAGAGAGGTGACCCATTTACTGTGGCCCTTCAAGGCGTCTCCTATAGGTTTGCCAGATTTTGGGTCCCATATCCGTACCTACGAGATGCCCAACGTAAAGAAGTGAGCTCTTATTTGCTATGCAGGAGGAACGTACTTGGTTGTCGTGACCGCCCGTAGCCAGCTTCCGTTCCATGGCTTCCCACTCAACGCATAGAACCCATCCTTTATGCCCGGACAGCGTATGCGAGGGAAGTTCCGTGCCAAGATCCCAGAGACGAGCGGTTGTGTCACCAGATCCCGTAGCAAGCAGGCGACCGGTCGGTGAGAAAGAAGCGCATAGGATAGGAGAGGTATGTCCTGGCAGACGAAAATCGAAGGAAAGATAATTAGCCACATGAAGAGTGCCACAGTGGCGACGTATACGATAGACTCCGCAGAACATATCTCGACACGTCTGTAAGTCCAAAGCGTATCTCCTCAAGGTATTCCACGGAAATAAAGAAGGGTTTGGAGAAGGATAACGAGTCAAAACAAAAGAAACATTACCTGAAAGAGTAGATGAACATCTAGTTGCAGGTCGAACTCGGAAAACTGATTGAGGCGAGCAATGCACTACGAAGACATCCTCCGGTGTGAAAGCATGTGATGGATGTGAAAGCACGTCGGATTCGATGGAAGTGGAGATTACGACTCGGGATGTATCTCGTCCAGAAGCAGCATCGGCCGGTAGTGATATGTGGAACTGGAATGGTACCGGGTCCTCATCCTGTAGGCCAAAAGTATCAGTATGGGCTCAACTACGAGAAAGATATAAGGGAGTGCCAAACTTTTGCAGTCAATTTATTAACCAAGCCTTGCAAATCCTCCCTCGAAACATTTGCAGGCAGGTTCACGGCCGGTGCGAGCGGCGTACCATCGTCCTCAGAGACAAACTGGACGACGATATTCGGAGAGGGTGCGATGGGGACCGTCTCTGGCTCTGGTATACCGTGATAGACCTTTTGCCGTTTTGGAGGAGGTAGGAGGGTCGCCATCGTCGTTCAAAGCGTCGAGCTCGCGGTCGAGAGTGAAGAGTATACCGTCACGTGCTTACACTTTTTTTGGCCATTTGGGCTTTCGATTGGTGGGAGGATCTCTTCCGTCTTTACCTTTAACTAGCGAACAGGCAAGTGCTCTGTGGTCAGTCCCATACAGAAGTGAGTGCTACTACGAATTTTAGAGCTTGAAAATTATTCTGGCTGATGCATTTCTCGACTTTTCTCTGACGAAACAGTCTCCAACAGAAAATTTGCTTTTTTGCGCGGTTATTGTCGCGAGCAGGCCACATTTTGTTGAGAATCAGGCTAGTGTTGCGCTAGTTGATCTCTGATGTTATTTGCTAACATGAGAAACAGTCTACAGAGCCTGTCTTCAGCCATGCTCAGTGCCGTAGCAGCCCGCAGAGCGCGTCTTCAATCGCAGAATCCCACCGAACCGGCGCCACAGTCCACAACTTCTCCCACCACAGCCCCTACACCTGAACCGACCTCCAAAAAATCTTCCTCATCTTCTATCCATCTTACAAAACCCTCTTCAAAACGCAAATCAAGCAATCAGGGTACTCCTGGATCTGGGCGGAAGAAGTTGAAGAAAACCAAAACTAACAGATATTTCGTCGCGCCTCAAGTCGGCAAGGATGAATTCAAAACACAAGATTCGTTCATAAACATCCATGCAGACGATTCTGATGACTCTATGGACTCAGATCTCGACGATGCTGCCGAACTGGATGTCATGCCAGAACCTGTGGCGGGCGTACGTGCGCCACACACTCGTACGCCGAAGAGGATTTCTGTTTTGGACCCCCTGGTGCAAGACTCTTCAGACGAGGATGGATCTGAGGAAGAACTCGTGGACGAGGTTTCAGCCGATATACCTTTGGCCTCCTTGGTCCCACCCGCGCCGGCCCTCGTCCAAGCTTCCCCTATCCTCTCTACATTCCGCTCGATTCCAGACGAGAACACCTTTTCGCTATCATCCTCCGAATATGAAGCACTTAGAATCTCTGGTGAACGTGCCGTTATTCTCGTTCTTTCACCTTGCGAGACTCTAGCGCTCCTTGGCGCCTACAGTTTTACAGTCCTTCGTGGCTCTGTAACCATCAACGGCGTCACCCTGCACCCTTCCAAAGTCTCGCACCGAGTCTTCGCTCCCAGGTCGTCCCCAATTCCAATCTTAGAAGCAGTAGCGAAGCGTGGCGAGTCATCAAAACATCCTAGCCTTGCTACATTTCCAGCCAGAGTGGCAGAATTTGTCGGGCAGCATGATAGTGTGGTAATACTCCAGGATCTTGAAACCGGGGTTGAAGGACTGGGACGTGTCGTACGGACATTTGAGAGTTCATTCAAATGCACTCGTAAGGAAGAGGACGAAGAGGGCTCTGACTTGGGCCTTGCTGGCGTTCGTCTCGTATGTTATTTTCGTCTTTTCGCCTATCTCTCCGCGCACTCATGGTTTGAGCAGCTTTGCCATCAATCCCGAGACATCCAGCCATTTTGTTTGCCTCATACATGGGAAAGCGCGATGTCTTCCTCTGCCCCTACCTTGCGGAGCGACTCAGTCTCCTTGGCTGTTCCGACAACGAGCTTGGTGAAAGGTCCTAAGAATTCAGGCAAGAGCACCTTCGCTCGGACACTTCTTAATCGGTTTTTAACGAGGTAATTACCCTGTCATTTCATTGCGATCGAATTCTAACGCATTTCGCCACACAGATATCAGCGCGTCGCTTTCCTCGAGTGTGATATCGGTCAATCCGAGTTCACTCCGGCTGGCATGGTGGCACTGAATATAGTTGACAGTCCGATATTCGGTATGTGTCCCAGTCAGTCGTTCACTTCGAGACAAGGATCTGACCATCCGGTTTGTAGGCCCGCCATTTACACACCCCTCTATCCCTCACCAAGCGCACTACATCGGCTCCACCTCTCCTCGATCATCCCCGTCCCACTACCTTCAAACCATCCAATCCCTCATGCAGACATACCACCTAGACATCCAACACGCCACCACATTTTCCGAATGCAGCGATGGAAACGACAGTCGCATCTCAGACATCATCCCGCTTGTAGTCAACACCATGGGCTGGACAAAAGGTCTCGGCGCTGACCTCGCTCAAAAGCTTGAAGATATCATCGAACCTACACACATATTTGAGATAGAAGCGCCGACGCCCACAGACCAACGTTGGTATATGCCTCCACAGTCGGAGGTGTTGGCGCCGCATGGACTTGGATTCGGTGACTCCGAAGTAACGAGACACGTCCTCGAGCCCATTTCTTCGCCCATCTTGTCTACCAGGTTCGCCGCAGCCGACTATCGTAACCTCTCCATCATGTCATACCTCCACGCCGTCTTTCACTCCGCTCCTTCGTCACAATCGTCCACGAGCAGTCTGATCGCTACTTCCTGGAATACGGCCCTTCCGCTCTGCGCAGAGTTGCCCTATACTTTGGACTGTGACACAGCGCTAGGTAGGGTCTATCTGACGGGTGCAGGTGCCGAAGATGTTGTTCCCTCCGAGGTATTGAGGGTCCTCAACGGCGCTATAGTAGCGTTAGTGCGTTCTGACGACAATACAGGCGATGTCGACGGCGGCGTCGACCCTATGGCCCCAGAGTCATACACCGAAACGCCGCAAATCACTATTAAATATACTCAAGGATCTCCTCCGCCTTCCCCTCTCTCGTCATCCTGCATCGGACTCGCTTTAATACGTGCCGTCTCTCCAGCGTCCTCCGCATCAAACAACAGCAGCACCGCCTACACTCCCACCCGACTCCAACTCTTAACTCCTGCCCCCCCACATCTGCTCGCCAACCATCGCATCCTTGTCAAAGGCGAGCTCGAACTTCCCGTTTGGGGTATGCTTGATTTCCGGACGGGAGGCGGTGGAGGCGACGGCGGTGTGGCGGGGGTGGAGAGGGAGAGGGTTCCGTACTTGAGGTGGGGGAGGGGTGGGGATGGAGCGATTGGAGGAGAGAAGAGGAGAGTGAGGAGGAATTTGATGCGGAGGGGACAGATGTAAATTGTTTTGAAGATATCTGGACGGGACTGGGCACAAAATGGTTACTGGCGTTTAACCAAAATGACTGCACATGATTCTTCCCACTTTGCAAAACAAGCCAGGCTTCTACAGTTGGTACAGAAGAGCACTAAATGATACAGATGTGACCTTCTATTCGGAGCTACAGGTTCTCGTCTAGCGAGTGGTAGAATCCCACTTCCTCACCGAGGAAGTGGGATCAAAGGACTGAAATTAGCAGAAGGAGATCTCGAGGCCGACCTATACAAGAGGTATGTCAATAAGTCACTAGAGGAAACGTAGAAAAATGTGAGAGACGGACGTTATCTGCAGTGCACGCGACCTGCACGAACGTTTCATAAAAGGCGTGGAACGCGTCCTTGCAGTCTTCGTCTGTGCAAGTGGCCCCGTCGTCCTCGCACCCATTTGTATACTGGAAGCTCGTTTTCTCGTTGAATTTGTGCCTGGAGAGCGTGGCGTTAGTCAAGTCCAATCGACATCACTGGGGGGCAACGAAAAGCGTACGGTGAGATGAGAGAGATATCGGTGCTAGAGCCCCAGATAGAGTTAAGAAGTGTGGTCTCTACGAGGGTACAATTCTCGCCGTTGTCGCCACACGAGCCTATATCGTCGTGTCAGAAGAGGCACAGCTATATAGCCATGGTGACGAGACATACCAGATTGAAGGTAGCTAGAGAATCCCGTATGTCAGCTGTGATATGGCATGCAGGGAGTAGGTGAAACGACTTACGCAATGGCACCCGACAGAGGGCCATCCGAAGTGTAGTTAGCACCAGAAGAAAGCGTTTCTCCGTTAACAATTAAATTCGGCTGTAGATCAAGTTTGTCAGGAGATTGGTGGAGGTAAAATTCGACGAAAAGGTGTTAAAGCTCACGGTTCCATATCCACACCTGGAGCGCAAACGTAATCAGAACCTGTAAAGTAGTCCGATAATGAGGAATAAAACATACTTGTTATTGAAACTGACGGTGTGCGACTCTGCCTGGACTAGAGAAAGGACGAGGGCAAAGTAGGCCGTCAAAAGGATAGAAGTAGCGGCGAACATAGTGGATGAGGATGAGCGGAAGGGGTAGGAGAGGAAAAGAGGAAGGCGTCCGGAGGAGAAAGGCAAGCCTGGAAAATCGAGGGAGTCAGAAGCACCTTTTATACCCCCAGCATCGCGGTCTCGAACTCCGTTTGTTCTCGGATACCAATGTGCACCGTACAGAAATAGAGCGACCACAACACCCCCCCAAAAAAAAAGAGGGACAAAGGCACGGTCGAGGAGGTTTGCTCGAGTCGCCAAAGCAAAGAATATTTTGCGAGATCTCTGGCGCCAGATTCATATGAGACACAGGTGAAATACATGACGAGCATGAATGAATCGCGTAAGGGGGCCCAGAACATGACAGTGACCCCCGACATCGATGTTCGAGCCCGGACAGCTTGAACTTGAGCGGTAGTTTGTCTCGAGAAGGGGACCAACGGATTACTTAGTTTACGTTTATTTTCTTGGAGAAACAGTTGCGTGGGCCCAGGTCTCGTGTTGTCTAGATGTATGGCAGCTAGCTCAGAATGGTCTCCAGGCGAGGAATATTGTGGTGCGCATTCCAATCGCTGAAGTGCTTGAAAAGTTAAACGGCATCTCGTCTCGGTGGATTCGTTCAACGAAAAAGCTGCCCTCGAGGGTGCCTCGGGCGACGAGCTCCACAGTCGAGACGCTCCACTAGTGGGCTATGCGTATCATGATTCGGCGAGAAAAACCTCAGGAGACAAATTTCCGACTCGTCATCTGGAACTGGGAAACATTTCGAGGGGCTAGTTGTGTCGAGGGTAGGCCCTTGTCTCCAGTTGGCCGGAAGTTACCGAGGCGCCTAGGCCCTTCGTGTGGCACAGGCCAAGGGCCACACCGGTGCAAGAGTGACGATTTACGGCGATCTTCCAATGCTAGGACCTTGAAGGTGTTCAAAATCGATATGGCAGCTGCAGGAAAAGAAAACAAGGCATGTATGGCCGAACGAGTCGGACTCCTGAGAAAGAACAGAGAAACACAGGATACTTCCTGAAGTGTTACAGATACAATGTGTCGGTGGTATGAGAATACAAACGAGGAGAGGCAAAGGCCTCGGGCTTCCAGAGGCGGAAGAGAAGAACACGAAAAATCCGAGGTGGCAGTTAGTGGGCTCCTCGGTCGACCCATATCCGTATTGAACGGTCGCTGTCTATGGAACCTGACGCGATCATGTTTTGTTGAGGATGGGTCTGCAGAGTTGACCGTTCATCAGCAAGGCGAATGAGAGCATCCGAGCAGTTATACAGGCTCACCGCTACCGCCACGACCACGTCTACACACGAGACACAAATACGTCAGCAGACCATACGCCGGACACTGAGAGAGCTTCAAGAGCATACCGCCATGTCCCTCTAGCACTTGAACAACCTCTTTTGTCTGCAGGTCCCACAGATAAACTCTCTTGTCCTCACTCCCGCTAACAATCCACTTCCCTCCCGTCACGCTAAAACAAGCCGCGATACAATACTTCGTATTTTCGTGGCCCTGGTATGTCTTCAGACATCGAGACGTGTGGTAGTCCCACAGGCGTATAGCAGAGTCATGCGCCGTCGAAAGGATATATTTTGAGTTCGGAGAGAATTGAACTTGTTGACTATGAAAGTGGAGAGTCAGGATCACAGGAAAAAGAAAATCTTTATGCTGGGAGGACGCACCAGATAGCGTTGTGCCCCTCTGCTAAGGTCTTAAGGCACTGGCCAGAGTCGACGTTCCATATCCGACTGTGGTTGAGGATCAGAACGAGTCCCACATGCTGAAGACATCACATCGGCGTACATGAGACCGTCCAGAGCGCACGAAACGATCAACGTCCCATCTCTATTGAAGTGTACTGCTGTGACATAGTCAAGATGGGCGTTCATCGTTCTTGAGCATTTGCCTGTTAGCCTCGTTAGTGGCGTATCGGTACAGCAGTGTGGCCCAAGCACAAAGATCCACAAAACGGACCTTTTTGGGGATTCCATATTCTTATATCGCCATCGCACCCTCCAGAGACAAGTTGCGTTCCCGCGGTGTTGTAGTTCAGACAAAACACAAAACTGGTATGACCCTTGCACGTCTTCGTCGACAGACCCTTTGCGCAACAATCAGGAATATCCAGGCTCCTATTAACAAGTTGAATACTACTGATACATAATGTTCTAAGACGTACGGAGTCCACATCCCATATCCGTACCGTCGTGTCGTCAGAAGCGGAGGCGAGATAAACAGAATCGGGCGACCATGCAATATCCGATAGTCCTTTCGTATGACCCGTCATGTTACGAATGAGCTCTCCTGTCGCTGGCGACCAGATCTTCACAATATTGTCTGCAGCTGCTCTCATTTATCGAAACCAAACCGACCGCCTGGCACTCAGTTCCTCAAAAAATGTAGGTGATTGAAAAAGGAAGACGCACAACAAGACGCAAGTAACATCCCATCCGGACTAAATTTGACCGAGGATATTGACATTGAATGACCAGCGAGGGTATGTTTGAGCTCATAATGAGGTCTCTCTCGAGCTGGGGCATGCGTTGAACCGTTTTGACCTGATACTGGCTGGACTTGAGGTGGCGGCGGTGCTGGAGCAGGCGGTTGCTGCTGTTCGGGAATTTGGGGATCGTCTTCAGTAGTCTGAGATGCGGCATCGTCGTCTGTCGACGAGTCCATGCCTTCTAGTGGATCCATATCTTAGAAAATAGCGCGATATTGTCAAGAAAAACTCTGGCCGATGAGCGTGAGTGGCGGGCAGACTCAAGAGTCAAGTTGAAATTTCGGAGCCGTGGCCGGCGGAAGAAATTCGGGCGCTTTATTCAGCGCCACTTGAACTTGACCGTCATCTTTCTCGTTCCTCGCCACACTCGTCACAGCATGAGATGATACTCTCTATAGCGCAACGTGCAGTGAGACACGCTAGCACACCTACCATTAGATGTACTAGAGATATCTCGACCGCTGTTCACCCGGCATTTTCTAACGGTAGACACGGTAAATTCCTCGCTTCTGCGAAGACGCAAGAGTCCATCCCCACAGAATACGGACTCCCAGAGGTACGTGGAGTGTCTTCCACGGATTATCGAAATCACTCACCTCTCCTTCCTTCTTCAAGATTGTTGTCGCAGGTACTTGCGACCTATAAGCTTCTCCGTCATGTCTCTAACAAAATTTCAGGTCGTGCAAATGTCGGCAAGTCCACCTTACTCAACGCCGTCGTGAACCGCAAAGACCTCATGTTAGCAGGTAAAACTCCTGTAAGAACATATTATAACCTTCTCTTGCACATATCTCATACATCTCTCTCGCTGGCTATGCCATTTAGGGTCGCACGCAAGCCCTCAATTTCTTTCGCATCGGCCCAGAGCCGGGTCATCTCATCCTCGTCGACGCACCCGGGTATGGATCCCGTGGTCGACCCGAATGGGGAGCACTTTTCGACCACTACCTTCAAAACCGCTCTTCGTACGTCGGTCATACCTCTCAGCTCACTCGACCACAATTATCGATGCTCATAAATCCTCGCGCAACAGTCTCAGACGCGTATACATCCTCTTCCACGCCAAACACGGTCTCAACGAATCCGATAGACTGATGCTCTCTGACCTTGACCAGCAAGTACAGAGATCTGGCGGCACGACGTGGACACTTCAGGCCGTCGTCACCAAGGCCGATATGTTACTCTCCTCTTCCAAAGTTCGCGGTGAGAAAAGTGACGAAGACGCCCAACAATGGTTGTCAAAGCTGAGGAAGGATATTTTTGAGGCTGCGCCGACCTGTTTGCCGCCAATTATTACTTCAGCGAACAAAGCTCCGTTCTTTGGCATCGACGAATTGAGGAGCAACTTGGTCAATGCTTGTAGTATTTGAGACTTCGTCAATACCTTTTTCTCTACTTGCTCACATTTATCGTCCTGCTGGTATTAAAGTGGTATACGGCAAAGAAGTTTCGCTATCTAGCCAAATGTGATGAGAATCAACTGCATTGCCCATGAGGATCAAAGGTAGATGGGTAGGTAGGTAGGTATGTAGGAAAAGAGTAGACCCAAGTGCCTCTCTGCTGCGGCAACTACACAAAAAGAAAGTATACGGAAGCGAGACTACGGTAAGATGCGTAAAAAGATTAACAACGGGCTCCGAGATAATGTGGGTGTACCAAAACGAAGTAGGGTCCATGAATACAAATCAAAACAGACTCGTCTCTAGCACTAGCGTGTGCAATAAATAAGGACAGTAATCATGAGAAGGAACGTATGAATGAGCTGAAGGAAGGAAGTCATCATCTAGCAATTTAAGTACGGTTGCTCATGGGAATCTGGGGGCTACCAAAGTGGTCCTGGATAAAGCGAGGGGGCCATACGAAGCAGTAAATGGACATAGCGAGCCACAAGGGCAGGGCGTCGAGGCAGAAGAAGTAGCCTTCATGGGTCATAAGGAATCCATCATAGCTATCGAGGAAGGGGTCAGCAATGAGTTGGATTATGTAATTGGTGCTGAATGGTGCTTACCCGCCAATGAACTCCAACAAACGGAAGATAGAACGGACGATAATCCCAACACTAGTGACACACAAGACACCGTACAGGACCCGCCAGTCGGGTGCCGGACCACGGGCGACGAGGCTGAAGTTCTTCTCGGATGTCTTCGCAACGTCCACCTGCATCCAGACTTCTGGGAAATGTTGACGACTAATGCTACTCATCAGTACGTGGAATAAAGAGAGATTATGTGGAATATATGTACACGCGGTACCCGAAGATGAGGAGGACCATGGTGAATAAGACGTATGACGCCAGTTGCAGCGCAAGACCTACAATAGCGACCTGTTTTAGACACGCCACAGTCAGACGCGCGCAATCATCGGAGAAGGAAATGTACTCACATCACTGCCTATTGTGGCGAGGCTGGCGGTGGAGGTCAAGCCGCTGCCTCCTGCCTGGACAAAGAACGTGATGACGTCGGACCAGACGAAGAATCGTACAAGCCTCGAGGACCGGATGAGCAAGCAGCGGGCGACAACATCATCTCCGAGCGAGTTGGACAAATGTGTGAGGGTGACGTAGTTTGTTGCGAGGAAGGCGCAGGGCTACAATAGGTGGCTTAATATGAGAAGTTTTCAACGACGAAGATGTGGATGTGAACATACCGAAAGAAGAACCAGCAGAGCTGTTATGGAATAAAGCCCAATACTGAAAGGCGAACCGATGTAGACAACACGCAGAATGTACCCAAGCGTCATGGTTGACATGCCGATTGTGAGTGTGAGCATGTACTTGGCGCGAACCGTGTACCAGTCTAACAAGAAACTGATATGAGTAGGGACCGAATAAAGAAGGCGTAATTGTACTCACGATACCAATGGATGCCGCCTGAGATGGCGTACAACACGATTGCGATGACAGCGGGCCAGTATTTAGGAATATATCCAGCACTGAATGTGACGAGTAAAGATGAGAGGATTGAACACGCGGGCGTAAAGATTCATTACATACATGGGTCTCTGGATAATAAGGAGTAGTTAGTTACACGCAGAATGTGCGATCGAATAAACAGGGGCTTACATCAGTAGTATCTCTGGCTTCCAGAGTTACCTCGGACGCCATTGTCGAGGCAACGAGAGCAAGCAACAAGAGAGGTCGTGATGATAATGTTGAGGACATGGTGAGGAGGATGTCGGAAAGTATTGAGGTGAGGATTTTGAATGGTGCATTACTGGATCTCTACCGTTGCTTTTGTATGTACTGCTTGGTGCGGATGGTCGAGCAGTAACGAAATTGACGAGTACGGCGAACTAGTCTCACCGAACGCCCATTGGCTAGGATACAGGCGGCCCTACTTGAGTCATCACTAATTAGTAATGTGGCATTTAGACTGCCGTTGTGGCACCGCGAGACACAGCCCACCTATTCGGATTTTGGTCGCTGTACAGCATTCTCTGTAGCCTAGACGCTCGAAAAGACAGGAGAAATCGAGCGATCTCGCTTCTAGGAGAGAAAATGTGTTCGTTCCGCAGCGGATGTCTCACCGTCAATCCGCGCGGGGTGGTCAACGCCGTCGACTGGAGCATCGCCTCCGGTCTCTTCCTGATCTTCAAATTAAACCGCTGGGCTCGGCAGGGGGAATGGCAACATCTCCACCAATACTTGAGTCAGAATATCATTCCTTCCGCGGCCAAAATGGCCGGAAAATCTCAGTAAGACAGCCGAAGTGGTATCGAAAATATAATGTCCGAAAAAAGAGGTAAAGATCAAGTGCAAAGCGAACGTCCAATCAAGAGTGCGGCAAAAAACCACCAAACTGAGCATAGCCTGCGCCATCGGCGTGATTCAAATCAAAGGGAATGGGGAGGAAGGTTGAATGCATGGGGTCAGAGACAACGCTCGAGCCAAAGAGGTCGGGATATTGCATTGTTTCGAGACTGTCTGTCCACCTGGAGAAATCGTCCGACAGAAGCTCTCGCGCAGCTGGATCTTGCATAGCCGTGCTAGGCTGGGATGTAAACGCAGAGTCCTGTCTGGAACCTGAGGAAGGAGCCGAGAATGGCGGGGGAAGTCCGCATGAGGAGGCTATCCGAGCCAACACATCTCTAGAATCGTTTGGTCAGTGTCTAACATGGAGGTAATTGATGAAGAGATCTGTTGTCTCTGACCTTAGTCTACATGCTGATAGAAACCTAGGCGTACGAAAGCAGTCAGCATTATATTGGATTGGAATAGATAAGTCTTGACCAAACCTCTTCCCATGCTCCTCCAACAAAGCTATGCACTTTGCTGCGAGGTCCAGGTCACGAAGATGCACTTCCGACAAAGGGGAATGAGGCTCGGACCGGGTACGATATATGTTGAAATATAACATGACGACACTCTCGAAGGCCGGGATCTAGCATTGCTAGGTAAATGGCCAGCACGATTCACGGAGGTGTGCCAAATTATCAGGGCTCACCATGAGAAGAGATAATATGAATCCGCGAAAGCGTGTCTGAAGGCGCAGAGCGTCTATAACACGTCCACACATTCTAGCAGAGTTCACGCAAATCACTCGAGATGCCTCTGAAAAAGGGGTCGCCGTACGCCCGTTGACGTGCGCCATGAAACGGCGGTGGATGAATATCTGGGCGTGATGATATGAACAAGCCAAAGTGGCTGATTGGACAGAAAAGAGGTCTTCAGCCTCGAACCGGTTAGGGTCCCATCTCACTGTCAAATAAGAATGAGTTAGCGGAATGGGGGATGTTTCCACGTAGATAGACTCACGATGCGATGGTAGGGCGTCCTGCCAATGATTCAGAGACGAGTCCAGTTCGGCCATGATTCGTCGCTCCCAGTCGGCGCCAACGAGACCAGAGAGAATCCTAGATTTCTTAGTAGAGTACTAGAAAATTATCAGCTACAGAGTTGAATAACCGATCACAAGGACTTGGGTCACTGACGATTGTCCGCGAGGCTGTGGCAATGATTTCCCGAAGTTTGAGCATCACTATCTCCCACGACATCATCGATGGCTTTCCTGGCGGCTGGACAAAGCAGCACTCAAGATTTGGATGAGTCCAATATTCGTCATCACACTCCGCAGGCAGATCGACATCGAAGCTAATCCGAGGGCTCGTCAGTCATTCATATTATCCGACAAAAAGGATTGTCATACTCTTCTTCCTGAATCGAACAAGGTCGGCCAAGGGAGGCGCATAAAGATCGGTCTATGGCCAAAAGGGTCCTATTTTAGAACGAAGTTCAATGAGACGGTACATCATGAACGAGATGAATCCGAGTACCAGAACGCCCGTTTCCACAGTTCACCCTCAACGGTCAGCTTTCCACCGTAGGCTCTACGTCTATGGGCACCTACAGCCTGAGCGCGCCGTACACCCAGTCCAGCCAGCGACCACATGTCACATGGTGGAGGATATGCGTGTATAATTGCTAGTTCAAGCTGCAGGCAAAAGAAATAACCGATGTTGTAGGCAGCATAAGAGACACTTCAATGACTTCATGATATGACACTGTGCGTACCACAATTATCTGCAAATCGTACACGGATGGGGTCTGTGATAATGCGTTGCGCATGGGATCCACCTGACGAGCCCATTTCCAGCCTGCAGACCGCCAGGATGAGTCTGGCGCATGGTGCATGAATATTTCGTCGTCGTCTAAGACTGCTGGATCGTCAGTGCAAAGGGCACCCGTGGCACAGATTAGAAGCACAACACCGCCAAAGCCACGGTCGTGGTAATGGAGGCCTTCACCAAGGCAGTGATAAACCGTTGGGGGGTGGAGGAGATTGAACCATGGGTGGGCCTGTGTGAAGTAGAGATCCACCAAAGTGTACAGCAGTGGTGGATCAGGGAATATGTAGGCGGGCGATTGGTCGTCGTCACGCTGTCTCGTGCATGACATCAGTTTAGAGAATTAGGAAAATCAAACGAACAACCCACTTCGGTACATGTCCAAGAATCATCGCGGCTGCCGGGCTGTGAATGCGATGGATTCTCTTCGGAAATAGGATTGGCATTGGCCGCGAAATTGATTACAGATGAGATACTTGATTCTCCATGAAATTCTTGAGGAATTCTATCGCTCCCTAGCGTCAAGGACTTCATGGACTCTGTGAGAGGACCTGTTGCTCGGTGACTCTCTTCATCAGAGTCTGATTCATCCCCCATCCCTGTGGCTGATCTGGACGGGCCAGACTGGATGGACGCGACGTTCCCACAAGCGCCTGGGTCCGGCGAAGGGAAACTGGATGAGGCAGAGGATATCGACCTCGTGTTCGTCGCAGCCTCGTCCAGGGTTTTCTGCATCTGCAAGGCATGCTATTAGCATAGCGCGCTCTGTCGTAGGAACTGTGTTTGGTATCTTACTTGGCGCAGGCGTTCCTCTAGCTCGTCACACCGGCCGCGGAGCTGCTGCACTTGGCTGACAGCCCTGCAAAACCCATGACATCAGTCTACTGCAAAGGGCGAGATTTCGCAATGAAAAGGGCTGACCCAGGTTTAGGACCTTTCCTCTGAGCAAAGATTTCAGTACCTCGGCCGTCAAGATTATCGATGAGAAACTGACCCGCGGTATGATATCGCGCGTGCAATTGATGCCTTGCACAACACAATTCCAGCATTTATGATCAAGGTCCCCTCCTTCACCTAAAGAGAAACGCGTCGGATGGTTACTTAATTGAAGACAACGAACAATACACACATCGCACTGTTTTCAACAAGAGAAATCAGCATAAAAGCAGGTTAAAATTGAGGGTTATGAAAATCGTGCCACAGAGCCTAGCAGATTATCGACAGGTTTGTTGGTGCTTACCTTTCTTGCGTCGACAAGCATCACACGCTTTGTTCGAGGGCAATTTATCCCTGTCCATGTAAAGCTACCTGAATCGAGAGAGTATGGATCATGAAGGACACCCTCGCGAATGCCACTCTCAGGTTGAGCGCCGGTCGACTGCGATCAAACGGCCCCGATCTTGAGAGCGTGGCTGTGTGTCGATCCTTGGGTGCTGAGCCGGGTTCCTGGGTGCAGGCCAGTCGGAGACTCCCCACCGTGTGTGACACAAACCCTTGCCCTCTCGAACTGCGAGAGACTTTGGCCGTACAGTCGCGCGTATGTATTTTATAATAGGACAAAAAACCACCAGACTTTGATCACAGGCTATACCATCGCATGATGCTATTCATCCGTCGATACCAGGGGGAAGTAATAACTATTGTACACGTTCCGTCTCCCCAATCTAGTGAATCGAGCGAACACCCTCCTATCATCCAGTGCCCCCAACCTTCTCGCTTAGATCACCGAAAGAATGCTATTCGTCCGCATCATCATGTAGCAGCACATCTATCCACCGACTTGTCCGCTGGATTTCCCCACCTGCCAGTATTCAACAACCCAGTCGATCGTCGTTAGCACAGAGCATCAACGCAGAGGATATGAGACGAACCAGTAAGGAAAGTCTATGGCGTTTCCGCTGGCTCCAAAGACTGCGAAACTCTGCATTCCGATGTGACGGGTTAGTAATACTTACAACGACTAAGAGACAAGGAAGAGCGCACCAAGATGAACTGGATGACTTGAGTGCCTCCGTCGAGGGCCGCCGAGGCTATGGTAGCATAATATGATTAGAAGGGGTCGTATAGCCATTTCAACCGTACTTACTGATGTAGTTGTACTATATGGACAGTCAGTTCAAATTGCTCAGGGTGTAGGTTGCGAAAAAAACAGGCTCACCTTCTTGAACCACTTCGGCCGGCGCTCACGTGCCCACTTCTGCGAGATGAAGCCGATGACCAGGCAAGACCACCACATACCGTTGACACTGAACGGAAGCCAGCCTAATGAAAAAGAGAGAGAGAGAGCCGTAAGACATTGACATAAGATTGTGGGGAACACGGAATCATAGCGCACCGATATAGGACCTGTTTGAATTTGTTCCAATCAGTACCTGAGCAGGAACGTCGGAATCTTGATGTAGATGTAAAGCTTACACGAGAACAGGGGTGTTGATGTACGCCGCTGCTTTGGATATCCAGGATCCATGAGGCGTGAAACGGTGAACTGCATAGAACGGCAGAGGTACGAATAGGCCGATGAAGATGGAGAAGGCAATCATCCAGTATGGTTTGTGGATGGTAAAGAGCTCTCTGCCTAAGGCTCCCATGGCCACTGTGGTGATTTAGCGGTTAACATGTGGGAGTCAAGCGCGTGGAAGACAGGGTAAAGATGCACGCACCTGAGTTGGAGTTGTATTGCTGAACGATCCAACCGCTCCACTGGATAGAAAAAGGAAGATGAGGAGATGAGTCGAAAAGAGTATGGGCAAACTCGACGCACGATACGGGTACCGACTGGGTCCTTGAGCACCTCACGGTTGCTGTCGACAATGGACTTCATCACTGACAGCCAGATTCAGCCCAATATCACCGGGTAGGGTATACAAACACTCACTGGTATAGTTGAAGATTGATCCCACGATCGAGCCTGCCATCTGTGCAAGGAAGGTAAAGCGAGGAGGTAGCTTTGTGTACTGCCCGAGTTTGAGATCTGGAGTCCTTTGTCAGCATTTAAACTCCTTCTCGCAGATTTATCGAGCTTGCCTTGGAGGAGGTACAACGTCTGGAGCGTCGCCGAATTACCGTAGAGGTTGACGTACATGACCTCGCTGAGAACCGACACCGATCAGTTTAGAGGTACTGGACAAAGAGACCAGAAGACATACATGGGTTTTCCAGGGTGTACGAATGCAGCTATAATCTGTATCGCGCCTCGAACACCTAGGACAAGTCCAGAAGGTTCAGTCTGAAACATTGGCCAAGAATATTGTGATGATAAGCTCACTGATGGTGAATCCAGTCGTAGCGTTGACTGTGAGAGTGAGTAAGTAAGTGATGAATGATGTTCGTGAGGCGGAAAACACGCGCACTGAATCCGAGAACGACAGCCAGCACAGCGCTGATGATACTAAACACGATGATACTCCAAGCAGGCAACAAAACCGTTCCTTTCACGCCATACTATAGATTTCATCAGAAAATCTACCAACATCATGGTGATAACCAAACGTGAAACTCACACTGCAGCCAATCCCGAGTGCGAGACAACACACATAGAGCGCGATATACCTGTCTTACGAGGTCAGCGCAATCACGAGAGACCAAAAAAGGGCTCGGGCCACTTACCACCACTGTGGCACCTCGTTATACTAGGAAGCGAAAGTAATCTCACGATCAGAATGGTTCATGGTAAATAATTGGGATGGACTCACCTTCCGCATCACAGCATAGTGCGGGTCATCAATGTTGTCCTGTCCATTCTTCAAGAACCTCATCCCTCCAAACGCTACAAATTCCCACAACCACATCAGTTAGCCCTCTAGCATCCCCACCCCCCAATCACATCATCCCACAAAATGGAACCAAAACTCACCTCTCTTCAAATCCGGCCAATGCCACACTAAAACATGCGTAACAGACGCCCCAAGCGCCAAATTATAGCAAATCAGCGCGATCGCATACGTCGCAGTATACCGCGGCAGGCCATACACTGCCAACTTCTCCGGATCGAGCACGTTGTTCGTGAGCACTGCGGTTTGGTTGTACGAGTCTCCGTTGGAGTCGAAGAGGGATGTCGACATCCACCGGAGGTCACGAGCGTTGAAGACGTTGTTGTAGTAGCAGAGAGTGAGGACGAGGTAGCTGATGCCCATGCCGACTGTGGATGTGGCGTGAACTTTAGCGTGGTGGAAGATGGGAAGAGAAAGGGGAGGACGTACTGAAAGAGTTGACCTCTGTGGGATCAGGTTAGTTAGCGTCGTGTGTGGAAGTAAAGAGAAGGTTGGGACGCACGGGTCTGCCATGGCCACACTAATGGGGTTCCCTGAGTAATCAGTGTCCAAGATGTACTACAAAGTAAAGCCCGTGTCATTAATCACAGCCAGTCGTACGGGGGTCATTCAATTAAAGACTCACCTGAAGGAGAGAAGACCAATCCCTTCGTTGCTAGAGCCGGCGCCGAACAAGTTGCGAACGAAAGTCGAGCGGCCATTGTCAATCAGACAGATAATCTAAGGCGGATGATGAGGATTCCGATAAATAGGATGGCGAGGAAGTGAACGCACCGAGATGGCGGAGAGAAGGGGGAATGGGTATTGAGGGATCCTAGAAAATGTGTGAGATGAGAATCGATCTCGACCGCCGACATGTATAGCGTACCATTCCCAGAAGAATATCGCAGTGAACTGAAAACCAAACGTCATCAAGAGGTTCGAAAGAACTAAAGTAAGAGCATCGTGCTTACCACAATCCAAAAGTACCGCCTGTATGAGGAGGCAAATCGATCAGATCGAACCAAGAAACCAGGGATATACGTGCGTACCTCTTCTTGTGGTTGAGCAGACCACCGAAGTGCAAACTCTGCAGTAAGGTCACAACGGACACATATGTTGGGTAAAATGCGCTGCAAAATACCATCAGTTTTCAAGAAACTTACGTTGTATGCGCGTTAAGCTGCTCTTACTATGTCGGATATACGAGCAGAGACCTCACTATCAATATGTCTGAATCAGCAGAGGTCGCAAACAGGTCGAAGATCATAGTAACGCACGTAAACCAGCGATACCATAACCAATCATCTATCCGAACATTTGTCAGGAAGGTGAATTCGGTTGCGAACACCAACCTGCATACCTGACTGGAGAAGATCTGCAAGGGGAGACAGCAGTTAGCTGACTCGTACGTCAAACGAAATGCAATGAACGCACCTGGAAAATCGCAACGGCAGGATTGAGCTTGATGTTATAGAACAAGTCTGATGTAGATCCACAACGTCCGTTCCTCAGCTCAAAACACTGATCTGACACCGGAGAGACGCTAATAAAGACGCACCCAAAGCTGCAATAACTTCCATCGCGACGGCAACATTGGCAGCCGTTGAAGCCATGATGGTGATAGCGACATGCTCTGGAAATCGCATCCTCAGGAACTGGAAGTTGAGTATGATGGGCGCTATTGCGACTCACCCTTGATGTTGAATGGGCCAGGATTGAGGTACTTCCACCAGCCATGACTAGGAATAACGGCTATAAATGGTTATAAAAAGGTCAGCCATAGAAGATGCATGTAGGGTTTGGTACGTAGGACGGAAACGCACAATGCATGGCTGTGCCCAATAGATAGGCAATGATCAAGCCGAATAATTGAGAGACGGTCGCATTCTGCGGTTTGAAAGTGTAAATTGTTCCCAGAACCTGCAATCATATCGTGAACTCCCCTAGGTCACAGATTCCAGCTGTTAAAGTATGTCGAGCAGAGCACTTACTGCGCCAAATGCACTGAGTCCGATTCCGAGAAATACAGCTCGGAACGTCAAGATGGGAAGGTCAGGGTCGTCTTGAGTGCTGATGATCTACAACGAGCGAGATCGTGCGACTGAATCAGAGACGGATGGATGAATGGGGCGAACTGGTGAGCTCTTACCTCGATAGCCACCTCCTCGGCCTTCTCAATGACCTTGACAGACTCCGTATCATCCGAGATCGAGTCCGAGTTCGCCTTCTCCTCGTCAACTACGTCAGCGTCTACATAGTCGTCGGCTTTCTCGTCAGAATCGGACACGCGCGAGGGTCTGTGCTTGAGCTCAGGGCTGGCCTCCATCGTCCTGACCGCGACGACGTCCGGAGAGGATTGATAGCAAGGCGAAGAAGCAACAGAGGAATTCACTTTTGCTGTACCATCGCTCTTAAATAGGCTCTTGTCGATACCACGACCTAGCGCTCAGCTTGAGGCGCTATCATCATACCTTATCTTCTTCGCGAAGACTGCTGCAGATGCCTAGAGAATCCAAGCCACCATACGCATACCGTGGCGTGTGTGCAATAGTAAAGCGATAGATAGGGCCTGGTAAGTAGAATATGAGATAGATAGATCGTCAGGTGAGAGAGTCAGATTGAAGAGATTGCGTACAGGGATGATTGTGCGAACAGAGAAGCGATACTGTCGGGTTCCTGGCACTTTCACCAGCGGAACCGGACAGATAACCAGTGCACCGTCCGTTTAAAAACCGAGCATGTTATGATATAGACTGCCCGTCCGAAAAGTAGATAACATTGCCCGGGGCTTCTCTTGAAGCGCAGCTCAACGAAATGATCAATCTCCACTGCATACAACGTTGATCTTGGGCAGCCATGGTCAATATTCTCTAAGACATTCAGCATAATTTCAAGGGTGAGATATAACAGTCTTAGCATGGTCGCAGAAGAGTTTGGGTGGTGAGGGATCGGGAGGTATTGTGAACGCTAGCTTGGAGGATAGTGGTTGTACCGCAGGGGGGCACATTTGACGAGATAGTGGAGACAGTACTCCTTGTAATGTCTATCACGGCGCTAGAGAGTATCAGATCTGTCCAAGTGGACACCATGTACAGCAGAGTTTTAGGAGGCAAAAAACAGGTGATCAATGTAGGGTAAGGTCGAAAGCAACGACTTCGAGCGCTCGAATACGTACCGGGCATTGCCGCATCGCCACTCAACTTACCGCAAGTGTGGCAAGATGAGTGTCAGCAGAAGTTGAGCAGAAGGACCATCCTAGAGGATCTGTACACAGCTCGGCCATGGCCAAAAAGCTACTGTTTTGGATTTGAACGTACAAAAACCCCCGGATGGAACGCAGAGACGCGTCAAGAAACGCGCCTGAAAGTCCGTAATGTTCAGGCACGTGCTACGCGTCGTCCAGAGCAGAAAGTTGTTCATATGCATCTTTCTTCGCCACCGCCATCTCCTCTCACGACCGCAGCTTTCCTGTATAATGGTTTTCAACTTCACCTTTAGCTTTGGTGTTCCTGGCATCGTGAACCCCTTTTTAGCACAGGCTGAAACAACCGATACATCGACACAGCCAAATGCTGCGACCTCAGCCCCGGTCCTCGAGAAATTATCCCGAAGCCAGGTCGGGCCACGTTCTCGTCTAGATCACACCTCTTTACCCCCCTCTGCACCTCTTAGCAAGAAGCGGGGTTGGGCACCGTCAAACTCAGAGCCAATTCAACCTGTATCGGTCAACGCATCGTCTAGCGGCTACCTCGATACTCCGGCGAAGTACCGGGACATGGTTCAGGGTGGCGTGGGGTACGCTGGTCGAGAGCAAAGCGCAGAGGTAGAAGAAACCGACCAAGGTATGTATATGTGTCATATTTAAGGATGATTTGTCTTGGATTTGCATGGCATACAACGGCATCGCACGTCAATGCCATCGAACGTCGCGCCGGGAAGGCGTGGGATGGATAGGGCGCCTCGCGGTAGACCCATCTGTGCATGCTGCCCACACGTGCGGGGACAGTTCATTCCTGCTCTCCCTCACCATTTTCGCCTTCACTCCCCGCTTTGACCGTCCCCTTTGCCCACCTCACCATCCCCATGCCTTGATCCACTCACCATCCACACCTGTACACATGTCCTACGCCTGTTGCTTTCGCTTCATCGCCCTGCCGATCCTCAGTTTATATACTCTTGTCACCCTATCGGTCGTGCTCATCACTATGGCCGTTATTCATTTATCAATAGATATCCACCCTTCCAAGCGCAGACGAACGTTCACGGGCGCCGTCATCTCCACAGCTGTATCAGCTGCTGTTATCGGAACAGGTATGTGGACCGCGACCTCTACTTTGTTTCATGCTGCTTACTTCGGCTCTTTCTCTCGATACTTAGCTGTTGGCCTTACCGTCTACCGATTGTGAGTCGTGCCTTCCATTTCCTACACAGCCTGCATGTCCTGATCAATGACTTCAGATGGAGTAACCGAGGCCGTGAGCCCGAGCCAGCCCAACTTCCTCCTCCGCCACCATATACCCAAGGCGATTGGATCCATCCCGAAGAAGACGACTTCGGACCTTCATCACCGAAATCACACACCCCTCCTACAACAACAGCACGCCGCAGACCTCGCCACACCGTCATTCCCGCCTCCTCCCGCAAAGCAGCTACTATGCGCCACCCCCGTCGTTCCGTTGCCCCTCGCCATCACATCTCCCCCCGATCCCGGTCACCCGACAAGAATAGTACGGGTGTGGGCATGAGTAGTGTACAGACCGAGTTCAATTTCGGTCAGACTAGGGGAATGGTCGGGCAGGAAGGTGGAGAGGAAGAGGAGGTCGAGGATAAGATGGATTGGATGGGGGATCGGTTAGCGATGTTGATCGCGGAGGGGCAGAAAGCGCTGGGGAAGGAGGTGGTCGTCATGTCAGACGCGGCGGAAGATGAGGTCGATGACGGGAGTGGGGCATGGGTCGACCAGGGACCGTCGGGGTCTGGCAGCGGGAGCTCGAGTATGGGCAGATCGAGATCGAGATCGGGCTCGGTGAGGAGGAGAGGGAGGGCGCCTGCGCCGCACGCGCTTACGCCTTCGTGGACGGGGGCTGGAACGGGCGCATTGTCGGTGCCGTCGAGCTCGAGTCCTCGAGCAGCTGCTTTTGGGGAGCAGTCGATGCAGAACGTTGGGCTGCCCATGTCGCTTCCGAATCAGGGCGCATGGGGTTCGCATTCCGATGCGGGGATTCCGAGCTCGTATAACGCTGGAGAGGACTCGTCTATGCTTGAGAGTACGGAGCTGAAGGCGACTATGGAGAGGGCGAGGGCGGCGTATCTGGCGAGGCGGGCTGGCGGTTCTTCATCGTAGGACATCTCTTATTCCCTTTTTTTGCTATTGCTATTGCTATTGGACTTGTGGAGTGCTCTGTGGTTTGTATGCTTTGTCGTGTATTCTTTTTTTTGTCTCTTTTCTATTGTCCTCCTTTATTTTCACCCTTGTCTGTTCAGCTAGATTCTGCGGGTCACTCGGTGTTGAACTCGGTGTTTTACCATCAAATCAATCTCTTTATTCTCGGTCATTGTTCTTCTATCGTTTTTCATACTATTGCCTCACACTTTCATTGTCTTTTCTATTCCTTGCTATGTTCTATTCCGGTCCTATCCTCACGCCGCCTCACGAATCACGAATCACGACGTCCATCGATCCCGCCGTCCCACTCATCGTCCATCCGGATCTTCTTGTTCTCTCTCAAACCTGCATGTTTCCACTTCCTGTACACAATTTCACTATCCATTCACAATTCACAATTCCACATACCAGTTCAGTTTCATAATTATCGTCGACGATCGATCCGCGAGTTTCGGGTCCTTTCATGCTGTCTGTCTGTCCGTTGTTGTTTTCCATGCATGTAGCTCTTACTCATTACCCACTATTCTTACTCGCTCCCTTGCCCATTTTACCTCAACTCGTTGTCCTTGTTCCCTTCACGCGTGCGCGTCACGGTCTTTCCTTTGTTTCCGTATTCGCTCTGTGTTTTTGTCTTGTTGATGTGGAGTGGTAGTATGATTCGTCACGCTCGTGAATGTTGAACGATGCATTGCATTGGGCAAAATAGTTGATGGTGTTTCTTCCCTCCATTTTTTATGAAGGATCTAGCGATGAGGCTTGACGAGTAAGGTGGTTGTCACGGTGGCAGGGCCCGGGACACTCCTATGGGGGTTGCCCGAAGGGCGACCTCGAAAACAGGTAAAAATATGCAATTTCAGCCTGGCGAGGGCTTAAAATATGCAAATTCCGGGAAGGGTAGGGCGCCTATTGGCGGGTTTTGTGTGGCGAGACAGGCTCGATTTTACCCTCATAACCCCACATAACCTCAACTTATCCTAACCTAGCCTAATCAGAACCAACTTCTGTCACATCTGTTGGATAGGTTAGGGGAAGTTGAGGTTAGGTTAGGTAAAAGTTGAGGTTATGTGGGGGTCTACACCAATAATTTGCCAATAATACGCAAAATTTCGGGAGACCTCGGTGCTCCTAGGCTTAAAATATGCAATTTTTCGGGAGGGCTTCGCCCTCAGATCGCGTAAAAATATGCAACTCAAACCGGGCAACCCTCATAGGAGTGTCCCGGGCCCTACGGTGGCCCAAATATTCAGAAGAGCAGGTTCCGGTAATACCCGGTACGGAAAATCACGGACAACTGCTCTTATACCGCTTTTCCCAATTTACGCAGCAAGTTGAAGATGAATCAATGTTCGAGGGGCCGTGGCACTTCTTCAAGTAGCTCCCACTCGAGATATTTCTAAGCACTTCACATTCAAGTACCAATAGCATACAACGAAGACAACGGGAAAAATACATACAACGGCAATGACTCAAAACGTCCATCCCAGCAACCCATACAAAACACTCTTTACACCCAATTGTAGGGCGAATCAGAGGTCGGAACGAAGTCAGGCGTAGGCATCGTCATCGCCACATCATCAATGCCCGGCCCATTATTGAGATCGAACGGGAAATCGAAGAGCGACGAGTCCGTCGGTTCGTTCACGATGCTGAACGGGTTGAAGTCTCTCCGCAAAACCTCGTAGCTCATCCATCGCGTGAAATCGTCCGCTTGGAGGTCTTGCTGCGAAAGCGGCATGTCTGACGAGGTGGCCGCGTCGGGGAGGTCGCCTGATATTGGCTCTGGAGGGGTGTCTGTGAGGGGTGTCGCCATGGGCCACATCATGGAAAGACCGCAGGAATAGGCGATGTGACAGAGTATGTCCCTAGAACGACGTAAGCGTTTCGCTCTCGAGGCTACGGATTTAGAAAGCCTTATAAGAGCGCGCGTACCTTATCTTGCCTGCAGAGTAGTATCTAGCGGAAGAATGTGGTTTTGAGCGCTCCAGACTATATGGACTAGCATAAAAGGAGGTACCTTTGCTCATAATCTTCCATAATGCCCGCACATTTCGCTGCCATTTCGAGATCACTGGCGTGTTGCTCCGAGACTGCACCTTCTCGTTGAATCGCTCGAGATACATGAATGATGAGAATTATGATGGCCTCAAAGGCGGGCATCTAGGGTGCGTCAGGAATAGTTGGCGAAGCCGAAAAAATACCAAGTGAAGACTCACGAAGAGATGCGAAAAAGCGAATGTCCGAGTTCGAGAGCGTTGCCGGAAAGCATGGATGATACGTCCACAAGATCGTGCGGCGTTCAAGCAGATGACGCTGGAAGCCTCTACGAGAGGGCTTGGCGCGCGACTGCCCAGACTCAAGATGAAGCGGCGATGAATGAACATCTGTGTGTGGTAGAACGCGCATGCTAAACATGCGGACTGTGAATAGAAGAGCTCGTCGGCTCGGTCGGGATCCCATTTCACTATAATTGGATCGAGGTCAAAACCAAGGCTTCCTTTGCTCTTCCTGTGAAGACCTACGGTGCGAGGGGAGTAGATCCTGCCAGTGGTTCAGGGAGGAGTCGAGTTCGGCTACTACACGATGTTCCCAGTCAGGTCCCACCAGACCAGAAAGAATTCTAGACTTCTTGGTCGAATACTGTGAAACATGCCGTCAATAATGGAATCGTATTGGATTGGATTATTGGGATACAACCAGTGCTCACAATGGTCCGTGAAGCGAAGGCGAAAATCTCTCGAATCTTGAGAAGACATATGTGGAATGACATGAAGGATGGTCTTCCCTCGGGCTGGATGAAACGACGGTCGGGGTCGGGATGACTCCAATACTCATCGTCACACTCCATTGGCGGGTCCAAATCGAAACTAAGGGAGGCAGAAAATATGATTGATCTGCGTGACGAGTTGTGAAACAGAACTCACTCTTCTTCTTGAATGGAACATGGCCGACCGAGAGCACTACAAATCCAGCGCTCTGTCGACACAAGGGCCCTGGGTTCAGGGAATAGAGATACAACGGAGAAATTAGTTAAGTAACGGAGTTGGTGTGGGTTAGACACACCAAAAGGCACGCTTCCAGAGCTCTCCCTCTACGGTAAGTTTACCGCCATACGCCTTGCGCCTGTGTGCTCCAACGGACTGTGCGCGCCGCACGCCGATACCAGCAAGAGCACAAAGGTCCATTGCTGTCGGATAGGCATGGACGGTGACAAGCGATAACTATGACAGGCACGAGCATGAGGACCCATTAACAGTTCATGGTAGTGTTTGTAGGGATACACGTACGGCATATATTTGTAAGTCATATAAAGATGGTGTGTGAGACAATGCATTGCGCATCGGGTCGACTTGAGAAGCCCACTTCCATCCTGCTGATTGCCACGGCGGCTCAATACCGGCGCCTTCGGCGATGCTGGGGTCATCGACGTGTCTGGGGTCGTCTGAGTGTATGGAACCCAAGGCACAAACGAGTAGCACAACACCACCAAAGCCTCGATCCGTGCGATGGAGACCTTTTTCTAATGAGTGGAGGAAAGTGGGACGATGCAATAAGCCCGTCCACGCGTTTGCACGATCAAAATATATTCCAACTAGTTCGTGTAGGAGTGGGGGGTCTGGAAAAGTGAACGGCGTGTCAGGGTCAGAGGCTCTAAGGCCAAAGCCCTCCTACATTCGTGCAGAACGTTAATATCTACCGGAATGAAGGACAAGATGCGAGACGCACACGAGCCACGTTCCAGTAGATTGGACGACGTTGGGGCAGTATATTCATCGGGTGGCCACGGTTGCAAATGGCATGCGATAGAGACGGTATCGTCTGTGCAGCTTGGGTAATCACGCCGGAAAGACTCGATTTCCCATGGAACGAGCGCCCGCCGTCAGTTGCGAGAGAAAGAGCTTCAACATGCTCGGTGAGAAGTCGGATGTTCCCGTATTCGTCTTCACTTGAATCCGAGTCATCATTGTCAGTAAGAGGAGTCAGAGAGCCTGTCCTCGCCGAATGCATGACATGTTTATTTGGGCCTTCGTGGTAGGGCATTGAGGGTAGTGTCGCGGAGGCGCTGAAGGTGGACAAATTATCGATGACAGTCGAACTAGCACCTGAACTGTTCATGATCTGTTGCATCTGTTGAAAAACGCGTTAGATGTATGTATTATCTATGAAAATGAAGAGACAACTTGGCTGAGGCGGTTCTCCAGTTCATCACACCTGTCACGCAGACGTCGTATCTGGCGAGAACTAAGGTGACGATACATAATCAGCTTGAAATAGCAAAAATCTGGAGGAAACCGGTAGCATACTCATACTCCCTCCTCTTTTTCAGCGCTCATCATGAGTCAGCAGTCCTTGGCTGGTGGATAGGTAGCATCGTTTACAGACCTGTGGTGTGGCGTTATATGTGCATTCGAAGTCTTGGAGAACACAGTTCGAACATTTCTGGCCAGTCGACTCGCCTCCGCCTTCGCCTATGCTATCAGTATGAGGTCAATGAGCCCCCTCCTATACGTGACAAAGGCACGTACATCGTACTGCGAACACCAAAGGGTCAACGACGAATAAATCATAACTGGTGCCACTTTACCGTCAAATCAAATGCAATACCGACCTTTCCTGCGCCGACAAGTGTCACACGCCCGCTTTCCACCCGATTTCTGTGCGCGCATTAGCCAGGGGGAGATGTCTCTGCCTCGTAGAGTGGGCGCCAGTAAGTACGCTTGTGCAGCGATGGGAGGGGAAGAGAGGAGAAGGTGGCCCCTCAGAGTAAGCTCGGACACAGCCGGTACTTTGCAACTCAGTACCGCAGGTTCGGCTTCCCCGGCAGTGCTAGGAAAAAGAACGATAAGCGGCGTGGTAAGTCTGAGCCCATCGGCGGATTGGTTGAGCTCTAAGTCAAATACCGTGCTCTGCCGCAGAGTCCGTTCGAATTGTATTGTGGGTTTCGGCCTTGGACGCGCGTAGTTTGACTCACACGGCATCGCGGGAGGAGCCGGGTCACTCTTCCACAACTCGCGCAACCAATTGTTCGAGCTGGGTTCCCGTGACAAAATACCGGTAACTTAGATTGCCATTGTATGATATGTACGAATTTGTGGAATATTTGTGAGGTATCTACCCAGATATTGGCGTGTATCTAGCACTGCAATGATGTCTATTCCTAGGACCGGTACCTAAAGTTCGAAACAGCAAGCCACTGATGTCCGAGAATCATCAACTACTTCATCTGGGTCGTAAGAAAAGATCTGTATCACTGAGGTGGAGAAGAAAATGGTGCCCAAAAATCATCTGTCGACGATGACATGAAAATGCCATTTAAACTGTCCCACCCGCCAGTCCCCTGGTTAAGGTCGAATGGTAAAGAAAGTCCAGGCAGATCCACTTGATCGAACACTGGCAGGCCATCCGGGAAGATGAGATCTTCATGATCCCCCCCATCCCGTCCACCCATTTCAGCCCAACCTCTGAAGCCACTAAGGGAAAGACTTTCGCCGTTGTTTGTAGGATCGACGTTGGTTCCGGCTGGTACCGCTCCATGGGTGTAAGAAACCGATGTCCCGAAGAGATCGTGAATATCGAGATTGGCCGCCACTTGTACCAGCGCATCGCTGAGATGAAAGTGACAATGATAAGTATCATTTCATTATGTACCCAAGGGAAGAAATACACACCTCATTTTCCCCGCGGAGATAAATCTAGACGTGCCAATTTCTGTTGTTAGAAGGATAGATACTGTCAGACGACTTCTCATGAAAACATACCTCTTCTCTGCGTCCTCGAGGAAAGCCATACACCTGGACGCATCCTCAAGATCCCGTAGATGCTGCTGTGACATCGGAAGACCCAGTCTTCTTTCACGGCCAATGTCGAAGTACAACATCATAGCGGACATAAACGCAGGCATCTGCGGATTAGCTTGCTTGAGCATTGCATGTTTAGTGACATTAGAATGTACTTGGCTCACCAAAAGAAATGTGTAGGGAATATTATGTCCGAGCTCACGACTACGTAAGCCGTGTAGGACACGTCCACAAGTTCTGGCAGCGTTCAAGCAAATGACGCGTGATGCTTCAGCAAAAGAAGCCGCGGGCATCCGACCATCGTTCGTCACGATGAAACGACGGTGTACGAAAATTTGAGTCTCATGGAAAGCACAAGCCAAGAGCGCAGATTGTGTGAGAAATGTTTTGTCCGATTGCTCCAGGTCCCACTTCACTGAAGAGCACCATCGTGAGTGATACGTAATGGGCAACGGCCGCGAGCAAAGCGAAGACATACAATATGATGGAAGGGTATTGTGCCATCTGTTTAGCGCGGAGTCAAGCTCGGCGACTGCTTGTTGTTCCCGGTCTTGACCAGTGGAACCGGAGAGGGTTCCACCTTTTCTGCTCGACCACTTACAATAAACGAATGAGACAAAGCCGCCTAGAGCAATGAGAGTAAGAGGAGAGTCGATTCACAATGGTCCGCGACGCTTTGGCAGTTATACACCGCAGTTTGATGAGGAATATGTTACACAACGCCGTCGATGGTCTTCCTTCAGGCTGTATGAACCGCTGGGCTGGGTCAGGGTGAGTCCAATATTCGTCATCGCATGCAGACGGAAGATCTACATCGACACTAGATGTCACGAAACGTCAGGATAGCTCAAGGTTACTATGTTGTATCAGGCATACTCTTCTTCCTGGATAGCGCATGGGCGTCCTGTGATGGCAGATTGGGCACGGTCTACACACATAAGTGCCCTAACCGTGGAACCAAGAGTCGTATATCAGCTTTGATGAGTGATACTGGGAATTCGACTCACCAAAAAGCTCGTTTCCACAGCTCCCCCTCGACAGTCAATTTGCCACCATACGATTTTCGTCTATGAGCACCAACAGACAGAGCACGTCGTAGGCCAAGTCCAGCCAGCGCCCAAAGATCGACCGCGTGCGTATACGCATGCATGTACATCACGCAAAGCTACAGACAGGAGATTTACGAACATCCTCCAATTAGAAAAGGGTTTACGATCACGCGATACTCAAAAAAGCGCACCACGTATAACTGTAGATCGTACACCGAAGAAGTGTGCGATAAAGCATTCTGCAATGGGTCTACCTGACGAGCCCACTTCCAGCCCGCGGGACGCCATGGTGGCTCTTCAGCAATACCGAAGTTCGTATCGCAATCGTCCATATGACTAGGATCGTCCGAGTATATTGCACCTGCAGCACATACCATGAGCAGGACACCGCCAAAGCTTCGATCTGTGTGGTGAAGATCGTGGTCCAGTGCGTCCTGAAAAGTTGGACGATGAAGAAGGCCATTCCATGAATTGGCCCGTATAAAGAAGATATCAACGAGGTTAGCCAGAAGCGGTGGGGGAGGAAAGACGAAGTGTGTCTTCGATGGAGTGACGTGGTCCCACTAGCACCAAGTCATGTCAATTCCCAGAAAACAATCGTAGCAGCGAGAGATCACTTCATACTGGGTTGGCAGTCCAAAAAATGCGGCGTCGAGGGATTAGAGGTAGCGCATAAGCCGGCTCATCTGAGGGCGCTACTGGCCGTGCTTCTGCGGTCCTGAAAACCGCGGAAACACTGGACTTTCCCAGAAAATCGCGTCCAGGATTGGCCTCCAGCGAAATGGCCCCGATCCCCTCCGCGAGAAGTCGAATGTTTCCATACTCGTCCTCGCCAGAGTCTGGTTCCTCATCGGTGAAGCTATCTGACATGCTTGATGAAGCGTGGAGGCCATGCACTTCTGTCGCGTCGTGGCCATTCTGTAATGTTGAGCTTCGGGTTAAGTTGTGGGTCGAGACGGAGCGAGACGAAGGACTGGACGCGGAAGGTTGAGCGTTCACACTGCTTTGCATCTGAGAGTCGACCTGATCAATGCGGTGCTACCACCCGCGCAAAGTGAAATGAAACCACCTGCTGAAGACGATCCTCCACCTCTTTCAGTCTCGTGCGTAGATTTCTGTCCTGCGTAGAGCTATATGATAGAGTTGAGCGGGTTTACTGATGTTTCTGTTAGCCCAAGAAATCACGTACCCAAGCTTTGGGCCTTTTCTCTAGATAATCGTCACGGTATTCATGTTTACTTTGAGGGCTCAACAGAAATGTTTGTTTGGACTGACCTGTGGTACGATATTATGCGTGCAATCGATATCATGGACAACGCAGTTCTTGCATCTCTGTGTGCCGTCGCCATCTTCACCTGCAAAGAAGAACCGGACGAATGATCGGAAAAAAAGGTCGAGGACGTGCAGCAAGGGGCTCACATCGTACTGTAGACAATTAGCCGTCAATAGAAATGAAGCAGCCTCAACTAAAGCCAGAAGATCGTACCAACCTTTCCTTCGCCGGCAAGCATCGCAAGCTCGTTTGCTACCTCTATTTTGACCGCCGCTGCTCATGAAAGTAAGTAACCCGTAAGTACGAAAACAGAACGAGACAACGATTCTTGATCGCAGCAAGACGTTGACTCGCTACTATGAATCCTTGCACGAGGAAGGAAGGAAGGAAGGAAGGAAGGTATATGGTGCACTGCTTATTGGCTGTGGAGGTTGTAGTTGGGTGGAAGTAGCCGCGCAAGGCAATGCGGCACGGTGATCTTGAGCCACGTCAGATAAGCCGGCATTACCCCTGTGGCACCCAAGTGGTACTGACGTGCCCGCCAAAGGTAAGTTACACTAGGCACCACGTTACACCACAGACGCATCGAACCAGCGAGTAATATGAAAGCCATAAAAAACAGTACATAGTACAAAAGTTTCCACGACAAAGGACCAAAGGAGTGACGAAAGACTCTTCAGACCTTCAAGCCATCAAACACCTCCTTGAAGATATCGTAGTTCACCGCAGGACCATGAGAGCCAGAGTTCGTCTTATATACAGCGGAAACGATACTCTTGAACCAACCCTTGAACTCATCCTCGAGCAAGATATTCTTCATCTCCTCCGCGACCACGCGTGGAGGACACCCATATGCGCCACATCCCATTGCACCTATCCGACGTAAGTCTTACACGCATTCGCACCCAGGAAGAACGGCAAAAAGCTCACCTAAGACGATATTGGTCTTCTCATATGTCGCCGCCATCCGGTACACCAGTCTGATCTTCCCCCGCAAGTACACCAAGTCCTCCTCCTTCGCGAAATGCTCGCGGTCCGGGGTGAGCTTTGGGTGTCGAGGAGCGGCGACGGTGATTACGGATACTAGCCTGCGTTCTTCAACTGGAAGATCGACACAGTCGTGGTCGAGATCATCTTTGAATATGACGACGTCTGGAGAGAAAACTCCTGCGACGGATCCTGGACCCAAGTTGGGCCACGGGTAGTAGGACTCCTTCAGAGTAGCATACAGCGTCGACGAATAGCATAAAGCTTCTTCCTTAGGGAGTGGTGGCCATCAAATGCATCAGAGTATCCTTAAAACCTCAGTAATGCCACATACCTGTGTTCTGCTGTACGAGTGAGCCCAACCGCCCGCCCTAACCTCATCACTAGCGAGGTTCAACACCGCCGTCTTCCCATGTGCGGCAGAATCCTTCCGCATAATATCTCTGGCAGCAGTGAACGAGTCTGTGCCAACAACGCGCACTGTCGTGGATGACCCTGGACCAGGACAATGAGAAGCGTCGAGAGGAGGCAATTGCTCTTTGATGAAGTCCGAGCGGTCTGATGCGCCAGCGGTGGCTGCTATGACTTCAGGGGTGCGAGCAAGCGTGTCTTGAGCGATCTTTACTCTTCCTGCAAAAGTAGACGACATGGCTGTAGAGAATGGTTGTTTAAAGACTTTTATAATTGTCGATAGAGTGCCAGTGGTTGAGAACATTAGTGACGGTCAGAACCACGTACAGAAGACTCGCGGTGAACGATGACGAAGCTTCCGACCACGCCACTGTCGCCACACCTGTGGCATCGTCGAGGTTCATGACACAGTTATAAAAGTACTACTTGGACGCAGCGAGGAAATTTTTTGAAGGTAATCTACACAGTGCAAAAACCGACAAGACTAGACGAGTATGTCATGGGATGACGACCAATACACGAGAAAAAATCACTGAGGAAAAAAATCTTACAAACAAGTACAACAGACAGCTGCTCCAGATCTAGTGGACGTGATATTATGAACAGGAAAAGGCACAGCCCTTGTGAGCCTCAGCCATGTAATGTGATGTGTACAACTCCAATCAGACGGCCCTGGTGAAGGACAATGAACAAGAGCGTCCATGACATTCATGCCTATTCGTCAGAAAGAGGTGTCATCAAGCCAAAAAGGAACACGCACGCACGACAACCACTAACATGGATGAGAGCATCATCACCGAATTCGGTCGGACTTTGTCTACATAAGGCGATAAGTATGAGGAAGGGGATCTTTGACAAAACCAATTCAACCCACTACGTCGAGAAATATACGCCACGCTTGATGATACTTCTGGGGGATACCGTGCTTCCTAATCTCTGCGTCACTGCACATTTAAGTGTTGAGCACATGCACACCACGTATACCCATGGCGAGTGTACCCACCTAACTTCTCTTCTCGAGTCGACGGTCGACACGGCATGTCCCTTGTAAAGCTTGAAGGTCGTATACATAGCCACCATAGAGGCTGGTATCAAAAGTAGCGGGAATTCGAGGACTGGAAGTAAAAGCATGTTCTGGATCGCTGTGGTTGAAGCCTCGTATAAGGAGACATGGGCTCCTCGAAATGTTGCCTGCAGATCATGGTGTTCCGGATCAGGTTCCTCCACGCCTTCAAAGAGCGCCGCCAGTGACATAAAAACGGCGCGGGCGAACCAGTAACACTGGTGCTGAAGAGCAGCGTAATGGGGAAACTCCTCATGTATGACTCGGAGAAGCACGGCGAGGTGTTGGACGGAGGGCCGTGATACCGGAGGGAAAGCGAGGGTGTTAAGACAGAGGGTCGCGCCGTGGCGGGCTAAGATGTAGTCTGCAGTGCCGTCGTGAGAGACCTCGACCCGATCGTACGCAGGTACTGCTTCTGGTGATGGTGAGTCCAGAGGTGACGAGGGATCGTTTTCTGGTGGTAGAGATGCCCTCAAGGTGAATCGGGCTTCCTCAGAAGCGTTGCGGTCAACAGAGAGGACGACTCCTTGACCAGCAGCATCTTGAGCGTAGAGGATCAGAAACTCATGCTCCATGCCAGTAGTACACTTTCGATGTACAATACGCTCGATGTTGCAGTTCCTGGCATCGGGTGAGCGCTGAATGTCCCGTACCCATGGCTCTAGAGGACCGGTATAGAAACTCTCTGGGTGCAGATGAGAGGCGACAGAACTTGTCAACATCGAAGAAGGGCTAGTAACTTGCGTGAGACAGGTCTGAGGTAAGGTTATGCTACAGGAGTACCAGAATGGTCGTATATATGGAACCTCTCGAACCTGTTGTTCTGAGAACGGCATCGCGAAAAGGCGTCAATTTTGCGGCTACTCATTCTCAGAGAATTACTGCCTATTGCGGTCCAATAATGCACTCACCGTTGTAAGTGCTCACGGATATCGTTCTGCAGTTGAGGCGAGAAATCACAACGAATGGTTCGAGATAGTCCAAGTCCAACGTTCATAGACAAGCCTGGAGATGTCGTGGAAGGGACGCCATGTGTGGCGAACAAGTGGCGAAGGATTCTGATGGTGTCGTACGGCAATGTCCGAAGTGCCATACTCCGCTCGCCACAGCAGTCGTCGACGCTTTCGGTTCGAGTTGACAATGTCGACAATCCTCTGTTGGCAGTAGCTCTGTAGTGCCGGACACGAACTGGACCATAATTCTTTTCAAACTAGGTTGTGCACGAAGCGTCGGTTCTTGTTGGGGAGCACTATCAACGTTGTGCAGGTGCGTGGTGGACTTTGACGTTTTTGCGAGAGTGAACGCAATCCACCCACCAGATTTGGTACGCGGAGATTGCCGAGGTCCGCGCCGCGCCTGTGGTCGGTCCGCTGCTGGTTGCGGATGATACGCCCAAGTCGTCTATAATTCTGTTCTTTATTAGTAGTGGATATCAATTTATTTGCTATAATACACAATCCTGGGATGCAAGATAGGTTGGGGACTTGTAAATAAAGTATGACGGAACTCAGAGAAAGATCGTGCAAAAATGTCGGGGGCGCGACTCGAACTTACGAACGTAGCCACGGCGCGTCGAGCACACGACACAGGCGGATCACACAAGACCACTGAGCCATCAGTCCATACACTTTCTTGACAACACAGCATACATAATGAACATCCTCTTGGGGGGTGCCCGAAGAGTACCCACCATTCGAGGATCCTCCCCTCCCTCGCTACGCTCGGGGGGTCCCCCGAACCGGATCCTTCTCAGGTGGGCACACTAAAGACTCGTTCGGGCTATTTTGATATACTGTAACCTAACCTTTAACCAAACCTAACCTCCTAACCTACCTAACCTAACCTTTAACCTAACCTAACCTACCTAACCCACCCAACCTAACCTAACCCATCAACCAACCTAACCTCTTGACCTACAGATATAAGTTTACACACAAGCAGCGAGAGGCAAAGGATACTACGGTCTATGGCGACAGTCTAAAGCAGGTGGCGACGCTATGGACCAGAGGTCCGCGGCGCGGACCTCGGCAATCTCCGCGTACCAAATCTGGTGGGTGGATTGCGTTCACTTTTTGCGAGCAATGTTTTCAGTATGGACCGACAAACAGGACGATGGCCAAGCACACCAGCAAATATATTTGTAAGAATTTAAGCACCCTGAACGCATAGAATTAGGGCCTATCAGGGCTTGTATGGCCGTGAAAACATCTGCCGCAGAGCGGCCGAAGCTCGCCAGGTATGTACTTATGTGTTAGGGACCGTTCCAAACGCTTCACGAACAGCCATCCTGTGGCAGTCTGTTCATGTACATCTTCGTTATGCTGGGGTATAGTACGTAGACTGCAAGGTAAAGCCTGCTCTGAGCATGTACCTTCCAGCACGCCCGGCGAATGCTTTTTGCAAGAAAACCTCGGCTATCAAGCATTCCAAAATCGGAAACGATGAGAAGGTGTCCCGCACTGCATGACCAAGCAGCGTAGAGCAATCGTGACTTGGTATTCTCCGTCTGTAAAAGAACAGAACACATCCAGACCACGAGAGGGTGTCACACCCTCTCCGGCCTTGATAGCAGGGTTTACTGAAGTCTCTGAGAGACCCGTCGAATACTCAAACTGATTATTTATAAAAGGTCAGTCAACCATTGGCTGGCACCCGATCTCGGAATCAACGCCTCAAACACGTGGCGTAAGCGGATCAAACAACGCGAGGCGGGCGACCAATCCTCCTCCTTCAGTCCATCCGGCTCCTCCGACTCTTCACCCACTTAGATCAGATGTCCGGCATTCGTACGCCTACGAATAATCGGAGACAACACCTCTCGGAGACAACACCTCCCCGAAGTTCAGCATCCCCAAAAGGACGAATTTCACTCTGTCGATGTTATGTCGTAACTTTGAAACGGGGAACTACATAACGGACCCATAGTTACACGCCGCAGAACAGTCAGACGGAATGACGTCTTAGGAATGTCGTTAGGTATATAAGGATCGCCGACTAAGGGGGTCGAACAGTTCCATTTCATCGCCCGTTTCGGCCTTGGGTCCATTCTCTGACGGTATGACAATATTTCCCGATCTCTTCTTCGAAGTCATGCTCATACAGTCGCCTTCACGGTTTACCAGCGTCACACACTCTTTTCTTGCGGATCCACGCTCTCTTGACAGCTCTTTTCAAACCTCTCCTTCCAAACCGGACCCTCGCGATGTTCCAGACCGGTGCCGTCTTCAATCTCTCCATCGTGTTGGTAATACTCGCCTCTTGCGTTTCCGGTCTCATCATTCCTCCCCATCATCGCACACTCACAAAGAAGGACGATGTGAATGGCGGTGGCTAGTGAGTATCATACTCCATCTCTTTCTTATCTTTGCTTCAGAAAGCTTACTGATGCTTCGTACGTATATTATCTAGTGGCACCTACTACCTCCAAAATGGCACCCCAGGCTCCTGCGGAGCAGTCCATTCCGACTCCGATTTCATTGTCGCCGTCGGTGCGTTCCTCCGCGTCTTCTTCCTTTCATACAATGATTCAACACCAAATAGCCTTGTACTGATTATTGTTCTCTTTCCGTTTCTTAGACAAGGACCGGTATGACCCTAGCCTCTGTGGCCTCTCAATCCAGATTACCAACACTGTCAATCAGAAGACGGTCGGCGCCACCATCGCGGATGACTGTCCGACCTGCGAGAGCTACAACTCGCTCGACATGTCCGTGGCTGCATTCGACGCGATCGCGGATGAGAGGACGGGGAAGGTCAATATCGAGTGGAAGTTTGTTTGAATTATGCCGGCGGCAGTAGTTCTTTAGACTCGCTTTTCTCTGGTGTGGGTTTTTCTGTTCCTTCCGTCGCTGGGGTCCGTAAAATATCTATTGCTCTCTCCATCCAGTGCTTGAGGCCTGCTTTGTTGTTTCTGTCGCTCTTTGCTTCATGATGTACGTTCTCGTTTCCTGCTCGGCCGCCGTCAAGCGTCGATGTAGCCTTCTCCTCTACCCTATATTCCCCACAACGCTCTTCGCTCCATAGTAGCCATGTCCATACCATAGTACCTCCTTACTCCGAAACATTGTTCGGGCTATAATCTAGGCTTTCTCTCTATTGCAACGCATCTCGCAATGGCACTATGTGGACTCACGTGCAGATATATTCCATTTGAACACGATCATGTCGGCCTTCACCTCAAAGCCTCTGTCCTGCATGTCCTGGCACTCAGAACGCAGAAATGGAGTCCGAACCTGTAAGTTGTTACGGAGATTCATATCCGAATGTTGTAGTGTAGCTCGGACAGTTGGCAGCGCGAAGACTAACAGATGAAGGCAAAAAAGGAAACTTCTGGACGGACAGGAGGGAGCGACTATGTGAGCTGTGTATACCCGTAAATAGAGAAGTCTTTGATGGCAAATCCATCATATATGCTATACTGCTACTACTGCGTGCCACTATTATCCTTCAAGGCATGCCAACCTTCTAACCCGCACCACGTCGGAAGCATCCTCCATACATCGTCCTGAAATTCTCTCTCAATCTCCTCTAACATAGTCTTACATGACTCGCATAGCTCCCATCCTTGCGTAAAGCCTTGATCGTCCATGGCTAGGTTCATGATTACATTAGAATCAGGAGACCGGTAGTAGCTAGCCTCGAGTGCCAAGGCACAGTCGAGCCCTTCCTCTTGACACTCATCTCTAGTACGATCCCACTGGGCGCGTTCCTCACTAAACATCTGGGCGAGGTTTGCGCTTGAAGAGACAAAGTCGCGAAATCTTTGACGAAAGAGAAATGCCGTCCGTTGGGCTTCGGGTGAGAGGGTAACGCGCTGTCCCCCGATGTCAACTCCGTCTAGGGTGTTTTCGATAGGCCTAATGGCGCACTCGTAGTACGCGACGGGGAGGATGTCAGGCAGGCACTCCTCTCCAACCACGATACCCAAAATCCCATTGAAGTCGGAGGCCACGCCCTCGAGACGTGTCGAAGACCTGTACCCTTTCAAAGTCGACGGAAAGAGGGTCATGAGATGGGCTTTGACCTCCTTCTTGAGATCCTCGACGAGGTACTTAGAGCAAGCTCGCATAAGCTGTTGCTCCGTAATAGTGAGGAGATGAGCAAACACACTATTTAATGGAAAGCCAGATACTCACGCTACACAACATTACAAAACTCATCTGCACTCCTGGCTCCGTCGTGACATGACTATTAACGGCATATCAGGTTTATCAGAATCTAGTTGAGAGCGAAAACACTTTAGTATATATACTGAGACTTTTCGTACCTTCGAAAATGCAGCGCCATCAAAAGATGATAAACGTCTCTCGGAGGATCCGGCAAACGGACGACATCGCAATCATCAAACTTTTCGTCTGAGCTGGTGTTTGCAGCAGAGAAAAGGTCGCGGAAGACCTCAGAGTGAAGGCCAAGGAAGCTTTTCAGTACGCGATACGCGGTGCCGTCCGACGCTACGATGACGATGTTGCCGTCTGGAAGCCAGAGCTCTTCGTTCTTGTGGATTTGTGCCTCCTGGTCGTCCGTGCGACGGCGTTTGTTTGTCGGGGTGGCAAAAACCAGCGCGTATTTGTAGCGATGCATATTCAAGCCACCGCGTGAGGCCTGGCTGAGCCTCAAAAAATTATTTTACTGTAACCATGCCATATTCGCGCTTCCATACCATCGTAAGTCAAAGTTTTAGCGCAGGCCTCGCGCAAACCTGCCAACGGATACAGGAACTAGCTGCCAACACGGGCAGCGGATGGTCTTCTGTGTGGTATGGCGAGTAAAAGCTAGTTAGCAGACGTACCGGGCTTGATAGATATACGGTTTCAAATTGGACCCAGATCAGACAACGCGGCCTCCTGAAGGCGGTCAATAGTTATAAGAGAGGGTGGGGGTGAGAGATGGAACGAGGTGAAAGACCACACGACGCGACGCGACGCGAATCCTCTCGTTCAGCTTACGTCACCTTGCCTGTTCGATTTTCACGCACGCCATTCCATTGTGTGGCACCAATGTGGCGCAGCGGCAACCCTCCGATTGTTTGGACCTAGTTCGTCGGGCTTTACTCAGATAAATGCATGCAATGCTTTAGTTTAAAAAGCCAAGGGGTCTATACTTGATGGAGAATTCGTGGAGATACCACGCTATGTCGATTCTTGTGCTAAGCAAGATTTAATTACACTACCGGCAAAGGAAGCTAACGCTGTTCGCTGTCCTGCGCCACTCGGCTCCACCAAAAAAAAAAGATTTAATTACACTAAGTATGCAGGCACTGCTGAGCTCGAGGGGCACGGAGAACATTACATGTGCGTGGTGAGGTTTTTTTTACAAAGGGAATGTATAAGAGTGTATAGTATGGATATAACAGTAGATGAGAATGCCGTGGAGACTAGACAAATAGAAAACACAGTGCATTTGCTACTTGTATGGCTACGCGTCATCATCTATCTGTAAGCTATCCCAGCTCTCTCTGCCACACCATTCAGGTAATGCATGCCACACTTCAATCTGATGATCTGACTCAAGGTCCTCCAACTGGGTTTCACATTCACCACAGATGTCAAAACCCTGGGGTTCGTCATCACTGCCCATGATTAACTTCATCAAGACATCATACTCCAGGGACCTCGACGAACTATACATGAGCTCGAGGGCGAACTTGATTCCAGCCCCGCAACAACCGTCTCCCTCGATATCAACTAGATAATGGGCAAAATTTCCGTCGTCGTGCGTCTTTTCATAAAGTCGTTGACGGAAGATGAGGGCAGTGCGTTGAGCGGTTGGAGGGAGAGTGACGCGTCGACCATCAATGTCGATTCCATCGAGAGTTTCTTCAATGGGACGAATGGCGCACTGGTAATAGGCGATGGGGAGGATGATGGGAAGACATTCTTCTCCGACGATGACACCTAAAATACCGTTGAAATCGCTACTTAAGGCTGACAGACGGGTCGGGGACCTATATTCTTCTAGGCTGGATGGAAAGAGCGTGGTAAGATGTGCCGCGACATCCTTTCTGATACTTTCGACGAGATATTTCGAGGAAGATCGCATGAGCTGTGTTTTCGGGGCAAAAATGAAAACACGTTATAATAGCAATCAAGGTTCAGCGAACTCACGCTACACAGAAGCGACAAATTGGCTTCCGAATCTAGCCCCTTCGTCACGGCATAGCTGATAACAGCAAAGAAAAGCGTGAGTTCGGATGAAAGTGAAACAAAAATACAGCGCGAAGTACTTACTCTCGGAAATGCAACGCTTTCAGAAGATGGCGGATATCCTCAGGAGGATCCGGTAATTGGACAACATCGCACCCGTCATATTGCTCGTCCGCGCTGGAGCTTGCAGCAGAGAAGAGGTCGCGGAAGACTTCAGAGTGGAGACCAAGGAAGCTCTTGAGCACGCGGTATGCGGTCCCGTCCGACACGACTATCACGATGTTGCCGTCTGGAAGCCAGAGTTCTTCGCTCTTGTGGATTGAAGGCGACTCTGCGTCGTCAGTACGACGGCGTTTGCTCGTTTGGCTGTCCATGTATGTCGGAGATTGTTGGCTTGTTGTCTGAGGGGGATAGATTCATTCGACATGAGAATAAGAGCCATCAGCGTGTTCAATTCAACTCAAAACGACCGGTATGATGACCTCTACGATGACTTGTGAGCAACGACGGATAATTGACGAACTCACTCGTCGACGTGGTAAACCGACTTCAGTCTCCACCACGAATTTAGCAGGCTGTATACTATTGACCAGTCACAGTTCACTTAGATATGATCAAGGGAAGAGATCGTGAACAGGAGATGGAACAAGTTGAAAGACAGCCGAAGACGCGCGTGTCGGACGCGGTGTCGAACATTCCCACACTCGACTCGGACGCCACACAAATGTTTATCTTGCAATTGTGGCCCAGAAAGACTTACTGTTAAGTACTGTCTTTGTTCGTTGCAGGTCGTGCAAACAGATGTATGCAATGACTTCACATCTTGGGAGCGTCAATCATATGGTTGATTTGCCTCTGGTACTAGCATAGACACAATGAAGGTAAATCACAGGACACATGAGCTTTAGAAAGGAGTTCAATGTGGAAAGACAATGGGCATGTACGTATGTAGGACTCTCTAAGTTACTAGGGTGGTGTATTCTGTCTCGAAGAACGTAACAAGTATGAATTGATAGATGAGCTGGAGGATACACGAGATGCTGAACGGACAACTCCATAGTATACCGCACCCGTTACACTGCTACGCGTCACCGTCCCTCAATTTGCCCCAGCTCTCTCTACCACACCATAGAGGAAGTACGGACCACAATTTGTCCTGGAATGTATCTTCAATATGGGCCAACGTCTCTCGACATTTATCACAAATGCCAAATCTCGGGGCCTCGCCATCACGGACAACCACTTGCTCCTGCAAGACATCGAGGCGTGAGCGGATCCTGGTCCTAAACTCGAGGTCAAGAGAGTATTTGATCCCGTTTGCATGACACTCATCTGGAGCGATCCAAGTACTTTGCTCGCGAAGGAGGAGTTCTGCGAAATGGCTTGCGAGGTTAATGTAGCCATGAACTCGTTCCCGAAAGAGAAGGGCAGTGCGTTGCGCGGTTGGTGAAAGGGTGATATACTGCCCGCCGACATCGATTCCGTCCAGAGTCTCATCGATGGGACGAATAGAGCACTGGTAGTAGGCGGCTGGGAGGATGATAGGCAGACACTCCTCTCCGACAATGACTCCCAGGATACCATGGAAGTCTTTATTTGAGGCCGTGTGACGCGGCGAAGATCTGCACGCCTCTAGAGTTGACGGAAAGAGGGTGGTGAGGTGGGATTTGACATCACTCCTCATGCCTTCAACAAGGTACTTCGAGGAAGTCCTCATAAGCTATGTTTGCAACGTAGTAGTGAGTATATGGTAGGAAATTGTAATTGAGGGTCAGTACACTCACGCTACATAACATCGGAAGGGGATACTTCACTCCAGACGTCGTCGGCGTAATATACCTAGTCATAACAAAGACAGGGACTAGGTCAGGTCCAACCCCAGCAAGCGGCAAGAGTACAGCACGAAACACTCACTGTCGAAAATGCAATGCCTTCAGAAGGTGACAAACGTCTTCTGAAGAATCGGGAAGGCGAACGACATCGCAGTCCTCAAATGTTTCGTCCGCACTTGTGCCTTGGGCAGAGAACAGGTCACGGAAGACCTCAGAGTGGAGGGCGAGAAAGCTCTTGTGTACGCGATACGCAATGCCGTCCGATGCTACGATTATGATGTTGCCGTCTGGAAGCCATAAATCTCCGCTCTTGTGGATTTGCGGCTCTGGATCTTCTGTGCGACGGCGTTTGCTTGTCTGGTGAACGGTAGACGGATCCATGTCTGAGAAATGATGTCTTTCAAGAGTGGTCGCCGCGACGCGACGCGACGCGACGCGACTCGGAAGCTTTGTCGACGTCGTGGGAATCATGTTCTCGCCCTCCACACCAATAATTGTGGCCCTATAAGTTCCATCTCGTTTCTCACTTTGAGGTTCAGGGCGCCCATGAAGCTTTTACGCTTGAACTGGCTTGAACCCATCGAACCTCACGGCTATCGCTCTTCACTATGTAGGACCGCATAGGGAAGCACCAAACTTGAACCATACTTCATCCGACGAAGCTCACGGTTGAATATGCAGACCAGGCAAGTCAAGTCCACATCAGATGTCAGTGCGCAAAAGAATGTCGCCGTCGATACGAAGGGTGCACAGCGTCTAGCATAACCTTACACCCGTAGAAGCCAACGAGAAGAGATAATAATGATATAGCGTATGGCAGGTATACTGAAAACGGACGGAAGCACTATAATCAGGCGGCAATGGACCTCTCCTATAGTGGAGGGAGTCTCCATGGCTCTGCCAGCAAAACGGCATCGATATCATTCAGTGTCCCGATCATTTCCTGTAAGCCATGAAGGATCAGTAAAGGAGAAACACCCTGACGAACATAATGCAACTCACCATGTTTGTTGGCTCGAACTGCAAACCCAGCTGAATGGCCTCCTTCGCTTCTTTCGGCCTCTTCAACGCCATCAAAGCCCTCGCTTTCCTGAAATGGCCCTTCGACCATGGCCTCTTGATCTGAATGACTGCTTCGGCATCGGTAAGTGCGGAAACGAGGTCGCCACCCTCGAGGAATGCAGCGGAACGATTGGAGAGCATGGTGGAGAGCTCTTCGCGCAGGTGTTGTTGTTGCTCCCATGGTGCGCGTTGTAGGGCGTATATGGTGGCTTGGGTGTACTTCGCGACGGCCTTTTCAGGTTGACGCGTCCGGAAGAGAGTCTGAAAGTTCCACGAGATGAATGAGATGAGAGTACAGGGTGCTCAAGAAGGAGAGCGTACGTTTCCCTCTTCTTTTGTCGCATTGACTGCCACGCTCAGTTTCTGGTTAACGACCTGAGGAGGTGGCGGACAGAGGATGTTTGGATTGGCGGCGAGGACTCGCGAGAGTCGGTTGATGTGGACAAAGTCGAGGCCACAATCATCGCACTTCTCGAGTTTATGCGGTACACAGTGTGCTGTGATGTTGTTTGGACTACCGAAAGCGATGTCGACAGGAATATGGGAGTCTGCGATACGCTGCTGCATGACGGGGTCTACCTGAGAGGCGGCGATCTGCTGCTGCTGCTGTTGTTGCTGTTGTTGTTGCTGAAGCTGCTGCTGAATCTGTTGTCTCTGTTGTGGTGTGAGATTCTGGCCAGCTGGAGGCTGAGGCCCCGAGCCGGGCACGCCTGGGGGTGTCTGTAGAGGTTGTCGCTGGGCCATGGTGGACGTCGAGGACAAGTGCGCTGGCGTTGCGTGGCGTGAGGCGTCGGACGTGGAACGGTGGGCGGAAGTGGCGGTCCGGGGATGTGGGGGCGTGGGAAGGAGCGGAGTAGCCCGGCTAAGTCCGCCCTGCCCAAAGTTTTCGGGACTCGCGCGCGCGTCCTGCTCGTTCTCTCTTACCCCCATCTCCCGTCTCCCTTCATAGACACACCCCCTTCTTCCTTCACAAAATCATTCAAAAAGTCACGAAATTTCGGCTTTCTATCTAATATGACAAATGGAATTGTAAACGGCAACCCAGGTCTCGAGGCGCAGTTTGGTACGCATCCTTACCTTTCTTCCCCTCCCCAGCACGGCGCTTACGATTCCCCCATGCCAACCCACAGCGTCTCTAGGCCTCGATGGCACAAAGTCTGCGTATGTGCCTCCCCATATGAGGAGCTCGCAGCGGGCTGCTTCTGCTTCTGATTCTGCTGCCCCATCTCCCATAACCCCTGGGTGCGTCCTGCGTTTTCCTTTCCTTGCTGACTCATATCCTCATTACCCCCCTTCAGGACCGGCTGGAACGAACCCCGCACCTCTACTCCCCCCGTCCGTGGCGGGTACGGAGGAAGAGCCGGTTATGGCGATAGAACAGCTTCCGGCTTCTACGGTCGTCCCCGCGAGCGTGTCGATAGCTGGGCTGGACCTGGAGGTAATGCCGTCAGCGCTGCACCCAGGGACAACGGCCCTCGCGAGAGTTTCGGCTATGGTGCCTGGCGTGACGGTGCTCATGTCGTTGGAGGCCGCAACAATCGTATGGAGAAGGAACTATTTGGTGATAATGTCGCCGACCCGTCCAAGCAGCACACCGGTATCAACTTTGAAAAATACGACGATATTCCCGTCGAAGCCACCGGCGCCGGCGTTCCCGACCCAGTCAACAGCTTCACGAGCCCTCCCCTCGATCCCGTCCTTTTGGAGAATATTGGCTATGCTCATTACACCAGCCCCACCCCGGTTCAGAAGTATTCTATTCCTATCGTCGCTGGTGGCAGAGATTTGATGGCTTGTGCTCAGGTAAGCGGTTGCTATCACTTCCTTTATGTTCCCCACAGTCTGCTGACCTGTTTCATTATCTTTACAGACCGGTTCCGGAAAAACTGGTGGCTTTTTGTTCCCCATCCTTTCTGCCTCCTTTACCAGCGGACCGCGCGCCCCTCCCGCAGAGACCACGCCCTCCTACGCGCGGAGCCGCAAGGCGTACCCGACCGCTCTCATTCTTGCGCCTACCCGTGAGCTTGTCAACCAGATTCACGACGAGGCCCGCAAGTTCGCATATCGCTCTTGGGTTCGCCCTGCCGTCGTCTACGGTGGCGCCGATATTAACAGCCAGCTCCGTCTGATCGAGCGTGGCTGCGATCTGCTTAGCGCCACCCCTGGCCGTCTCGTCGACCTCATCGAGCGCGGTCGCATCAGTCTCGCCAACGTTCGCTTCCTCGTTCTCGATGAGGCTGACCGCATGTTGGACATGGGTTTCGAGCCCCAGATTCGTAGGATCGTCCAGCAGGAGGACATGCCCGGCGTTCACGAGCGTCAGACGCTCATGTTCTCCGCCACCTTCCCTAGGGACATCCAGATGCTTGCCAAGGACTTCTTGAAGGAGTACATTTTCCTGTCCGTCGGTCGTGTCGGTTCCACTTCCGAGAACATCACACAGAAGATCGAGTACGTCGAGGATGCCGACAAGCGTTCCGTCCTTCTTGATCTTCTCGGCGCCCAGAACACGGGCCTCACCCTCATCTTCGTTGAGACGAAGCGTATGGCGGACATGTTGACCGACTTCCTGCTCGCGAACAACTTCGCCGCTACTTCCATTCACGGCGATCGTACCCAACGCGAACGTGAAACCGCGCTTAACACTTTCCGTCAAGGGCGCACTCCTATCATGGTCGCCACTGCCGTGGCCGCTCGTGGTCTCGATATCCCAAACGTCATGCACGTCATCAACTACGATCTTCCCTCCGACATTGACGACTACGTCCACCGTATCGGTCGTACCGGTCGTGCGGGTAACACTGGTGTTTCGACTGCGTTCTTCAACCGTGGCAACAAGAACATTGTACGGGACATGGTCGAGCTCTTGAGAGAGGCAAACCAGGATATTCCGACGTGGTTGGAGACGGTGGCACATGAGGCTTCGTTCGGCGGTGGCGGTTTCCGTGGACGTGGTGGAGGAAGAGGCGGCGCTAGACGAGGAGGTGCGACTAGGGATTACCGTGCCAGTGGTGGAGGAGGTTACGGAGGAGGTGCAGGTGGAGGATATGGCGGTGGAGGATACGGTGGTGGTGGTGGCGCGCGCGCCCCGAGCTACGGAGGAGCTCCTGCGTACGGTGGTGGCGGAGGTGGCTATGGAGGAGGTTACGGCGGTGGAGCTGGAGGTGCGAGTGCGGGAGGAGCCCAGAACTCCTGGTGGTAAATCTCTGTGGTCTACACCACCATACGCATCTCTGCGTCCCTGCATCACATGCATTTCCCGCCTATGACCTCACTACGCCCTCGTATCTGGACCTTCGGTTACTGAGCCTGCACCATTAAACCCAAATCCTTACCGTCCCTCGACGATCTTTCGCCTCTCGAGTTCCTAATCCGTTTCTTTTCTCTTCTTTTCCTCGATCTCCTGTCTGCCCATCGGACTGTGGACTGCGCTGCTCTCACGATTACACATGTTTTGTCTCGTTTGCTCTCAACAACTGTCTGTCTGGCATGAACCCCGTCTCCTTTACCCAACCAACCTCTTTTTATGGCCCTATATTATTACCTTCCCATTCTCGTTCGTCTCGTTTGTTTGTGTCTCCAGTATATCATCATCATGCATCACCCACCCTTCCCCATCCCATTCATCGGCGTGCCTATTCACTCTTCACTGTTCCACTGACATGCTTCCACATTCGCATTGTTCTCGTTCCCCTTGGTTCTGATCGACTAGTTGCTTTTCTTGTGGAATCATCGCTCGCTGTCCCTTTCTTGTCTTCTTCCGAGTGGCTGGCACGCCGCGCCTTGTTGTGTATTTGCTGATTTATAGATAGACTACCAGAGACATCGACAAGCCTTCACGCTTCCCTGCCTTTTCGACGGACCGGGTTATCATTCCATGGGGCCATATACTCACCTTTTCTACCAACCATTCCTACCCTTTACGCTCTTTTTCTTTTTATCCACCGATATCCCCGCATTTATCTCCGTCGTGTCTCGTTCGTTCGTTTTCACGCTGTTCGATCGTTGCGCGATACCCACCCTTCTCGGTCTCCTATATCGGGCTCTTCTTTCTCGGTTTGGCGTGTATTACTATGATCCCCACCGTACGTTATACGCTCCGGACCCCCTCTTATTTCCTCACCTCCCACCCACCCATCATACTTCTTTCTTCTTTCTTCATCATGTCATCCAGCCAGTTCCTGCCAATTCACGTTACGCTAGACGAGACAAAAAGTGGCCACGATGAGTTCGTGGTCGTACGCATCGAGTTGTGTTTAGTCTGTTAGAGAGCATCGCATGCATCCCGTTTTTCTCCTTTTTACTTTCTAGTCTTTTAGTCCTTTGCCTGTGCAGACATACATACTTACAAATACTTTCTTCCGTTAGTTTTATGGTATGCGAGTTTGTATAACGATCTTCTCTTTTCTCTGAAGTGCCTTGTGTGATTTGCGACTGATGAGGCGAACAAAAAATGAAGTGGCGCTTATCGGACAATGCCGTTGCTGCCAGTTCGCCGCTGAAGTTGTTTCATCGATGTTTCTTTGTTTCGATTCAGTGCACGAACCTGAACGTTGAGCACGCATAGCATTTGCCTCCCACGACCGGCATAAACCCATTATTATTCAATCGCGATAACCGAAACCATACTGCGAAGAATATCATGCATGAGACAACCAAAAACCGTTACACCGGCTGAGGATCCTGAACGTCGTCACGAGCGCCATGCTGTCGCTGCAGCTCTTCCCAGCCCTCCCGACCACAAAACTTTGGAAGGAGAGCCCACAGTGCCTCCCTACGTCGAGTCTCGATGCGGCTAATCGCTGCTTGGCACACTGAACACGGAGGGGATGCAGGTACCTGTCCGGTCAGGACAGATCCTCTGAGGATGTTGCAACCTGGGACGTCGAAGAAGGTCGCTTCCGCAGTGGTAGCGAGCTGGTCTCCACGCATATAACATCCACAACGGCTACGCTCGTTCGCTGTCATGCATGAAGCAAATTCACGTCCGAACTTGGCTTGCGCGAATTTGTGTTCGTAGTACGCTTGTCGAAAGAGGAGTGCAGTACGTTGGTTAGGAAGCGAGAGGGAGACACATTTCCCGTCGATATAAACGCCATCCAAAGTCTCTTTGATATCGCGTAGCGCGCATTCGTAGTACGCAACTGGGAGGATCGCGGGAAGCAGGAACTCTCCGAGTGTAATGGCGAGGATCGGATGGCAATTGACACGGTTCAAAAACCCTCCGCAATCGTACGAGCAATAGCGATCAAGCTGGGAGGGAAAGACCGCGAGAAATTCACGTTCGAGGCCATTCCTGAAATCTTGGACGAAATATTTGGTCGACATGCGGTAGACCTGTGCACCGGGTTCCGCGTGTAAGATAATGATATTAGATATAGGCGGTAGTAGCAAGCCACTCACACTGCACAACGCAGAGAACCCGGGGACATCACCCTGACCATCACTACGAGAAAAACAGCTGAGTGGCGCACGAAAACAAGAGAGCATCAGAACGTCGTCAGATGAGGTCAACAATGATATTCTGATACTCGTAAGCAGAGAGATGAGTCGCGACGTACCTGCCGCTGTAAAGAATTTCGAAGAAACAACGGATATCCTCTGAGGAATCATGTATGCGAACAACATCACAACCTTCACACATCTCGTCTGCCAAGATATGGTCCGCAGAGAGCATATCCCTGAAGATCTCCGAACGGTGCGAGAGGAGGCCTTTGTGCAGCCGGTATGCCATGTAGTTTGGGGCTACAACGACAATGTTTCCGTCCGGAAACCAGAGCTGTGGATGTTGGACGATATCGGAGACATTCAGAACTGTCTCAGGGTTGTCGCTCCTGCGACGTTTCCCGGGTCGACCACCAGCTTCTGAGCCACTGCTAATGTCCGCCCAAGCTGGAAGACGGCTCTGTGGGTTCAAGTTCTAGAGAGTCAGTGGATCATGGGTAATCCACAAGTTTCATGGCAGACTTACAAAAAGCTTCATCTTGGGACAGCTCGGGGGGACAGCGTGATGGAGCTGAGGACAGTACTGTAGTCGGCTAAGTGATTGCTGAGGGACGTAAGGCTCTGAATTCCTTAAATACTTGTTCGAAGTGCCGGAGAATGCCGCTTTCTTTGTCTCCTTGGGGAATGCCTTAACCTACCATACTATATCATCCTGAGGGGGTCTTTGATGGCACTCTGCGCAGGATTATTGCACTTACTATCCCCAACAAGTGAGGTACTGGCAATATCCGAGTCACTCTACTCTGAAGAGCGACCTACCTAGTCCTGACTCTCCAAGTTGATTCGATGAGAACACCGTTCTACTTACTATGCACGCAGACCACACCAGACTGTTCACCTCACGAATGACGCAAGAATTGTTGAGATAACTACAATTGATATGAATTCCATACTAGGTATACCATGCAAGAAGTAACTAGATGCTGACTAGGGATCGTGAGCGTCGTCGCGAGCGTCATGTTGTCGCTGCAGCTCTTCCCAAGTCCCCCGGCCACAAAACTTCGGAAGGAGAGACCATAAGTCCCACCTGAGTCGGGACTCAACGCGGCTGAACGCTGTTTGGCATGTCGCACACGGGGGAGTATCGGCTGAGGGTACATGTTCGGGTACAACGTGCGTCGAGAAGATGTCGTGACCTGATAAGTCGAAGAAGAGTTCCTCCAGTTTAGTAGCAATCAGCACTCCGTTGCCTGAACAGGTGCATTCTCCATTCCCTTTCATCTCTAAATGCGAAACGACTCCATGTCTAAATTTTATGTTCGAGCATTTGTACTTGTAATAGGCGTCTCGGAAGAAGAGTGCTGTGCGCTGCGACGAAGAGGAGAGCGTGACGTGTTTTCCATCGATGTATGCACCGTCTAGCGTCTCCTTGAGATCACGTAAGGCGCATTCATAGTATGCAGTAGGAAGGATGATGGGCAACAGCTGCTCGCCAAGCGCTATGGCCAGAAATGGATGATAATCTTTGCTACGAGACTTGTCTCGAGCGTACGGATAATATTGGGGCATGTAGGAAGGGAGGGCCTGGAGCAAACGGTCTTCTGCTTTAGTCCTGAGGTCGTTGACGAAATATTTGGACGATAGGTGATAGAGCTATGTAATGATGTCAACATATATATAATGCGCATTCTACGCCCAAAAAGTGCTCACACCGCAGAGTTTGACAAAGCTAGTAGGTATCTCATTCAAACCATCGTCCCCACCATCACTAAAACAGCGGCTTGAGTGATCGAGTGGCGTAGACAAAGACGGTTGAGTATGCGACATACCTGCCGTGATAAAGCGCTTCAAGAAAGAAACGGACGTCCATGGGTGGATCCGGAAGACGAACGACGCCGCAACCATCGTACGTCTCGTCTGCGGAGGTATGAGCCACGGAGAACAAATCCTTGAAGACGTTCGAGCGAAGCGACAGGAAGCCCGTGTGCAATCGGCACGCCGTCCCATCAGGGGCCATGATGATGATATTGCCGTCCTCAATCCAGAGCAGTGGGTGTTTGGTCAGGTTGAGGATATCATTGGAGACCGTTGGCACTGTATCGTCGCTGTCGGTCCTACGACGTTTTCCGAGGCGACTATCGGCTTCGACGGGCTCGTTGTTACTGTCCATCTGGAAATGGAGAAGGCGGTATGTCAGATAACATATGAGTCTTCGTATACGTGGATCTGCAAAATTGAACTCACCGATGGTCTCAGTGGAGGGTGCTGCGAAGAGAGAGACACCAGAATTTTGTATTGAAGAGCTCCTCAAGACGCTCCTTAAGACGCACCTCAAGATACGAAGACAAAGGTGGAACGAGTGGCACTACGAAAGTGTGGCGCAAATCTCGGAACATGCCGCTTGCTTTCTCCGCGCTTATGTGGCGACGCATGAGAAGGGAAAAAAACATTTTGTGGTATCCACCGAAGTGACCAAGAGGCCCGGGGGCGATCCCAGGAGAGATCGCGTGAGAGATACAGAACAGATCTATAGTTCAACTTAAACTTCGGTATCGATTCCGTGTAGAGACGCTTCTCTCCTCTGGTACCACCGAGAAGACATGCTTTGATTAGGAACGTCATACCTGTAACGACCGATGAGAGACGAACACTATCACTCTGCTTTGAAGATCAACAATTAGGGGCCTTCATCTCCAGAAGCTCGAAGTTCATTGAGTAAGAGGAGAAACCCTATTCACCGTCCGCCACGCCGTGTCCATACCCTGATGCACGTGTAAACATGCAAGATCTCCACTTCCGGCACCTTTGCCTTCTCACTGAACATTCCCTTCCGTGTAGTATAAGCTCCGGATCACAGCAGCAATGCAGCGAGTATGAAGCCGTGCATTTCCCGACTTGACAGGTCTGGAGGCCCGATATTTGCTAATGGCTGCAATGATGAACAGGCGAGGCAAGATCACAACACGGGGAGCCTGTGATTAGGACGCCAGTTTGTGGCACAGCATGGTACGGTGACCCGAGGACGCGAGGTAGAGGTATGCGTGTGTGTAGGTGTATAAGAAGCTGGCGTGGAGTATGGGGGTCCACTGCTGTTTTCACTCGGAGATACTTTGTCGTTTTACCTATCGCATCGTCTGCTGGCCTTGACTTTATCGCATCTGAATTCCGTGAGTTTGAGCAAATTGATTATGCTTAATAAGTCAAGTACTCACATTCAGCATCCAATCATCCTATCAGCCCTGCGACGTCTCAGAAGCACACTTCAGAACTTACCTTGACCTTTCGCCAAACCCGCACAATGTCTCTCTCAACCATCCCGTTCCCCGCACCTCCTTCTGCAGACGTCCCAGACGTGACCACCCCTACCACACCAGTGCAGGCCACCTTCCTCAAACCAAAGTCCTCTCCGAAGAGATCTAAGTCTACCACCAACGAACCGAAGCGATCGAAACGCGTCCGCTTCGTCGACCAACCTACCTTAATTTATATCCCTTCGCCCTCCTCCGCATTCTCCCCTCTTCTCACTCCTCTCTTCGAGTCTCTCAACTCCATGCCCGACTCAGATGCCGAGGACGATGAATCCCCGGCCAGCCTCAGCCTCTATCACTCCAAACTCACACACGCCCGTTCTCCCATGCACCAGAAGCCTACTCCCTCTATGCCCTCCATGTCCATGCTCATCCAACGCCCACTTCCCCCTTCCCCGACTCGATCCGCATCACCACCCCCGAGCCCCATTCCACTTCCCCCACCTCTCCCACTCCCACTTCCCATCACACCCACAGCCTCATTCCAGTCCGACTATGATGGCGATTCAGACGCATCGATCGTCTTCACGCCCGTATCGTCGAAATTGGCGCACCTCGCCCCGTTAATGGCACCCGCCCCACGGCGGACTCGTATCCTGAGCATCGGCGAGCTCTCATTCGCTTCATCATCCTCATCACCAGCAGCAACGCCCCATTCCAACGAAGTCTCCTCCTTCTCTTCCGTCCTTTCCCCAAGACCCAAGCTGAAGACCGTCCCGAAACCGACATCGGCATCGATGCTCAGTCCGACAAGGATCCCGCTTCCCCTAAGCCCTCGCGCGGGGACACCTGTACCGCTCTCTCCAGCACCCTTCACGTTCTTGTCTTCGACTCATCCGCGTCTCCGGATTGAAACCCTTCATCTCAACTCTTCCTCTCATACGCAGCATCAGCATCGACCTGCCCAGACTCGCTTACGGCCCAGAGAACGCAAGGTCTCGGGAACCTCGCCGAACGCTATTTCTCGACATAAACTCCATGGGTATGGGCAGAAAGCCGGTTCTGCGTTGAGTTCGAGCAAGAGGGTTAGAAGGACGAGTGGGGAAGGGATGAATGTTGTGAAGAGGAATGGAGTGGGGAGGCAGAGGGGCGGTATTCCGAGTTGGGAGATGGTGGGGCAGGAAGAAGAGAAGGGTATGGGGCGTATTGCGGAGGAAAGGGAACGGAGGGAGATGGACGAGGGGACGGATTTGATGTCGGTGGAGGAGGAGGTACCCGGAGGACCGAAAGCAAGGAGCGAATCCGCTGCTGATACCGATTTCGTTCGCGGGGTGCAGGACGCCACGCGGGATCTAAACGAGGCCACCGAAGACACAAATGCGAGGAACGTCGACCCGGATGTCGAACCCAGTCGTTCCTTTACCACATCCACCCTTCCGCCCAAAGCAACCACCGACGACGACTCCATCATCTCCTTGACCAACTCCCTCCTCTCCGAGTCTCAGTCACATTTATCCTCGCTCGAAGAGAGCTACGAGTCTCTCCTCGAGCTCAAGGACCTGTTCATCCGCGACCTACGCTTCGAAATTGACGACCTACGATCCGAGCTTCATCTTTCTCAATTCGAGGAATCCAAGGGAAGGACGAGGATCCGAGAGCTCGAAGATCAGTTAGTCGATATGGAGGAGAAGCTGGAGGAACGCGAGGCGAAGGTCTTGGAGAGAGAACGTGAGGTGACGAGGACAGAGGGTGAAGACGATCGTGTGCAGATGGAGATGACCAAGGAGACGGAGGTTATGGAGATGAGGGAGACGCTTGAGGGGGCAGAGAGAGTGGCGGTGATGAAGACGAATAGGATTGTCGAGCTCGAGGCGGAACTCCAGAAGTCGAACCAGGTCGTGACGAAATCGCAGTTGGAGGTTCGGAGCCTGGAGGTTGAGAGGGGACAACTACAGGTCGAGATCGGAAGGCTGCACGACGAGCTTGAGAGCACTTCCCGAGCCCAGGAGAAGTTGAAGGATGACCTGGACCAGAGGAAGATGCAGGGCGATCATGCGAAGAGGACGCTAGGGATGATGGAGGGTGGCGTTCGGAGGATTGAAGGCGAGATTCGAGCCTTGTTGGAGCTGGTCGAGAGGCGAGGGGAGGAGGAAGAGAGTGCTATTATAGTTGAAGAAGAGGATAGTGTCGCAGAGAGTGACGAGGAAGGTTCGGTGGATACCCTTGTCACCGCTCACGAAACACCCTCCTGGGCCACGGTCACTCCGCCGGTCGAGAACACCGATTTGAAGTACTTCCACCAAGACGAGCCCGAGGTCCCGAGACCCATACAAGACATACAAGAATCAAGCTACGACGAGAGGATCCGAGCGCTGGAAGCTCGATTGGACGGGATGAGGCTTCGGTACGAGGCGGCGGAAGCATCAACGGTATGTGGCCACGATGTTGATCGTCTATTGAGGACACAGCTGGGAAGTTTGGAGGAAGAGAATGGAGAGCTCAGGGAAAGAATTATGGAGTGGGAAGGAAGAGTGGGAAGTGAGGCGGAGGGTGAGAGTTCGACGGAGGTGTACGGTATGCCGGGTTCCGATTTCGAGGGCTCAGAGGAGCGCTGGCCAGACGATGTCCCCCTCACCATGGGCGTTGACTCGGACCTGGAGCCGGAACCCTCGTTTACGCAGGCGATGGAGAAGGAAATGTTGACGGCCAGTTCGTTGCCCTCCTCCCCGACGGACGAGACATCGAATGGTGTCGCCACAAGGGTGGCACCGAGGCCGGTCTCGTGGATATACGATACGCTGGATGATGATGGACTCGCTAGCAGCGATGAGCTCTCGAAACGGACTGACTTCGGGGCTCTGAAGAGTGCCAGAAAGACCTGGCTGTTAGACGAGGAGCTGCCGGAGGGCGGGGCTCATGCGAGTGACTTCGAGGACTTGTCCTCCTCGATACTTCGGCTGCGGTCGCCACATCCCTCGAAGGGATTGCGGGGACGTTCTGGGCCGCGTTCGAAGATGTAGATCCGGTAGAATAGATTTTGTATCGTGGTCGACGTCAGAGCCCTGCATATTATTTTCCTTCATCCATGTCTGCGGTCGATGTGGCCCGTGGCACGGCACCAAATTGGCACGGTGGGACCCCCACAATGATTTAAAGCGGGCAGTGCGGAACAATCTGGCAACCGATGAGCGCTTCTCCGTTTCAACCAACTGATAGCTTTGTTGAACACATATGAACGCTGTCCTCGCCAGTGCCATCTTTCCTTATAACCATATGCATGCCGCGCTTGGACAAGTCTCACCGACTCCCAACTGATATCTGACGACGCTGACATGGGCGAAGACCGTGACATGCGACCACCCACCTGGCGTTCTCTGGCCTCTGCGGGCTCGTCTCGCATCAAACAATACATCTCGAACCGCGACTTGAAGCGCAAGGAACTAAAGCCAGGCGACGCGGGCTATGCCAACGGAGGTCCGAAGAAACAGAGCTGGACACAGTGGGCAGGTGAGAAGATAGCAAAGAGAGCGGCCGGTGAAGATGTTGGCGAAGAGGCTGTAGTATTATTTCCTGGATGGGCTTCAAGAAGATATCACAGCGGGTTGTATGACGGTCGGGAAGGTGAGTGTTTGGTTTACGCTCGGCTGTTATTGGGGGACGCTCAGCGTCAAATGATTTCGTTCGCCACGCGCAGGCTCTCCGTACGACGTCGAGGTCTTCGTCTCTGGATATGCCGTCAAATATCGAGCGCCAGGGTTTCAGACACGTTCCCAGAAGACCCTCCTCAAATTGGCCAAAAGTGAGTATCCTTCACGGTTGTTCGCTTTCCCTTTTGAACGAGGTTATGTGTCTCGCCACACTTCGTTTCCATCGTACCTGGAATGCCGGCTCGAAATATTGCTGGAATTTCGAGATCATCAAACTCTTGAGTAGCGCATCAACTCCGGTAGCACAGCCGATAGTGTTGAGAGCTATCTTTGATTTTGATAACCCCAACGGCGGTTAGGCGCAGGTAGGTTTGACGCCACACAGCCAGCCCAAGTGATTTCCCTGGCACCCGCTCGGAAAGCGTCTATCTTCGATGATTTGCGCCCAGGGGGAACAGGATTGGCACTGAAACTGCTAGGAACAGTGTCCTCGCTGATGCTGTGGCTAGTTTGGCTGTAGAGCAACACGGTGTGCGAGCTCACTGGGCCCATAGACCTCGCTAGAATGAAGCAGGACTAATATATCATTGTTGCTTGGTTCTTCTTTCTGCGTTCTGATTTCTTTTACTTATACTCCTTGTGTTGGCAGCCTTCGCCGCACTCCCCAAACTCTCCGATCACAGTGGCTCCACGACTCCTAATGACAACTCCGACCCGGCCCTCCCTTCCTCGTCCTCCCACCTCTCCAAATCCACCGAAGACCTCCTCGCCACAATCGACCTCCCGCCCCGCCCCGACGAGATCGACGAAGAATCCGAAATTCGAGCTCTTCGACACGCCCTTGCCGCAGCCTCCTCTCGTAACAACTCCAGCAACACACTTTCTTCTACCGGCAGCTCTTCGGCGCCTGGGACTCCAAATGCTGGTTTCTCGAGTTTGCCTGGGTCGAATTTGCTTGGAAATACGGTGGCGAATGATTTGAGGAGGCTGCACGCGAATTTGGAGGCGAGACTGCATCCATTTTGGGCTGGTGCATTGGCCTCGAGGACGATACGAATCTCGCTACACCTTCAGGACCCTATTCCCTCTACCAACACCTCAGAACCTCCGTCGTTCAAGTCGAATAACCCCTATCGCCATTCTACTCCGTCTTCCGCAGCATCATCGGCAGATTCTTACCATCGCAGCTCCGGCTCTACGACGAGCTCAGGAGAACGCGCGCTGTACGATAAACCACTCGCAGTACAGAAAACTGACACCGCACCGGATGGATCTTTCCAGTACAAATTCGTCGTTCCGTGGGAGGAAGTATGCACGCATCCGAGGGGAGCTGAGGTCGCGTTTGGAGACCATAGGCTGGAGCACGAGTTCTGCATCAGAGCAGAATTGTTCTCCACTCCGGATCCAGAACTATCTCCGCAAACACCATCCCCTTCATCCTCACAACCCCCACCCCAATACCAGTATCAACCACGGATATCACCTCCCTCGAGATCGCCTGCGCAGGTCTCAACACCAGCACTAACCAGCACTCCCACACCTCGCTTCCACCCACCACCCGGTGACCCACCACTCCCACCACCACCTCCAATCCCAGCCGCCACCGAAGCCCGTCAACTTCCCCGCAAACGTTCGATCCCGTCCGGCCTCGCACCCACGCTCACCCCGGCTTTCGCACCCACGCTCGCGCATTATGGACCACCGCCTACTCGCACGGCCTCTGCTTCGGAGAAAGTTCCGTTGACGTATTCGCCCGTCCGTGTGATTTCGGATATTGACGATACGGTGAAGTATTCGAGTGTGACGAGTGGAGCGAGGGCGGTGTTTTATAATGTGTTTGTGAGGGAGTTGAAGGAGAATGTTATTCGGGGGATGGGGGATTGGTATGGTGCGATGTGGGACGCCGGTGTGAGGTTTCATTATGTCGTGAGTTTTCTTTGCCTCATTCGTCGAACGATTTATGTTTATGAGTCGATTGGGGTTGTCTACAGTCAAATAGTCCCTTCGAGCTGTTGTCAGTGATCAACGAGTTCTTCCAGCTAGCCAAGCTCCCCCCTGGTTCTATCCGTCTACGCTCGTACGGAACTCGCAACCTCTTCTCCGGCATTCTCTCCGCCCCCGCCACTCGCAAACGCGCCTCGGTCGTCGAAATCCTGACCTCCTTCCCCCACTCTCGTTTCATCCTCGTCGGTGACTCCGGCGAACAGGACCTCGAGCTGTACGCATCGCTGGCGAAGGACAGACCGGACCAGATTCTCGCGATCTTCATCAGGGATGTATACGCGAATGAGGATCCGTCGTTGACGCTCGATGATCCTACGGGGGAGAGAATGCCGTATGGTTTGGGCTCGGGCGTGAAGACGGGGAGCACATTGACGCTGAATATGCCCAGGAGTAGGAAAGGCACTGCGAGCTCCGTCGCGTCCTCATTCGGCGCTCCAGGGACTCCTGGCTCAGGTTTCGGTCACCTACCGATCCATCACGAAGAAGGCACGATCATGCCTGACGTTGTCAATGGGAGTCGGCTTAGCGGAACGATAGGGAGGAAGACGGCGAGACCGTCAGAGTCGTTACCCAATTCACCGACCAGCGGGAGCTCCTTGTCCTCTACGTTGGGGGCGATCGGGCTGGGCAGTCCGGGGAAGAAGGGGACGACGGGGAAGATGACGCGTGCTTCGAGCAGTGATTATTTCTCGGCGAAATATCCGGCTGAGCCTTGGGAGTCTTCGAGTGAAAGTTCCGCGTCGACCGCGTCTTCTCCGGGAATCGAGGATGGTAGGAGGAATGGGCATGGACAGGTGCATACGCCTACGCCGAGAGGACACGGACAAGGATCCCGCATCATGGAGGATCCGTTGAGCACTGAGCCGTTGACGATGACGCCTAGTGCATGGAACGGGAGCACACCACCTTCGCCCGCACTTTCAGCTCTCACGCTTGGTTCGACGGAATCGGGATACGGCCAATCTACCTATGGCGGTGCAGGACGGAAGGCATATTCGCAAAGGGCGAAGGAGAACTCGATGAGCGAGGGCGAGAAGAAGAAGTATAGTTTGCAGGATAGGGTTTGGAAGGCCAGGAGGGAGGTGCCGCCGAACGTGGTTCTGAGGGTGTTCAGGGAACCGGAGGAGTGCGTGCCTGAGGCGGAGGATGTGCTGAGGAAGGCGGGGGTGAGCATCGAGGGGTTCACCATGGGAGGGCAGTAAGGGCGTAAGTCCCCTAGGGCCGAGTGTGGGAGGTGCAGCTAGCTTTGTGGATAGGGATATGCGGATTGTGAGAGAGGGTTGGATATGGATGGATGTGGATATGGACTCACTTCATACGGGTAATGGGTCTGTAATTGTCTGTTGTGCTATGCGTTTGCCATCGTCCGATTATTTCTATTACTTTACCATGTATACTTACTGTACTTTTTCGTTCACCTTCTCCCGTCGTCATGTGTCTATAGAGAAATAAACGCGCCAATAGTATCTCATCTCTTTGCTCGAGTCCGTCCAGTTGCCATCTCGGTACATTAACCTCAGTATTCAAGACCGGAAACGAGAAAACCAACGTTTACGAAGTCGTGAGACCCCAGAGAAGTGTCCAATGGGTATCAATAAACTTCTCAAGCTGTCTTTCCTTCCCCAGCTCGACAATGCATACCTGAAACTGATTTGGAGATGCTTACGAACTCTCGGAAAATCACACAGAATCAAGTCATGGTGAAAGTGAATGCATTGTGAAAGATGGAATGCACGGAAGGAAAGGTGTACTGAAAAGCTCTGCAAAACTGACATTCAAGTTGACAAAAGAAAAAAGCTACACGCCGGTCTCAATGTCCATAGTCCATGCACTTTATCGTATCGTAATGAAGAAATCTGCTCGAAACAACGACTCAATCTCATGATCTACAAGGCCTCCTCATCGTCAAAGACCATGCGGTTCAAGCGAACCCTGCACAATTAACACAGGTCAGCTCATCAGCAAACATGGTGTGAGTTGTTTTGAGAAATGGACAGACCTGCTGTTCCTCCTCGCGATAGCAGTCGCAGACGACGAGGAGGCAGAGTCGACAGCAGCAGCGCTGTCAGTGGCGGCCGCAGTCGCTGCAGAGCCAGCAGCGGCACCGGTTGCAGCAGCAGAGCCAGCAGCAGCGCCAGTGGCAGCAGCTGAGTCGGTAGCGGCGGCGCCAGCAGCAGAGTCGGTGGCAGCGGCGCCAACAGCTGAGTCGGTGGCGGCGGCGCCGGCAGCAGAGTCGGTAGCGGCGGCGCCGGCAGCAGAGTCGGTAGCGGCGGCGCCAGCAGCAGAGTCGGTAGCGGCGGCGCCAGCAGCAGAGTCGGTAGCGGCGGCGCCAGCAGCAGAGTCGGTGGCGATGGCGGTAGCGGTCGCAGCGGCAGCAGTGTCAGTGGCAAGCGCAGTGTCGGTCGCAGCAGCAGCCGACGACGATGACAAGGCAGCACACTCGGCGGCAGTCTAAAACAAAACTCAGAAAGTGATGAAGACGCCGACGAGAGAAGACTTACCACCGCTTTACCCTTCTTGAAGCTGTAGGCTTGGATAGACCTGAGGTCGTTGAGACGCTTCTCGAAAGTCTCGTCGTCCTACAGCAAGCGAGGCAAACGTTAGTTTGTTATGAGACGAAGTAATTCCGCAAACGAAACATACACGGGCATTGAGGGCTGAAAACGAAGAATATGAGGTGCTCAGCGGACAAACGTGCGCTTGGAAATGATATGAGTCTCACCAGCATCGAAGGTTTCCCTGGCCCCAAGCTAAGGACAGTGGAACGGATTAGTCCTAGGCAGACCGTCTAGAAAATCGAAAACACATACCAAAGCAGCCTCGAGCTTAGCAATGGCATTGGCATTGGCAGCACCGCTACCGGTAGCACCAGCGTTGGAAGCACCAGCGCCGGCAGCACCAGCAGCACCGGTATTAGCAGCAGTGGCGTTAGCACCAGTTGACGAAGCCAATGCAGCACAGGCTTCCGCAACCTTGGCGGCCTTCGTAGCTGCGTGCAGAGACTAAAGGTAAGATGAGAATGAAGATGAACATGGAATGACAACATATCTTTGCAGCCTATGGGACGAGTCATTAGTGGATGAAACATCAACAGATATGATAGAATGGACGCACCTTGTTCGATCCCGCGGCGGCGGTGCCGTTGGCAGCTGCCTAGAAGAGACACAGTTTGAGGGGAGGAGCAGAGAAAGGATCAAATCATAGGACTTACAGCAGCAGCAGCTGTCCCGTTGGCGGCGGCACCGGCAGCATCAGTTGCGTTCGCCGCCTTATTGTGCTTGCGGGCCTGGAGAAACTGTGAGAAGAACGTCTATGATGTGGATATACGCGACGTACGACAAGAGCATGGGTGTACTCGGTGGGAGCAGCCACTGACATGCCGATCATGGCGCCGACGAGGGGAATAAGAGCAAGGCGGAACAACATCGTGAGAGAAAGGTGGGATTCGTGTAAAAAGTTGAGACGAGACGAAAGAGATCCTCAAACGAGAACAAAAGAGTGCGCGGCACGAAGGATGGACGAAAAAGATGCAGGGAGTGTAAGCTGGTCAACGAAAAAGCAGAGTTTTTCAGCACGACGATGCCTGATCGACGTGAAAAGAGGGAAAGAAGGGGAAGTGGTGGGTGAAGAAAGTGAGCGACGCTGGGGAAAGGGCAGCAGCGAGCGACTCGTCTTTTGTATGTTAGCTGAACATTACGATGCGGTGGGACCGGTCAAGAAGGTCCTCCTTTGTCATGGATACACTGCGATACATTTCCTTTCTTTTGACCATCAGATGACGTAGAGAGGGCGCAACATGCTTCGAGCTTTAGTGGCCTAGAGACAGCTCCACTGTGGTGAAGCGAGTGGAAACGGGGCATGTTCTACAACGTAGAACTATCATTTTGAGCGCCTGCTAAACATAGATGTTAGAAAAGCTGTGTGGCAGCAGAGGAAAGGGACAAGGTACATAAACGAGCAGCAAATGCTGCAGCCCTACCAGGTTGCTCGAGGGCTCTCAAACGATGTTAGACGATGTCGCTGGCAGGGGTAAATGGAATCTGGGGTAATAGGGGGTTTTAATGTCTTCGGAGCCGAAGGCGTAACTGCCGAGCGAGGGCAAGGAACGAAGATCTAATCTTATCTGCGAAGAGCAAAACGGTGAAGCAAAATACTTATCTCTGTCCTGGGAATCTCGCGAGCAGTACATTACTTGAAAATACACCGTTGTTACACTTCTTCAATAACTTCATCTTCGTCTATCTCACCCTGATCGACTTCCTCTATCTGTCCTTCAGTGACCGTCTCCGGACCTTCGTCCCCTTTGAGTAAGTTGACAAGTCTTTCGATATGTTCGGAAATCTGACAGTAGCAACGGTGTTAGTGACCTAGTCGCAACACCAAAAGCAGCACAACGAGGATGATGTCTTACATTATCGACCGTCTCTTGCTCGTGGAGGGCTCTCACTATCTCATACACGCCATGATTCCTTAAAAAGTCCCTTCCCCACCGCGTGGTGCATAGCAAAAGCAACGTCTCGACATGCGTCAATCTTAACGTAGGATCGGCTTCACGCTGTTTGGTCGGAGGAAGAAACTGAAGAGCTGCCGGAAGAAGTTCTTGATCCTGTGTCAAAGAAGAAGGGGAACGGGCGACGCGGAGATAAGTCGCCACGGGAAGAAAGACGCAATATAAAAAGGGTACCTCTAAATCGAATTCTTCAGGACCCGCAAGAGGCAACAAAATGAAAGGAAGCGCATCGACGCCTGGTGCCTTGATCGTTGATGGGGGAACAATGACGAGGTCTGTTTCTGGGGAAAGCAACGCTTGGTGTGCTTGTTTCTCGAACGAGCAGTTTCTATCGATCAGTAAGTTGAGTGGCATGGTTACGGTACTGCTTTGAGGCATCACGCACTTGATGGTCGAAGCCACGCCACCTCTTCGAATGGTGTCTTTGTGTTCCGTGAAGGCGACTATTTTTGAAAGAGGGAATTCTACAGGTCCGGAAGAACGTAGTAGATCGATGTGTTGTGGCGTCCAAAGGAATTGGCGTCCTACTGGCGTCTGTATGAAAATGTGAAAGGATGAATTTCGAAAACATGAATTTGTGTGGTATTATTATCGAGAGGAGCACGAACTGTGGAGACATTGGCGAACACGCTAGCTAAAAAGTGAAGACTACTTTTCTGTCTTCGCCTGCCCTCCTCATTGTCGGGATCAATATTGGCGCCTCGGACGAAAGCGTCGAGCAACAACGGTAGTGCGGGAACATCGACCTCTTCACCTTGGGGATAAGGAACGGGAGCGGCACAACTACCGGAGCGGGAGTTTGTAGGGTACAGGCCACCTAGAAGTGCTTCATACGGAATAACTTTCACTTTCATGGAGAGGAGAGCCGCCGCCGTCGATGATGAGATCGCGGTAGTCAAATTTGACAGTAACATGGCGGCGAGATCGGCGAGGGTGGCTTGCGGGTTCTGCCATGGTGCAATCCAAGTTCAAGTATCCATTTGGCAAGGGATCGAAGGGAGATACGACGAACAATGATGTAAGATACGAGGAAGTTGAGAAAGGTCGGTTCAGCCAATGAGGTGACCAATAAGGGAGAGTCAGAGAGATTGACAAGAGCGCGGAAAGCATCATGCGCGACTGCCTGTAGGAACCGGTAGTCAGTGCAATGAGGAGGAAACAAGTCAAGGAGTAGAAATGTGATGTATTGTTGGTGATAGGAATCGTGCGTAGATACATATGGGGGTTGATTCCATTTTGAAGTGAGACTATCGTACATGCAAGTCGCTGCCATACTGGACCGCGACCTCGATCTTCGAATCATGAAAGAGAAACCAGTATGTAGACGTACCAAGTTGTCTCGACAGAGCAGTTTCAAATCTCTGATGACCTCGCTATCCTTAGGCTTCTTCAATCCACCGCCTTGCATACCCGACAAGAAGATGGTACGATGGGGAGAGCCCTTCGGAGTCTGAGCTAGTAAATTCTCTAGCGCTAACTGCCTGGCTTGGGGGTTTGGATCGTGGAGGAAAGGAAGGAGCTAAAAATCTCATGCGTGAAATCTTCTCGTCTGGCACCAATATACAGGGAAACGCACCTCTCTCAATTGTGCCTCCATTTTTTAACAATGAAAGATGGACACTCAAATAATATATGTACACAGCACCAGACACTTCTTTGTGCCGGTCACTTGAAGTCAGAGAAGACGAGACGATCAAAACCTCCACCGCCGTTAGCTAGCCAGAGAATCAATTTGGGCCGATGAGATATACTGTGAGAATCGATATCGCCAGTGGCTAAAGCTCTAGAAGAGTTCGGAGGGTCGTTAATTATACCCTGCGCGTAAGAGCAGGAATAGGCTTGAGATCAGAGATGAGAGTTAGAGGCAAGAAAATATTGTGGCCCAGGCCAAATTCGCCGGGAGTGAGTCACGTAAGTCACATCTGTCACGGTGTCACAGTAAGCGCCTGTGTGCTCGTGTGGCCCTTGTGTGGCCTTAGAAAGAACAGCTCTTCGCGTTGCTCAATGATTCTGAATATTCAGGAGTGCTGTTTCCAGATCGACAGAGCAACTTAGCTTCTCTAGTCTCGTGGCTCTCAATTTACTCATTCATAAATAGCAACGTCCGCTGACAGTCAGTATCTCAGAACGTTCTACTTCAATGCGTTTGTAGCCCTCAAGTATACGTAGCTCTTCAATCTTAGGGTTTTGCAAGAGTGCACGCGTGAGCCTTATTCCAGAGACAGTCAGATCTCCATTTCTTCTATCTGCTCCCCTCGAAGTTTATAATACTGTGTAGTAATCTTTTTGTATCTCACCGTCAAGTCGAGCTCCTCTTCCTGAGTGCCTTCACAGCTCATCGAGTCATCACTGCAGGTAACCCCACGCTAAATCCACGCGGAACACGTAGTCCTTCGTAAGGATCAGGTCATTCAAACTTTTAAGAGTCAGGATAGGTCTGGATCATCCCGTGGCCACACAATCGCCCAATCCCACACTACCTTCTTGCAGCCAACCACATGGCGGCGCAACTTTCGCAACAATTGATCAGACGGTGGTTCGTGATTGCTGTTGTTCGAAAACTAGCCATACAACCTTAATGCTTTAAGTTACTTACGTCGTTAAGTCCACGCCATACATTCTAATTCTGTCAAAATGGCCAGGATAAACTGTCACAGACGAATTGCAGTGGGTGTGCCGCCGGCTGGGCATATATGAACTTCTAACCAATCATCTTCGAGGATCGACGCCGATCGATGCCCATCCATCTTGGCGCACTGAGATTGCGGAGCGGCAACATTCGCGGAGGTCAAGGAATACTTCTGATCGGGAATTTGAGAGGATGGACCATGTGGATGATCCGCGGGCATTGGTCGATTGAGCGACAAAGTGAAGAGCAAGATGAACTTGCAAGAAGGCGCGTCGAGCGGCGTTCCACTCAGAAAGCAAAACTGAGACCGTGGTCAAAGTGTGCTCTATCGTAGCTTACCTGTGATCGCGATCGACGAGCATGAAAGAAGGAGCGGCCGTTCTCTAATCGACGGTAAGACGACGCCACGAGCTGCCTCGTTGTGCGAGCAAGACCGAGACTGGTTCACATGAGAGTTAGATGAGTTCTGTCGGGAAAGGTAGGCGTTCAGATGTATGTAATGGCCGGCAGCATCCGTTGAACAGCCAGCTCCGAAATTGGACGGCAAGTACTGCGGCGAACTCAGGAGTTATCCAGTTCGGTGACTGAAGAATATATCGTCAATATTGTTACGGTCCCATAGCTGAGAAAAAAAACAGGCGATAGCGAACCCTTCACCTCTCTATACCCTGCTAAGGAACCTGAAAGCTCTTGCTGCTTTGAAATTTCTTGCACGCGATGCTACCGGTCCTTCCCATCAAGAGTTAGGCCCGTTCTACCAGACCCACATCTACGACCATGATGCCACTCTAAGAATGACCAGATCCGATTACTACGGGCAGGAAGGCCGACCTAAAGCCCTCTCACGTCGACGGACGCCGTCGCAAATTATATCTGGGCCCACATGAGTCCGCGACCATGGATAAGGGAATGTTGGAAGAGCTCACCGTGAATTTCGATCGAAGAATCCGCACATTCAGCACAGATGAGGCAGGATACCAGGAATACTCACCCATTAGGCATGGGCACGATACAAATGCATGCATTATGTTGGTCTCGAGCTGGCCAGAGTCTTCTGCAAACCACTCTAGAATATAGCACACCTAGAGGAAGCGGACCTTCGAGAAAATCATGACTGCACGGATACAGGTCAGCGAGTGTCAGCGTATCAGCGCCAGAGCACACCTGTCGATCTGAGCATAACCGGATAGTTGCGCGCTGCACCGGCAGGTTGTGCATCAAGCTCCATCCGTCCACCCGCTCATACACACATGTGCCCAGCAGTCAAAGCGACTAAGTTATCCATCTCGATCCGCAAGAGTCCGGCAATCAGGAACTAAGCCCACCTCGATCGAAGAGCGAGCAAAGTACATCGAGTCGGATCCAAGGGGGCAATGAAAAGGACCAGAAGACAGGGCATGCGAGCGAGAAGTGGAAGAAGAAGCAGACAAGCATGTATGTAGACGAGCGTCGAAGCGAAGAATTGGAGCCAATGATGGTATAATGGAACGTCGACAGCGAGAGGTTGCGGTGCATTAGAGTGATATCAGATCAACATGATACAGTTAGAGCTGCCGCGCTGATGAACCGTCTACAATTGTCCTGCGGTCGGTTAGCGAGAGAGGGACCACAGGAGCGAGGGAAGATCGGATTATGCCCAGAAGAAAATAATGCAAGCGATGGCGACGAAAGGAGAGGAAACAGGGAAACATGTGCGTGTGGGTGGGAACGACCAAAAAAAAACAGTGTGATAACGCAGCGGGACAACAAGGTAGGAGTGCTATCGTATTGGACATAAAACCCGAAGAGAAATCAAGCAAAAAAATACACGCGCACGAAGTGGGACCAAGAGGGGAGCGAATTGGTCTAGAAAGACAACCGAAACGGGCATAAGATTCGACGGTGGCGGGAAGACGGTGCATTAGGATGGAACAGTTTCAAGTTTGGACCGTTCATTGCCTTCCCATATCATCATCACCTTCTTCCCTATACTCCTGCGCCATGAACGATTCGTCGTCCTCGTCACTCGACTCCTCGTCGTTTCGCGCAGAAGACGCACCACCACCTACTTTATGACTTTCTTTCGCCCTCTTCTTAATCTGTAAATCACTTTTAGAAGTGTTCCCCGGCAACACGCGAATAGCGTGAGGTAGCAGAGGAAGATTTGACGTACAAGCTTGGCATAAACGAGGCCACAAGCGTTACAAAGCGTCCGAGGACCTGTGGTTGAAATGCATTCGGTCAACGAACGCCACAGAAGGCAGAAGAGGCCCAAATATTCCATAAATATACATACCCAATGGTCCTCTCCGCCATTCCGGCGTCGAGGTGGCACCACAACCTAGACATTTCTGGCCTTCTGGTACTGACCCTTCCGTTTTCTTTGATCAAAGTTGAGACCAAGTTAGCGAAGGTTAAGCTCAACAGACGGGAGACGGTCCCTCAGCATGGAAAGAAGACTCACTTGTTTCTTGGCCGGAACACTGCTACTTTCTGCCTCATCTCCTGCTCCGGTACCACTCGAACTTCCTGCGGCCCCGCTCGCGCTCGCGCTCGCACTAACCTGTACCTGCCCCTGGCCTCCCATCGGAGACCCTATGACCTGACTAGTGCCTGACGCACTGATGGGCACACTCGCGCCACCTGGTCCACTGCTCGAAGGCCCTAAGTTTCCGGTAGGAGACTCGCTTACCCCTCCCGTACCTCCAAAATGCAGAATTCTAGCCCCTACGGTCGCCGCCTGAGTCATTTGCTGTAGTTCCTCGGGCGATGGTCGGCCCTGAGAGGACGGATCGTTTACTAGTGAGGCGGTTTTCTCTATGATGAAGCGGTAGGAGTCGAGGAGCTGACGGTTTCGATCGAGAGTGAGTGTATCCGGGGATCGAAAGAGGGGGAAAATAAGGTCAGTTGGTGATGCATTATGTTACGCCGAAAACACAATCGCTGGAAAGGAGATGGAGGCAGAATGCGTTCGAACTCCACGACAAGTGCCTGAATATAGTCGAATAGGTGTCCATGGTAGGAGTGGGTGACAATTTAGGTAGTGAAAGCATACAAACGGCGGGCTCGAGGAGGAACGAATAATATACGGGATGGACTTACTGTATGATAATCCACATTCTGCGCGCTGCTACCTTGCCCCATGGTGCCACTACCGCCACCGCTCCCTGGGCTTCCGCCACTCATCCCTAGGACTACGCCTCCCATACTAACGTCTGTTGGTGTACTTGGCGGACGATTAGCCTGACTTTGATTTTGCCCAGGTCCAATACCGCTGCTGGGACCAGCACTACTCCCGCCAGCTGCCACCATACTGGCTCCTGCCCCAGTTGACCCCGATGAGCCAGCCGGCTCCTTCTCACGCTTTCTACGCGATTTTGGAGCTGGTTTGGGCGCCTGAGAGGGGGTTTGTGCATGGGTTGGTGGTGGTTGTTGTGGCCGAGGTAGAGATTGAGGGAATTGAGGAGGTTGAGAATGCGACTGAGGATGAGATTGCGGGTGGTGAGAATAAGATTGAGAGGTCGTGGGAGCACTGGGTTCGATAGGCGTAGACGGAGCGGTGGTGTTGCTCGTGTTCGTTGTGATTGAACCATGGCTGAGTCGGTGAGGAGGAAGGTCCGACCCAGTAGACTGTCTTGAGCCGAATGCTCGAGGTGCAGGACCTGAACCGGGAGGACCAGCAAGCGGTGGCTGCTGCTGCTGCTGATGCGGGTGAAAGTGTTGTTGAGGGTGAGGCTGTGGAAGAGGATGCGTCGTGTGCGAAGGGTGTGGGGAAGGGTCCGGTCGACCTGATGTGGAAACGGAGACCGGTGTGATGATAGATGCAGTGGATATAGGAATAGATGATGGATTCAAGTTGGTACTAGGATTGTTCGATTGAGATGAAGAGTGAACAAGCGGCTGACCATAAGCTGACCATTGCTCCCCTCCGCCAATCATCACCCCGCCTCCACCACTGCCAGGATTCCACTGCGGCTGCTGCTGCGGCAATGGTTGTTGAGGCTGAGGTTGACCGCCAACGTTGGGGTATCCGGTCGGTGGCACACCGTAGGATGAGGGACCAGCAGCGGGATGATAAGAAGGGGAAGGCCCAGGCCCAAAAGGCGACGGCTGCGTTGGAGTATGTGGGTGAGATGATGACGATGGGAGTGAGACCGTGGGGTGAGACTGTTTAGACAAGGGTGGTGGACGATGAGGTGGACCCGGGCCTGGCCCATGACCGTGGCTATGACTGTGTGTACGATTTTGTTGTACAAGCGCGTGATGAGAAGACGGTGAATCATACGGAGGGGCAGTGGCAGTTGTTGTGGCGGTGGCGTACGTCGTTTGATACTCGTAAGATGTCATTGCGTGCGGTTGTTGTTGCTGCTGGTGCTGGTGCTGTTGATGTTGTGGGTACAAGTACCGCGCATCGGATGACATATGAGCCTGCGTGTCAACCGGGGTGGACGCTGGCACTGTTGTCGGCAGGGGAATGGTGAACGAGGGATGATGAAGCGTAGGTTGGCCGAACACGCCGATGCCGAGGGTGTGAGGCGGACCTTGATCCTGACCTTGAAGCTGTCGTTCGGCTTCGGGCGATCCTAATGCCTCGTTCAGTGATGAATAGGAAGTCCGCCTTCGTTGTGGAGGTGGTCTTCCGGTGCTGGAGGAGGCTGAAGCAGATGTGGGAGGTTGTGAGCGACCGGGATGATAAGGATGACCAGACATAGTAAGATGAATAGGAGTGATAAGTCAATAGCAAATGTCCAGTGCGACTCGGATGGGAGGGAAAAGGAGAAGCTGCGCGATGAGACGCGTATTTAAAGCAAGACAATGACAAGGCCAGACAGGCAAGGCGTTATCGCGCTCAGATGTGACTGGACATGCTACGTGTTGAATGCAAGGACGAGCGAAAGTTCAAGAGAAGTTACGGTCGAAGCGTTGCGTTTAGTGAATTGATCAGCAAACAGAAGATGTGTGCGAAGTCAGTTGGCAGCAACTCGCGGTTTTTGGAAAGAACTCGCTCACTGGCTCATTGAGCTAGAACGCCGAGAGGAGCACAACCGTGCAGCCGTAACGTACTGAATGGGAAAGGGAAAGCAAGGCAAAAGGCAGAGCGACGTCGTGCCCAGTGCCAGGACATTGCAGCGAACCGATCGCGCGAGAGATATTCAGGGTCAGACATCGGCACCAAAGCCAAAACCAGAAAAGCAGCCCTGGAAGGCTTCCCGAGTCTAAGCCCCGCCCTCGTCCAATCCTGTCTTGTCAACCGCTTGGGATGGAGAAAGCAGAAACACATTGCATGATGACAACTGTGCATGTTCCACTCTCGGAGTCGCGCTGCCAAATGTAATCTGCGTCATGTCTCAGAATGTATTGCTCACCTCGAACCTTGTCCTTTGGCTGTTGGCGAGTGGGGATATCTGGATCCAGTGCGCTCCGTTCCCGGGTTCGACTCTTCGGCGCCTCGCGAGCTGCACGCTGCAGTGGTCAGCCAGCCGCGTTAGGCAGGCCCTTGGCTCGCTCGCTGGGTCTGATGCTGGCGCTGAGGGTCTTCACCCCAACGCTACCGAACGCGAACGCCCGTTATCACGTCCCGCCTAATTGCAAATTAAAGCAACGAGCCGAAGTCCAAGTCCGACGCGAGTTTGTCCACAAAACTCTACAAATACCTTCCCGTCGGCATGTGCCAAAGAGTTCACAGATATTTAGGAAGCTGATGCAAAACTGCGAGAGGTATGAGTGGAGCGCAACTTACCCCAGACAGCGATGCTGGCTAATGGTGGACCAGAAGAGAAGCAGAGACGACAAGAGAAGGAACAAGGCGGCTGCGATGTGGCGTGCAGTGCCGCGCCCCGGCGTCTTGGTCTGTTCTTGCGGCGTCTCCACAATTGCAGCTCGTACTTCCTCTGATTGACTCGCATTTCACTCCGTTTACGGCACTTTCACAAGATCGTCATCACTCCCATGCTCATTTGCCATTCCACAGCAAGCAAATTTAGAGGGAAGATCTCGAGTCCAACCCAGAGCGCCTCAAATTTAAAGCCTCATGGTGAACACGGGCGAGTGAAGTAAGATGCTGTGGAGACAGAGCTTGACAATCTTCACCAATTTTGATCCATCAAGTTATGCTGGATGTTTGTGGGGCCATATAGCGCACGTCGGTATTAGGGAGACGATGGTAGCCTGAACTCTCGCAGCCATGCACCACATCGAGGTTCTATGCGGGTACAACGTAGAGTTCTTCATCCCCTTTTGGCATCTTACTGAGTTCACCGAGGTCTCAAACCATGAGCTGGGCCTCCACGGAGGAATTGCGAGAGTGTAAATTAATCCAAACGAGAGCTTGAGCATGAGCGACAGACGACAAAGCATGCGTGTCAGAAGCGACGGAACCTAATAGCGAACGACGGGGAGAGAGACAGCAGAAAGGATACGGAAAAGGAAGAAGGACGCGAAAGAAAAGATTATGCAGCAAGCCTCCTGACATAGTAGAAGCTACTGAGGTGGTGCCGACCCTACCTCCCCGCATGAACTTCGCCTCCTCCATCCCCATCGCCTACTCCTCCACCTGCCCTGCCTCTACCGCTCGCACCATGCTTCGAGGTCGGAACAGGTGCCACAGGCTCAGGCTCATACTCTTCGTCCTCTTCGTCGTCGCCACCCGATCCCCTGTCTCTTCCCGCCGGTGCACTATTCCCACTCGCAGCCGCAGCCGCACGTTCCCTCGCTCGTCGCCTTCTCTTCAATATCTTCTTCCGATTCCTCACTGCTCTCCTGTACGACGCATCATCACCATAGAACAGCTGATATTCGCAGAACGGACAGATCCATTCGTCGATCGGGTTTACCAGCTGCGATACCGGTGTCCCCTCTCTATCTTTTGCGTTCTTGCCTTGCGATGGTGGCGACTGACTCCGATCTTTCTTGCCACCACGACGGCGAGGAGGGACCTGAGCAGAAAGAAATCGAAGGGGGAGTGGAGAAACATAATTCTGCGCGTTCGCTTGGGCTTGAGCGGCATTCGTTTGGCCCTGGTTCGGTAACCTCGAAGGAACGTAGTTCCTTAGATGATGAGGGTTCGACGCGTTCGCCAACGCAGACCGTTTCTTCTTCTTCCCTCTTCCCTTCGCACCACCTCCAATGGTCTGTTCTCCCGTCCCGGTCAATTGTTCGAGGCGAGGAGGCGGGTGCGTGGCGGTGACTTGACTGTTCGTGTTGTTGCCAGTACGAGCCGCCTTCTGCTGAACACGAGTGGCTTTCTTGGACGCGTGGGCGGCGGCGGCAGCTGCTGCTGCAGCCGCCTGTTTGGCTGCCTCTGCTGCCTTGGCGGCTTGTCGTGATAATTCAGCCTCGAAGCGTGCGTGAAGCTCGGCCACCTCCTTGCGAGTCTCAACGAGCCGGATCGAAGCTGAAGAGCCCGCAAATTAAGGCAGCTGTAACAAAAGAAGAAGAGAAGTCGAATTATGCTTACTCTTGCTCGGACAACTGAAGGTGAAGTCGCCCTCGGGAGGTGGCAGCTTCTCTTCGTCGTCGTCTCCGTCGGCTCGACCATCCTGCAGGGCGAGAGCAGCCGCAGACCGCTGGGCAGCATTCGCCTTCCTCTTCAATGTCCGTAAACGACTCCCCCTCGCCCTCTCCCCACGCAATCGTGTTCCTGCATCCTTTAAATCGCCACCATAAGCTCCCAGAGACGACGTCGAAGGTTTGAGAAGAGGATAGTGTGCAGAAAGGGCCTGGTCCAGAGCGAGAGTGTCCCCATGCGTGAGAGCACCCAATACAGCAGCCAGCTGCCGTTTCCTGCTCTTCAGCATCTCCTTGTGCTGTAACCCGACCAACGTCGCGCCCGGCATCCTCCCCTGCTTCAAAAGCGCCGATACCACCCCTTTACCGCCTTCACCTCCACCTAACCCACCGCCACCACCATCATCCACCGAAGATCTCAAGGCATCAGGAGAATCCGAATCCTGGTGCAAACCGACAGGGATACCGCGGTCGGAGGGGCCATCTTCTTCACCGCCAGATTGTCCATCAACAGAATCGGCACCACGAGGTGAGCCGGACAGGTTGGCGGGGACTTTGCGTTTCTTGGTGTTTCCTCGCTGCGGGAGATGGTCCACGTAATCGCCATCCCTATCATCCTCATCATCCCTGCCGCCACCGCCGCCATTCAGACCTCTTCGAAACTCATCCAGTCCTACAAACCCCTCGCCCACATCGCCTCCTTCGAGATATCCGAACTGACCAGAGAAATGGATGGCGGATCCGTTCCCGTTCGCATTTGCGTCGGCGGTAACACGATCCATAATCCCGCCTGCCTCGTTCTTGATAAAGTCCTGTACACCACCTAAAACAGGCATGTAATACGACTGAAGCGCCATCTGGGCCGAGAGCTCTTCGGCATGCGCAATGAGCTCCTCCGTCGTGGCGTCGGGCGATATGGGTGGTAGTGCGGGGAGAGTGAATATCCCATGAGTCCCGTTCGCCGCGAGATGAGCCGCCACAGGGTTAGATGGATCATGGAGAGATGTGTTGGCAGACCGGGTGGGACTCGATTCGTTGGTTAGGGATGTACGACGACGTTTTGGCAGCGGTTTGACTCGGCGAAGAGGTGGGAATTCGGGGACGTCGAAGATGGGGGAATTAGATCTGTACATGATTCCTGGACCTGAATCTGGGACTGGACTGGTGCGAGTACTGATATTTGGGGAGGGCGAATGGGAGCTGTCTAAGGTCATGCTACTAGAGAGGTTGGCCAGAGATGATCGCTGAGTGTGTTAATATTTGTATGGTGGATATCCAAGGATCCGAAAGTGATTCCTGAAGCGATGAGGGTGCTGCGTGGTGTCCACCAGTCGAAAGGCTTGTGATTCCGATCCCGATGGATGTGAGCTTTATTGCGACTGAGGGATAACTAAGTTAAGAGTTCTGAGCACAAGGACTTTAGTCTTTTTGTTCTGTTCTTTGTCGACAATATCAAGAAGGATTTTCAGAGAGGCTCAACGTCGTCGACGTTGGGGACGAAAGAGGGCACGGACCGCCCGGGATGGAGCGCCGCATGCGGCTGACGGCGGCTGGCCGATGCCGGATGTGTCCGTCTTTCTTCTGACTCAGATCCCTCAGACAACCCTCAGAGTACAGATTCTTTGTCTGTGTTAGCTTCTCGTTACCTCGTCTTCGATATGTTGTGCAGACCGCTATGGATAAGGCGCTCGTCTTGCTTTGATCGTCTTGCTCATAGTAATGTGTTCTTTGTTCTGTTTATGTCGAACTGGACGGTGACGAAGTTCACGTTGAGTTTCACTGTAACCTTGAATGGGCGGTCCTCCCCAGCAGTCACAGGCACTGCTACTTCTTCTCAAATTCAGCTTTCTGTCTGGGTTAATGGATGTCATGGAGTCTTACTACTGTTCCCCAGTCTGTCTCACGAGCACTGCGCAAAGCTCACGTCCTCAACTCGAGGGTGGCTTTCCACCCGAGTCGGCGTGGAACTCTTCTTACAAGTCTCTCTCGCTGACGAGATGCTGATGTCTACTACACAGGGACTTTCTAATGCATGGTTCGGTGTGCGATATACATGGCAGACCGTTTGGAGTATCCAGTTATGTGAGACGCCTAACCGTTTAGTTCTGTGACGGCAGTGCCACCACCCTCGTCAACTTGAAGGCGCTGCACTTTTCCATCTTTGGAACGTCTCTTCCGCTCCATAATCAACTTATCGTAACGTACAGGTTACACCAACACTCACACAAACACAAATAGTGTGATGTTTGTTCTTCTCGATCTTATTCTACCGGTAGTTCAATCCACATCTCGTTTGAGGAAAGCTAAGACGCCGTTGCTAATATTGCCGCCGGCATTTACGGTACGCCTCTATAGATCCTCACTTATACCGCGTCACTTTTCAACTCTTCCCAGGGACAGATACACGCCGGACATAATTTCGGACCCCCGGTCGACTGTGTATGACTACACAATACAATCTGACGACTCGGGGCTACTTGTTCTGGGCTTTGTTGACAAGCGCGGCAAGGCCTTTCCCAAGCCACAATAAACATCTCCAGCTGGACGACCTTACGGAGATCCATGCCCCATTAATATCTCCCGATTTTTCTCGTCTAAAATTGGCTCATCTTCCTCGCTCCCGAATTGTCTCGCGAAGTGCGTCGTCTTGACCCAAGAAAAGCAACGTGAATTAAATACGTTCATCAGCTTGAGCTTTGTCCCATTGGGGCCGGCGTGGTATGTTATCCCGTGTAGTGACCGCAGAATGTCGCTTCTGACCTTCTTATCATGGGCTGTTCTAACTTATGATTGAATCTCCAGATAACCAGAGCGCAATACCGAGGCGTAGTAAGCGGAGAGGCGGTATTAATGTAACTAGCATGTGCCCGTGCGTCCGCACGGCTGCTTGACAATATTTTGATAGATAACGAAATGTCTGAGTGTGATAATTTTACGCTACCACAAACCATGCCCGAAGGCTTTTGGCTCCTGTGCTCAAAATGCACAGTTGTTTTATGCGCCACGAAATGTTAAGCACTTCGGCCCGAAGGTATTTTGATGGTTTGGCCCCCGTGCACCGTTGGCAGAAATGTATTTCGCTCCCGTGCTCGAAGCTGTTTGACTCCTATGCCCGAGGGATTTTGTCCCAATATTCAGGGATGTTTGGCTCCCCGTCTTTCATCTGCAATATATACAGAGATTGAAATTATTTTGAGGCACGAGTCTTGGAGCCACACTGGAGGCACAGCAATGTTCGCCACACAGTTACTTGTTTGGACATAAACCGCCACGTTTCCGCCACGTGGTTTGTCTCCACGTGGTTTGTCTCGAGACAACTGCCTCCCCATTAAGTATTAGATGGTGCCACGATTTGCATCGTGCCTGTGCCTTCGACAGACATAATTACACTTCCTGGACGCAGTTGACATTGATGATGGATTTATAGACAAGTCGCTCCACTGCTCTAGATTCAAAACCTCTGTCGGCGTACGCATCGAGTGCATAGTATCTACACCATACACCAAACGCATGCATCAATTCCTGCTCCTCGACCCCGTTTCGTTTGTGCGTTCGACTTCGACCCCTGGGATAGATCAGGACAAAAATCACGTATTTATTCAAGCTTAGGCTTCCCCACACCTTTCGAGTCCTTCATCCTGACAATGTCTACGTTTAGCTCAGGTACGTAAGTTGCTTTCTCTTGAGTTATCACCGCGGAATCTTGCCTGGAGTATGGGAACTCGAATCCATCGTAACTTGGACAGCGCGATCGGACGACCGACGTACTTGACACAATGACTTGGAAGTGCACTCCACGGGGATGTCGGGCACGATGGTGACCGTGGTCAGCGACTGCCAGCCATCAGCATCGTTGACGGTCTTCGACGGCGTGTTATGTGCGATTTTATGTCCCTTCAGACAGCGATGATAGACGGCGTTCATGCTTGTCTGTCTGTCTTCCAGGCTCGGGATTATATCATGGGAGAGGCGACTACTATCACGTAGTATTCGTATATGATAGAAATATTTCCACCCGCCACCCGAGCTGCGGCGTCGAGAGGCATCAGTGCTAGGACCTCCCGCGCATATTATTCTACGGGCTACCACTTTATCCCGATACATATGAATATTAGTTCGCCGTATCTGCTATGGTAATATCGGACACAGTTCTCTTTGCCGAGGGAACGTGTATCACAGGAAGCCTAAGTGCTCCCCCGCGCCACACCCTCTTAGTTGGTCGAGTCAACGATGGGCGCGATTCAAAGTTATGTAGAAGTTGTCACGGTGCGGATCGCGAGCGGGAATTTCGTACTTATTGCAAAGTATAACGAGCATAATTGCCTCACATACTGCACGTGTGGCGTTGCTCCACAAACTCGCTATTATCGTGCGCTGCCTCCTCTCCAAATCCTCAGAGTCTGGACCACGCTTCTGCCCTTCAATCTTTCATGATTCAAGTTGACTGGATTGATCCATGGAGACAGATCATGAACTTCGATTTGAAGACTCAGGATCGATGCTGCTAGGTTCTTAGCTCTAAATGCGCACATCCTCTCGCTGCCTGTGGAGCTCAGTGTGAGCACCCTGGTTGCAAGAGTTTATTCGAGGCTCTAATGCACAGTATAACTGGAAAAGAAGCTTTGCATAGCTCACGGAAATGCTGGCACAATTGTTCTTGTAGCTGGCAGAGGGTATCTTCCATGGTACGGCCGCCTGGAGTCAGCGTGTCTGAACCGACGGGGTCTCAATCCTCGGCCGCTCCGAATCTATTTCTTTTTGACAGATAACACCAATGCTGCACCTCTACATCTGCTGGAGAGTAGCAGCTAGCAGATAGCCTCTCCGAGGTTTTATCCTGATTCCTGACATCGTTTGAGCACGGTACCGCCACACCAGATAGATGCCACCCAAATACGACGGCTTCGCCTGGTTGTAAATTGAAGCTCGGTTCTGACTGACACCGATCCCCCGCGAGGTAGATCCAGCCACCCAGTCGGTTCGGTGCTCTCATTCTCTACATTTTATACCGTGTTGAACCAGGTAGTCAAATCGAAACTTCAACTGAAACACCTCCAAGAAAGAGATACAATAAATACAACTTGGTAGCAACGGTTCAAGCATTACAAAGCAAGACAAAACACGACACAAGTAGCAAAGAATGATGTGAGTACGCGGGCAGCTCTTCGGCCCAAGAATAATTAATCGAGGGCCCTCCAAGAAAGAAAGTGGCAGGCGTAACATCGCACCCGGCCTAAAAACGGTACTCTTCGTCTGACTGCTCATCCGGGACATACGCATCATCTTCTTCGTCATCCATACGTTCCTCTATATACTCCTCTCCACCCTCAGAGTCCTCGTCTGTTTGATCGCCATGCACATCACCTACGGTAGCCGTGCTCACATCACCCGCTGCATCAAGTTTCGGCCAATAGTCTTTGCCATAGTCCAAAAAGAGCTCTTGCCCTTGCTTGATTTCTTTGCCTGGACATCATGACCGATCAGAACTGTCTCGCATGATTTGATTTAGACACACTTACTAGCAGTAAGAGAGATCCTCTGGTCTCCATTTACGAGGATTACTATAAACATCAATTGACCACATCAGTTCTCGATCGTCAGCCTTTCAACACCATGATACTCACTGACATTGGGCGTCGACGTTCGCATTCGGAGGGTCTGCATGATTTATAAAGCGTAGTTCGTTCCCCACGCGCGTACCGTCAACGGTATCCCGATCATTCACTCCAAAGAGGTAGTTTCGATCCCTATAGTCATGTTCATGCCTAGCAAACGGAGGTCACTATAAGCACAAAAATTCGGGTAGTGAAATAACACTAAGCTCACTTCCAGGGGTCTTCTGCCCCACCATGCTCTTTCCGAAGTTCTCCTGTGTACTCTAGAAGAAGAACATCGAGTCATCAGAGAACCTCAAGGGTAGGTTTACGGGTTCGAGAAGACCAGATTAGGAAGACATACCTCCGATATAACCATTACGCGGTATCCTGGTTGTAGCAAATGCACCAAATCCCCATGTTCCCTCTCGAATCTCTAGGTCCTGCGCATGAGGGGGATTGCGTCAGAGAGGACGCATCGTGGGAGCGCGGGTACTGGCAAAGGAAGTGACGTACTGCACCCATGCCTTCTTGTATCTTCATGTTCAGGCAAGGGTTGAAGTCCGGTCCTATGCAAACCGACAACACAATCATCGTCAGTCGAAGACGGCGAATAGCGAGCTGGCCCAGAGCCTACTTTTGTTCGCCTTCTTTCCCTTGCCTTTGGGGCGCTCCGGTATATTTCTATACACCCAATTTTGAAGGCAGATAGATGAGCATAATTCATGCGAGTGATGGGACAGCAATCGAGAATACCGTGATAGATGGACTTACGGGCAACAACGACATCTTTCCGGGTCGCATTCTCTACCGTGGGCCCTGCACGAACAGGTTGAGTTTGTGTCACACACTTTTCTCCTGCTTTTCCGCTTGTGGGGATGACATTTGCAAGGTTTGAAGCGTCGTTCACCTAGATTATAGCTGGTGTCAATAACGATGTGACAAGGACGTAAGAGTGTCAAGGACTGACAATCTTCGATGCATTTGCACATGCGTATGCAATGCTGTTCTGCCTCATAGCAACCACATTTGGCTGTATTACAGTGTTCCCCGGGATGGTCGCAAGGCGGAACCCTTGAAGAATGCCCAGTAGCCCATCAACACGCAAAATATCTGAACGGCCAGAAAGACAGAATACCTGATATATTTATTGTGAGCATACGCTATATCGTCCTCTACTCGGAAAACAGGTCCATTAGTGAGGAGTTGGCCGTGAATGATTCGAATCACGTACGGAATCTCGGCTTTCGACCAAATATTGAAGAGGTAGCTGGAACTGGCCGTCCTTCAAGGTCTCGTATGGACGAGTCTGGTATAAGGATTCGACGTTGAAAGAAAACCTGGACAAAAATTGAATGTTCATGTGTGCATAGACAGCAATGCTACGCAGATTGAAGACAGACACCGACGTACCTCCATGCACGGCTTGTGGACCATTATCGCTAGGTCACAAGGGGTAGCGTCAGGGAAAACTCTGAGTATCTCCGACAAGTCATTGACATCATCTTCCTGCCAGTGTACCAATTCCTTAGACACATCCATAGCGAGTGTTATTCACGATAGCATATCGGCGCAACAGAGGAGAATGACGTACTTCTGTCGTATCCATAGCATGGCGGAAGCATCGCTGGCCGCAAGCATTCCCTTTGCTTGCCTGAAAGTTTATGCTTGAGATCGTTGGGAGACGGGGCCGAGGTTCCATGCCTGCATAAAATTTATCTACAGGATCACTCCGCATGAGAACTAGTATGAAACAAGAAAATCCGGAACGGAACGTACGATGGGTTGGACAAGCGACATCTAGGCAGTTGGGGTGAGGGCAGAAAGCAGGCTGTTTCATTGCGGCCTTGCTCCGTACTTCGGGGACCGGAAAAGCGATTTTGAAGAGTTCGCTAACAGGTGGAAGGTAACCGGTGGTCCTGCCATTTGGCCACTGAATGAGGTCCCTGAGAAATGAAGTGTATCTCAGTATAACGCTGCCTATAACGACGGATCGAGCAACGTACTTTCGGGCCGCTTTCCGCAAAATGCCAGACTTAGGCGTACGGAGCTGGGGCAGAAGTTCTGTCTTCTCGATATCTTCCAATGAGAGGGTGTGTCCATAATAAAGCCTGCGAACGGTCTCAAGGTAGACCTCGATTACTAATTCACAGCAGCTTAGCATCAGCGATATAGTGCTCCAAAAGAAAGTGGAGACAAAAGGCGTACGGTCGGGATCATTCCTATCCATATCCTGCCAACCAAACTCTTTGTACTGCTTCAAGTATTCCTCCTGATCAAACTCCTCCTCATCTGCGTACGGTATGAAATCAGGTATATAATCCACTGTGGCGGGTATGTCAACTCCGATACAAACATTCGCCGGCTGGAAAGCCTCGAAGGAGGGATCGTTTGATGTGTCGACTGGGAGTGTTATAGTACGAATGGGTTCGATTGTGACGGTCGAAGGACCAGCGCCTGTAGTGGACTCGGTGTATATATTTATTTTTCGCGTCGCATCAGCGAAGCGAACGTGGGCACCATGAGGTTTGTGAGGAGTATGAGCATCCACAAGATCCATAGCATCATCGGTATCTGAGCTCGATAGACACGTGTCGTCGTCGTCGTCGTTACAGTCGTCATGAGATGCAGTGAGTGAATCATTCTCGTCATTGGTACAGAACTCATGGGGGTCTTTTAGACTCCCCACAACTAGCAGATTGTGGTACTTCTTCCAATTTATGATGAAGTCTTCCCAGACCTCTTCAAGAATATCACGAACTAGCTGCTCGTTAGATGGCTTAGATTGGGTGTCTGAAGTAGATGCCGGTGGGTCGTCATCATGCCAGTGGGCATCAAACACGAGCGTGCTGTCATCGTCATCCAAGTCATCGAGCGTGAGGTCGATAGGTGCGTTACTGCGAGCCCTTGGTGTGGTGCTCATGTAGGGATCGAAAGGTGCGTAGTAGTTTGGTTGTGGTGGTTGAGAGGAAAGGAGAACGCAAGTTCACCGCGCTTGAACCGCGCGTGTTTGTTTGGTCTCGTTTGGCTCCGCGCCACAGGAATAGAATCTGGCTGAACGCACAAATGACTCAAAAATGGCTGGAACCTCCGTTACTGACTGAAGAGATATAAATGACGATCTCGGCTCGCTTTGGTACATGTACATTAACTTTATCATAAGTATAAAGAGTTATTCACGAACAGCGATCATCGGCGTAAGTATCAATCTTCCTCGCTGGGGTCATACTCGCCATCGTCCTCATAATCACCTTCCCATTCTTCATCCTCTTCAAACCGCTCATTGTTATGTGCTGTCGCATGCTCTTCTCTGTCATTCGCTCTGGGAACCTTGCGTTGGCTGACCCTTTCTTCTTCGTACTCTTCAGATTCGGATTCAGAACCTGGGGCGTCCCCAGCCGTCCAATACTCCTCTCCATAGTTCAGCAGTATCTCTTCTCCCGCGCCGATATATTTCGCTTTAGACGAGATAATGTCAGAAACGTAGATCATATGAGGGAGTAATAAGGAAATGGCTGAGAGTAGTACGTACTTGCCCAAATGCCGATGCGAGGATCCCCGTTCACGAGGATGACTGAAAAAAGGGGAGATCGTTTGTCAGAACCAAAGAAACACTCTACGCTCGATGGAACGCATGAGATGAACCGGTACGTACCTGCAGCCTCAACGTTCCCGTCCTTCCCATGATTAATAAATCTGATGTCGTTTCCAGCTCGTGTCCCATCCACGACCCAGATATCGTTCAGTCCAAAGAGGTAATTCCGGTGGGTGTACAGTCGTAACATACTGAACCAACGACTATGTAAGCCTCGACCCAGCGATGGAGGATGTGGATGCTTTGTAAGTGAGGGGAAATGGAAAACCTACTTGAAGGGATCTACATCTTCCTCGTCGGAATCGCTCCGAAGTTCGCCTACATATTCTACAGTGCCCGACCATGACCCATCAATCATCAGCACTAGCGTTGAGAATCAGGAAGAAAGGTATACATACCGCCGATATAATCCTTCGGGACGAGTGCCGTTGTCGCAAAGGCCCCGAATCCGACCTTTCCCTTCCTCACTTCGAGTTTCTATCCGCCAACAGATGACAATGAGCATAACGAGCCGGGTCAACGAGACGTCCTTGTGAGAGCTTACCACTTCATCTCCCTGTTGAATGCTCATGTTCGAGCATTGGCGCATCGTAACATCTGCTGCACTCGCATGAGTCCACTCACGTTATCCATCGCGAGAGCAAGCGATGATACGTACCTTCTTTCTTCTCCTTCGACTTGCCCTTATTCTTTCTCGCTGATCTCTCACCGTGCTCATCTCTATTCCAAAAGATTATACCGTACACATAACATCATGGAATGCAGGAAACATCGTAAGCTTGAAATACGTGCACGATTCAGGAAACGAGACGTGATACGCACACTTTAGTAGTACAACACACACATCTCCTGGGATCACATTCCCTCTTCTCCAGTCGACACTGACACTTTGAATTATGCCAACAAATCCGCGTCTTCGACCTCATCTTCAGAGGGTTACAATCGCACGCAGGGTATCGTCGTTCGCCTGTATAACATCACACCGAGATAAGGGGGTCAGACACAGTCATTAACGGCCGTTCGATCTTCATATGAGAACGTGGTACAAGGGTCGGAGGGCTTACAATCGTTAATACACTGACACATAGTCACACAGTGCTGCTTCTCCTTGAAACAAGAGCACCTGGCCGTATCGCAGTGCTCGCCAGGGTGATTACACGGCGGCACTCGGACATAGCCCTTGTGTCCCTCCGCCTCCGTAATCCCCTTGAGGTCATCAACTACGCGCAATCGACTAAGTCAGTACGGCAAAAATATCACAGGAACTTGGAATCGAAAGAGTTGATGAAGATGCACGGACCAAACTCCAATTCTCGACCTGTTGCGGAAGCACGGGCAGGAGCAGCACGTCCTTCGAGGTTTTGGATGCTTGAATCTGGAATGAGCTCGCGTCGTTGGAAGAAAACCTATATTGTCGTTTAAGGGGAGTCAGGTATTACCGAGCGCATGGAAGAACAGACAATCCTGCTTGCAAAAACACACCTCAGCACATGGTTTGCGCACCATCCTAGCGAGATCACACGGGATACCATCCGGAAAGACACGGAGGACATCAGCGAGATCGGTGAGCTCGATTTCTGTCCAGCGGATCAAGTCCTGAGTGCCAAGTTGATAGATATCAGCTTTATGTTGAGAGAATATCGTTGTTCAATGATGTAACAGGTATATACCTGCACATTCTCCATAGCACGACGAAAGCACCGCTCTCCACAAGGCTTGCCTCTGCTTGTCTGAAGTGCCACACTAGACATAGTCGGACGAGGTGGTCGACCGATATTGGAGAATTGTTGATCTGTGTACGGCGTAATGGTCAAAGAATATGTGATTATTGGAAAATGGCTGAAACACGTACGATGTGTAGGACAAGCCATGTCTATACAGTTCGGGTGTGGACAGAAGTAAACCTGTCTTACCGAACTTTCATCATGTATGCCGCGCAAAGGAAATGCGGTCTCAAAGAGAGCCTCTGCTGGAGGAAGATCTTGAGCCGAGTTTGGCCAATGAAGAAGATCTCTGAAAACGCCATTAGAGTAGCTCTACACGTGTCAAACATGATTGAAGATGATGTGTTCGAAAAGAAAAGGACTTACTTCCTCTTCGCTTTCCACAACACACCAGATCCGCGCGTCCGTAAGGGCGGCAGAACTTCCGTCTTCTCAATATCTTCGAGCGACAGCTTGTTTCTATAATACAACCTCCTCACGGTCTCGAGCTGTATCTCGATGACTATCTATCTATCAGCATTAAATTTTGACCTTTACTTCCAGCACGACTGACAAGCGAACAGAAAAAAGAAGAAGAAATCTCACCATCCGGGTCCTCCATCTCTTCTTCCTCCCACGCAGACCCGCCACCAAACTGCTCCAGATATTTTTCCTGATCGAAGCCTTCTTCATCCGCATACGGGATGAAGTCTGGCATGTAATCCCGGGCTTTCGGGACGGAGACGGATATGTTGACGTTCGTGGGCTGATAAGATTCGTAGACCGGGTCCGTGTCTGTGTCTGGTGGAAGGCGAGTGGTCGCTGTGTCGAGGATCTTGTGGGACATGGTGGTAATGGTGGTGGATGGACCAGCCTGAGCATTCACAGGAGTCGCGCAGACGAAGGTGATATTCGAAGGAGCAGACGCCCTCGAAAAATCATAACCATCATCACCATCCGAGCTCGAATCAACAAGTTCTCCCTCCAGCGACGCACTCGCCGGAGCACTCTCAGAAACATCAACATGACGAAGATCCCGAACAAGTAGTGCGCTCCAGTGATATTTCCACTTGCGATACTCGTCCCAGACCTCTTGATAGACATCGAGCACTATGGTTCGCGTATCCGGAGGCTCGGGCGAGACGTCTACGTATATGACCTCCTTGTTGGCAGTGGCGTCACGAGGAGAAATGACTCCCTCGTGCGATTCGTCGTCGCCGAAGTCATAGTCCGTCAAGTCGATCGTGATAGGAGCTCGACCAGGCTGAGGACGACTCATCACGAACACCAAGCCAAACGAGAACGGAAGCCGCGAGTGGGAGAGGGAGGGAGAGGGAGGGAGAGGCGGGGAAACAGACGAAACAATACAATTGGAAATGGTGATGTGGGTGGCGGTGGTGGTTGACGCGAAAGAAAGAAAGCCCGAGATAAAGTTCGCCGTGCGCCGGTTTCTCGGAATATTCTCCGCTCGGTTGATTGCGAGTGGCGTGCTGACGCGTCTTCAATCTTTTTGCTTCTCCGATCTTGTGCCATGCTCTCTACCTCCACCTCAAGGGCGTGTAGTGTATTTGGTTACTACCTTCGCTCAGCGGTCTTCGTGACGCTAGCGAAAGGCATCTGGTTCGATTCCGGACATGTCTACGTGCATAGTAGTTGGCATGTTTTTCTCTGCGGATAATCTCAGTCCTTTCTAGATTCTCAACAACGCCACTAACCGAGAGATAACTCACACAGAACTTTGCTGAGTTCTGTTATTCAACAGCATTGACATATGGTCATCGATGGCACAACCAGCTTGTGTGGCGTGAGTATGTTCGTGCGGTGCCACTCGGTCAATAGCTCACAAAGGAGCGATTCGCAGTCCATAAAAAGGTATGTCTGGGTAGAGGTACGGACATGTGGTAAGGTAAGGTAAGGTAAGGTAAGGTAAGGTAAGTTTATTCGGGGTACAAAATGGGCCCTGTATCTGGTTAACACATTCGCCCAATGTGCCCCAAACCATACGCGAAAAGCATCCGGTTCAATCCCGGATATGTCCTGTTGCTCGGTGTGCACGACATTTTCTTTGTTCTGCATCGATACTAATCGGTACAGAAACGTCGACAGCGGCAAGTCAGGCCTGGCTCAAGTGAGTGGCGTAGGTACGTTCGCGCGGAGACATTCAGGAGCTTACTCGGTCGGTCCACCGCTCCGAGCTCACAAAGGAGCGAAGACTAGTGGGTGAGTAAAAAGGTATGTCTTGGTATATGTGCGGACATGTGGTGTACCTGGCTAACACATTCGCACAATATCAACATTTCCTCTCGCGTTTCTATGATGTTGCCATCTGCGAAAGTATCCGGTTCGATTCCGGACGTGTCCTGTACACAATGTACAGTTTGGTTTTTTATTGTGTCTTTACATCGATATCAATCGGTGCAGAAATAGTGTGTCCCATGTCAAAATCGCAAAGTCAGCTTTTTTGTCTTATCTATATCAGCTTCGAATCAACACGGAGACATCAAGGCTGGTAAGTCGTGATGGGCTCAATTTGAGTGGCGTGAGTATGTTCGTGCGGTGCCACTCACTGGCAAAAGCGCACCCCACGAAGGAACAAATTAAAGAACACTAGATAAAAGAAGTACGGATGAAGGCTTGTACGGGCATGTGGTGTATCTGGTTAACACGTTCGCACAATATGTAAATCTCTCTTCCGCCTCACCATTTTATGATGTTGCCATCCGCGAAAGTATCCGGTTCGAGTCCGGACATGTCCCATGTCAAAATCGCAAAGTCAGCTTTTTTGTCTTATCTACATCATCTTCGAATCAACACGGAGACATCAAGGCTGGTAAGTCTTGATGGGCTCAATTTGAGTGGCGTGAGTATGTTCGTGCGGTGCCACTCAAAAGCGCACCCCACAAAGGAACAAATTAAAGAACACTGGATAAATGAAGTACGGATGAAGGCTTGTACGGGCATGTGGTGTATCTGGTTAACACGTTCGCACAATATGTAAATCTCTCTTCCGCCTCACCATTTTATGATGTTGCCATCCGCGAAAGTATCCGGTTCGAGTCCGGACATGTCCACTGGCCAACGGCGGCCATAATCCTTTTCTGTCCGGATAATCTCAATCCTTTCCAGATTCTCAACAACACCACTGAGCGAGAGAACACTCAAATATCGTCCTGCTGAACGCTGTCATTTGACGGCATTAACATTTGGTTGTCAATGGCACAACCAGCTCCAGAGGCGTGAGTATGTTCGTGCGGTGCCACTCAAAAGCGCACCCCACAAAGGAACAAATTAAAGAACATTGGATAAAAGAAGTACGGATGAAGGCTCGTACGGGCATGTGGTGTATCTGGTCAACACGTTCGCACAATATCATTTCATTTGTCCAGATTATGATGTCGACATCTGCGAAACGCATCCGGTTCGATCCCGGACGTGTCCCATGTTAGAATCGCAAAGTCAGCTTTTTTGTTTTGTTTCGTCTACCTCGATACTAATCGGCAGAGAAGGAAAGATACTGGTAAGTCAGGACGAGTCCAAGTGAGTGACGTGAGTATGTTCGTGCGGGCCATTCGAGAACTCACTCGGTCGGTCGGTCCACAGCTCACAAAGGAGCCGGGAAAGAACACTGGATCGAAAATGTACGTATGAGAGCTAGTTACGGGCATGTGGTGTATCTGGCTAACACATTCGCACAATATCAACATTTCCTCTCGCGTTTCTATGATGTTGCCATCCGCGAAAGTATCCGGTTCGAGTCCGGACATGTCCCATGTTAGAATGGCAAAGTCAGCTTTGTTTTGTTTTGTTTTGTTTCGTCTACATCGATACTAATCGGCAGAGAAGGAAAGATACTGGTAAGTCAGGACGAGTCCAAGTGAGTGGCGTGAGTATGTTCGTGTGGCGCCACTCAAGAACTCACTCGGTCGGTCGGTCCACAGCTCACAAAGGAGTCGGGAAAGAACACTGGATCGAAAATGTGCGTATGAGAGCTAGTTACGGGCATGTGGTGTACCTGGTTAACACATTCGCACAATATAGACATCTTTCTCGTCTGCTTTATAATGTTACTATCTGCGAAAAGCATGCGGTTCGAGTCCGGACGTGTCCCTGATGAATTTGCCTGTATAGCAGACTCTTTTTTGTCTGCATCGACAGCAACTCGAAATAGGCAGAGAAACAGCGATAGTGGTGAGTGTAGCAGCATAGCGCTACATCACGACATATTCGGAGGAGGGTTTCAATAACGCTACCACAGCACAGGAGGGCCATGAGATTCAGACGGCCATTCGAGTCCACAGGAAAGGGACGACGATACGGCAATTCACCCTTCAAGCTTGAAGCTTCAACCTTCGGGGACACCGTGGCGTTCCTACACAACCGCAGTGTTCTGCGTTCTACAGCACCTAGGTCCTAAGCAGATAGACCCGAGACCGTACTAGTTGACAAGAGCGACATGCACCTTAGGCTGGTGCGAGGTATTTACTCTCAGACTGAGAATCACAGACAGGGGAAGTTGAACGAGATGCACCGTATACAGTACTTACAGCGCAACGACTCGGATATGGAACTGGCTTGAGGCTCTTTCGCGTTTTGCAGATACTTGTGATCGGAGCCCTCAAACCGCGAAAGCACGAAATCCTGAACCTGAGAGACTCGGAATGAGAGACTCACACCCGGATGAGAGATGATATGATTATGATTATGATACAAAGGCGAGCGAGTTTCCATGCCTATACAGTACCGGACCGGCTCGTTCATCTCGTGTGTATATCGGCGGAGATAACGCGGAGATTTATAGAGGCAGGCAGAGGCAAAGGAAGAGGTTGAAGCTTGCAGCTTGCTGCAGATTCCAGTGAGTTGATTATGCGCTGGCGTCGGCGTGTCCGTGTCGTGCGAACGGCCTGAGAAAATCGACACACCAGACGCTGGCGTCGGCGTGTCCGCCTGAGAAAATAGACACACCAGACTGAGGGATTTTAATTGTCGATCGGAGGTAAGTTAGCCCAGGGGATATCAAGTCACTACTTAATCGACGTCCATGTGAGTACAGGCCGGGAAGTGTTAGGAGACGGGCCATATCAGAGCTTATTAATATTGTCTCGCGATGGACGGACGTGAACGAGCGAGAAGAGAGAGAGGAGCGATGAGTAGCCCGGTTGTGTAACGGGGTAGCATGGTCAGATAGAGTACTAGGATAAGCTCAAGACCCGAGACTGAGAGGTTGAACTAGTACTGGCAGGAATTGACGAGATGAGACGAGAGCAGAACAGGGCAAGAGCAATGGCAAGCCGTTTAGCATGATGCATGATCCGAATGAGACCAAACATGCAGAAGGACCCGACACAGTAAGTGAAACCAAACATGCAAAAAGACTTGACACAGTGGGTCCTCGAACTCGCGCGTGTCTTGCATCCTGATGTGTCTTGCATATCTCGTCGGGACGTAACGCCCCTTGATCCGGGTCATCTGACCATCGAAAGGGAGACGCTTTGAATCATCGATGAGTGTTGATTGAGTTACCGGACCCTTGCTTGGCCAGAGACTTGGCGCTGGATTTTCTGCAGTGATGGGGAAGATTGGATGGCATGGGGAAGATTAGGTAGCCGGGGAGAGTAGAAGAGGAGATTGGAAGGTGGGGAGAAGAAGAGAGTAATGAGGAGTGGTGGGAGGAGCGGCTTTGGATGGGTTGTTGGAGGCGCGATAACGTCGTTTCGGCGCTCTCATTGTATGGAGTCGCACAATAAAACAGCAGAAAATCATCCTCGAGGACGATCCAAGTTGGCCTCGAGGGGACGACGTTGAGGGCCACATCGACGTACACGCGTAAAAGGCGAGGTGGCGAGGTCGAGTTGATGTCGAGGCGCGATCGAGGCACGCCGCTAATTGGACGGCGCATCAAGCGCGCAAGGTCGGAGCCTGACGACCAATCATCGCCCGAGGCGGAATGACGGAACGACCCGGGGGAGCCCGATCCGCTGAGCCAATCGAGTGATTTAGGCCTTGGGCACGAAACGCAGAGGCCCCACGCACAGCAAGAACTCAAACATTCCTAGACAGCAGCTGCTACTTATCCCCTTCCCTTACACGACAGTACATACACACACACTCACAGGCGAGGACGTCCACGACGACGAACGAAGGAACGATGCGAAGCTGTTTGAAGCGCACGCCACCGCCAAGTCCGCCACCGCTCATCCCACCCTTGGCTCACTCCATCTCTGCTCGCGTGCACGAGCACAACAACGAGCAGCAGCTGCCTTCGCCCACATCGTCGTCGACGTCGCCTTCCGATTCCCATGTATCGTCCAAGGAGCCCTCGCCGGCCGCGACGCCGTCGTTGCAGCGATGCGACAGCGCATCGTCATCAGTGGGCTGTGGGAGGAAGAGCGTGAAATTTTGCGAGGAGGGGTCGAACGAGGTGTTTGTTGCGGACGAGTGGGATAGGTCGCCTGCGGAGGTCACGCCTAGGTTGAACTATCAGTCAGTGTTTTCTTTCTATCATTTGTTTTGTGGATTTGTTTTGTGCAATGGGGAGTTGTGCATTCGCTGCGTCGGTTGAAACATGCGGTCGGATCATCGTCCGGACGCCGTTCGTTCGGCCTCTGCCCCATGTCGTGTGCCACAGCGTCTGACCGTCTGCGAACGTCGACGGCATCCATGACCTGATACTTCAGTCACACGACCCGTCGCTCGTCATCGAATATAATTATCTCTCTCCTCCTTCTCCGTTCCTCATCTCTCCATCTATATCATCTCCGCTCACCTTGCACCTTCTCTCTCCTCTCTCCTCTCCTCCCTCTCCCCACTCCACTTGCACGCCCACAGAGACCTCCTCGAACTCAAACAAATCCAATTCTCCCTCCCGCGCGCCCAACAAACCCCAGACCCCTTCCTCCCCGCCTCCCGCCCCAACCGCCCCCAATACCTCCGTCACGTGCCTATAGGTCTCGTTCCGCTCTTACCTTCGTCGACTACGCCTGCGACTGTGCATTCGCCTTTACCTTCGCAGACGAGTTCAGCTGCATCGTCGCATACGGGTTCGCCACTCTCCTCAAGAGATAGTTCAAGGGACGTCTCGCCCGTACACAGTCCCCCCGGCTCCCCATCTCGCCATAACCACGCCCTAGGTGTCGGAGCTAGCACGAAAGGCCCCTCGCCCCTCGCTACGAGGTGTTATCCGCCGTATTCAACACCACCACCACCGCCGGCTCCGTCAATACCGCCGTATCCTTCTTCAGTTTCGTATTCGAGGTCTCCGCCCACACCTACACAATCGCAGCCACAACAGAAGTCGTCCCTCGCTTCTAGGATGGCTGCGTCCGGTTTTGGGGGGTACGCTTCCAATCCTACACAAGCGCAATCGCATCCACAAACGCCTTCACCACCACATACGCCGCCTCTCTCTCCTCCTGCACCTCAATCATCCGCACCTCCACCGGGGCCGCCTAGGATTCAGGGATCGAATCTCGGCCCGCCCAAGATCCAAGGTTCGAATCTCGGCCCGCCCAAGATCCAAGGCTCGAACCTGTGGCCCCCGCCTGGACTGGCGAGACAAAGAGCACAAGGGAGGGAGAAGCCGAAATTCCAGTTCGTGGCGTTGTTGGACGAGAGTAGTGGAGTTGAGGGCGCGGACGGTGCGGACAAGCAGAAAGAAGGAGGAGGAGGAGGAGGAGGAGGAGGAGGAGGGGAGAAAGACGCAGGGACTGGATTGCCGACGCCGGAGTCGACGCCTTTAGGTGGGGGGAAGGGCGCGAGTCTCGCACATGAGTCTGAGACTGAGGAGGAGGAGGAGAAGCAGTCAGAGATCGCGATAGTGGTCACGCCATGCGAAGATTCTTCGACCTCTGCTAACACTTCCACTTCCACTTCCACTTCCTCCTCCACCTCCGGACGACAGCAACGTACAGACCCGACCGCATTCTCCTATTTCTCCATCCCTTTGCCACATCAGAGGAAAGAACAAGGTTCTTTACCGCTACAAACAGCATCAGCGTCGAAGGAGAAGGAGGAGGCGGAGGCGGAGGCGACGCCGACTTGTTTGGCTCAGGGGACTGGTATGAGTGCGGGTGTGGGTGTGACGCCGATTACGGTTGGGTCTGCGTTATCGCTCGAATTTGGGGCTTCGACTTCTGTGTCGCCTTCGGAGAGAGGGGACGCGGATGCGGATGCGGATGGAGAGTTGAGCGAGATCGATCTCGGGGACGCGCCCCCGTCGAACATGAACATGGGCTTCGATCTCGATGCGGTCAATGCGCATCTTGGTGGCGATGATGCTGAACACCACCCACAACATCCACCACATTACGAAGAAGAGGAACCACAAGAAGAGGAAGAAGACGAGGAGGAAGAGGAAGATGAGGAACCAGAAATCGAGATCGAGATCGAGGGTATCGGCGAATGTTCGTCATGGAGTTCGAGTAGACGAGGCTCGAGGGAGGCTTCGGTTTCGGTGTCGATGGAGGGGTCCAGGGAGGTTTCGCCGAGGCGGGCTTTCTCCACTACCTCCAACTTTAAGCCTGCCGCCCGTTCCAGCTCAGTGGACATCGTTAGTTCCAGTTCCAGTTCCAGCTCCTCCAGTTCGAGTACCAGTCCCCCGATCAACCCGCCACGTCACGAGGAGGATGCGCAGAGAGAGAATACGGTGGGACGACTCGGACTGCGATTGAGAGCGCTGGAGTCGCCAGAGCCTGTGCCGTCGCCGTTCGAGCTTCACGAGGCCGACTCCCTTGCCATCCATAACGAAGCAGACTCCCTCGCAATCGCCAATGAGGCAGACTCCCTCGCAATCACCAACGAGGCAGACTCCCTCGCAATCGCCAATGAGGCCGCCTCCCTCGACATCACGAACGAGGCAGACTCCTTCGACATCACGAACGAGGCCGCCTCGCTCTCCATCCCCAACGAAGCAACCTCCCTCGACATCACGAACGAAGCAGACTCCCTCGACATCACGAACGCAGCAGACGAAGGCCTCGGCAGTATCAGTGTCATCCTCAAAGCTCGCATCGGCGAAGGCGCGAGTTCGAGTTTACCCCCGAGTCGAGATATATCGGCTTTGGATCTTAGTGCTTTGCCCTCCACGTCCTCCACCTCCACCTCCACCTCGAAGGCGGGCAGGCCGATGATGTTACGCCTCCCTTCGAAGTTACGCGTGTCGACTTCGCCCCTGCAGCAGCGGGGCAGTGATAGCGAGACGGATGGGGACGGGGACGGGGACGGGGATGATTCGCATACGGATTATTCGGTGAAAGGGGGAGAGGGAGAGGGGGGAGAGTGGGATTCGCATACGGAGTATTCGGTGGATGTGGATTTGGAGGAGATGCATATGGTGAAGGAGGGTTCGAATTCGAATCCGGAGCTGCAACTGGAAACGGAGGAGGAGGACGAGGGTAAGAGCAGGGGGGAGAAGGAGAAGGAGGAGGAGGGGAGGCATGATGAGGCGGAGGTGCATGTGAAAGAGGTGGAATCGGAAGGCGAAGGCGAACTTGAGTTCTTGATCGATGAGGCAGACGAGGCGGCCGAGGAATGGAGAGGGAGGTCAAAGACTTTGACGAAGGCGTCCCTGTCGTCACCGACTCGTTCACATCCCTCTTCCCTACCTCCAACCGCCATCCCCGCCGACCAGTCCGCCACTTCGGAAGATAAATCCCACTGCCAGCCACAGCACCAGCCACAGTCAGAGTCCCAGCCCATCGAGCCACCAGTAGCGAAGAATGTCATCCGGGGACCACCGCCGAGAGGAAGGTTCAGTATGGGCATGGGCGGGATAGTCGGCGCGGAGAGTAAGAGCGGGACGATGGGTGGGAGGGTATGGAAGGGGAGGGTGGGGGTTTAGCGTTTAAGCCTCCCGTGCTCTTGTGGTCGACCCAGGGGCTCGCTTGGAGGACGACTTGCGGTGACGGCGTGGTGGGTCGTTAGCCGGAGGGAGTGTCGATCGGATGGGCTGTGTTTTGGCTTGGTTGTGTCTTCTTTTTATCGCCGTGTGTTTCTTGGCTCGGCTCGCTTTGGTTTTCTCTTTTTCTTTTACCCTGTTTCTCGCTCATCGTTCATCGTCCGTGATATTCATTTTTAGATATGTATGATAGTCTTTTCTTTTCTCTTTCCCTCGCAGTCCCGGCCCAACCACACACGATCCCTGACTTTTTCTTCGTTTTCTTGACTCGCATACATTCAGCATTTCATCTTGACCGATCCACACATCGCTATGCGTTCCATGCATACATTTCATTGCACTGCCCGGCTTACAACGCACGACGCACACCACAGTATATAGGATCTCTTTATCTTCATCTCTCTCACACTCTCTCGTATCATCTCATACTCTCTGCCTATCTGCCTATCTATCTGACTGCTCGATCCTACGCAACTACTCGTCTAAGTTCGTGCTCTCTTTCCCTGACTCTGACTTCAACACCTGACATTCTTTTTCTCGCATTTTAATCCTGACTTACTCCGTCTCTTTTCTCTTGTCTGATTCTTGACCCAATTCTTGATCCTTGATCCCTTGTGAGCACTACTTACACTCCCTGTCTGATCGCACGCACGCATGCATGTGCCGCATAGTTAAACTCTCCTTACTCTGTGTCTGTCTTTTCTTTCTTTCCCCTTTTCTGTTATCACAGTGTTCGTATTTACACAGCATGGCAACGGCATCGGCATGGTTTAGATCCTCCACGCACGCACGCATCCTGTTTGCATCACAGACTCTGCACAGAGTCATCTCGCTGGTTTTGTCCACTTATCTGTCTTGTTCGCATATTTACTTGCAATAGAGAGCGTGAAATCGCCCAAAATCGAAACTCAAAAGCCGAGACTGGAACGGTTGAGACTCCAAACTCAGTGGTGAGCGCTCGTGCCCGTGGAGCGAAACTCAATCGAGTTTCGCTCCAATCTCCGAGTTTAGATTCTCGCGGATTTCACGCTCTCTAATCGCATGCCAATGCCAGTCTCTATATTCTGCGATATCGCATACTTTGCGCACCGTTGGGAAAAGCATGGGTATGTACGCCGCAAGGGGGTGGCACGCGTAAAATTCCTTACCGGATCTTACCTTCCGCGTTTAAGGCCTTACCCCCCTCCCCCCCCCTCGAATATTTAAATGATTTAAAAATGATTTATTTAATACCTTTCCCATAACATAAAAGATCAAAATGAAGGGTTGTTGTGGTATTAACTCATTGTTTTGATGAATTTTGGTATAACCTA